GGCAGCTGGGCGAGGGTTGTTTTATATATTGTGTGTGTGTGTGTGTGTGTGTGTGTGTGTGTGTGTGTATATATATATATATATATATATGTATTTGATTTTTTTTTCAGAGAGGAAGGGAGAGAGCTAGAGAGTTAGAAACATGGATGAGAGAGAAACATCGATCAGCTGCCTCCTACACACCCCCTATTGGGGATGTGCCCGCAACCAAGGTACACGCCCTTGACCAGAATCGAACCTGGGACCCTTCAGTCCACAGGCCGATGCTCTATCCACTGAGCCAAACAGGTTTCGGCTGGGCTAGGTTTTTTTTTTTTTTTTTTTTTTTTTTTTGGGGGGGGGGGGGCCCTAGGTTTTGATGGGTAAACTGCCTCCTTTTAGTTCAGGGCACTCTCTTGTTGGGACAACCAAGGCCTACAATTTGGCCAGGATTTGTTCAGGATGGAAAAGAAGGCAGGATGGAGAACGGCACAGCCTGCCTGGGGTGTCAGTGGGTTCTGGGGCCAGTTGACTGAGCTCTGCACTGTGGGGCAGGCGTGGGGGGCAGGGAGGGGAGGGGGTGCCCTTGCACAGGATGCTGCTGCTGTCAGCTCACCTGGCAATCAAGGCCGATAGGAAACCCCAGTGCAGGCATGTAGGTCACCACCTGTATCAGCTAGGCTTTCACTTTTCCCTCCTGCCTTTGTCTTCTCTGTCTCAAGCTTGATAAAAGCACACTGAAGTCCGTGGTGGTTAGAATACCAGCATTTATTGAAAACTGTGTGGAGGTCTGAGTGCTCAAATGTGTTATCACATTTAGCCTTCTGAGTAGCCCTACGCTCATGTTCCAACGTTATCCCCATTTGGCAGATAAAGAAACTGGGGCATATAGGGATTGGATTGCTTGGCCAGGGTCCCACAGCTTGTATGGTGGCACCGAGCCTACACGTCAGGCCTGTTCCCCTAAGGACCTGCCCCGGCCTTCCCTTCAGGGACACATGGTGTGTTGTCTGCTGGGGGTTCACAGGTGGCCTCGGTCTGGGGTACTTTAGAAGTCCCATGCACATTTTGCATTCACTCTCGGACAGGCAGCACTGCCTGTCATTCAGCACGGGGTGGGGGGTGAGGGTAGGGAGGTGTGTGTGTGGCAGCTGGTCCAGGTGTCCAGGCTGTGGGACCTGCAGGGAGCAAAATGACTCATTCCTGCCTTTGTGGAGCTGACCCTGAGCAGAGGAGGCAGAGCCAGCCCCGGTGATTTCAACACAGTGGCAGGTGCACTGAGAGAAGAGGGCAGTAGCCTGGTCAGGAGAGGGTCTGGGGGTGGGGGTGGGGGGTTCCAGGCCAGGCGGGCTGGGGCCAAGGAGGGAAAGTGAACCCCGGGCAGTATGAAGCCAGGAAGTCCAGGAGGAGCCAGACCTTTAGGAGGTCTGACACATGACCAGTAGTTTTGTTCCTGGGTGATTCTTGGTTCCTCTTTGGCTGCCATCTCAGGCCACATTGGTCTCCTAAACTACTCAGCTCGGATATGTCCCCCTATGCACCTCCCTTACATGCTCTGGATTCACATGTCCTTACATGTTCAATGTTGTGGCTCAGCCTCCTCTTGGAACCAGAGTCGAACTGTGACATCCTGGTTCATAAGCTGATACTCAACTACTGAGCCATGCTGGCCAGGCAGACCCATTTACTCTGGCAGCAGCCCTATGAAGTGCTGACTGCTCATTGCCATTTGGTAGATGAGGAGAAATAAGGCTCAGAGAGGGTGGACAGATTGTTCACAGTGACATTTCTAGCCGAGCTGCTGGTCCCAGAGCCTGCACTAGCCACACTGCCTCTCAGTGGGTGACAGAGATGAGAAGGCCGGGAGCAGAGTCTGTAGCAGTAGCTCCCCACATGGCCGAGTCTATGCTGAGTCTGGGGGGTGCATTGTCCCAGGCACAAGAGAAGGAGGTTTTCTGAAACCCCTACTGCTCCTTGACTCCTGCACAGCCACGTGGCTGTTTCTAGCCCAATAGCGAGCTGCACTGTGGCCAGTGTGTGACCTGCTGTCCTTACCTGGGAGAGCAGAAGTGTGGGGTGGAGGCTGCTCAGGCCCCATTGCCCCGGTAATTGGCACAGCCAGGAGAGGTCGGCACAGTGCACATAGTAGGTGCATAGATGGTTGTGTGGATCTGATCCTCCTGATATGGCAGAGAGATGAAAGATCACCCACGCTTACCTCTGTGAACCTTGTTCACAAAGGCGCCGCTTCCAAGACGCTTCTGAAGATGGCCTAAAAATAGCTGCTTCCCACCCCCGTAAACGCGTCCATTCCAGAATTTTGCTTAACCAGGCCTGGAGAGCCGATGTGCTGAAATGCCGTGAAAGCATTCCACCCTAGAATTTGCAGTAGCTCAAGTTAACGTTCTAGCTATTAAAAAAAAAAAAAAAAAAAAAAGGCTCTGTCCTCGCCCGAGAGCAGTGCTGGGTAGTTCTAAGTACTTCCAGAAGGTGGATGTGGTTTGAGGGTCAGTGTTGTCCAGAGCCAGGACCAGTGATGTGGGGATTGTGATTGGTTGCGATCTGGGGAGTTGAAACTTGGGGATGGATTCCAACCCCCTGTCAATCTCAGCAGATTCCAGGAGGTGGGGTGGGCGTGGTGGCGTTGGCTTGTTGTATCCCTGAGAGAGGCTCACTAGCTCTCCTGCCAGAGAGGCTTCTGGCCGACGGCTCTGCCTTCACACTCCGCATACACATCGCAGAACTTCTGTGATCTGCTGTGATGGTCAGACATCGGCACCGCGATGCTGGGTAGCATTTCATTTTCAAGGCGTTGGGAGTCTCCTGTTTCGTGTCGGTGGGGATGGGGAGGCTTGGGCACTTCGCCATCTGATTGTTCCAAGAGTTTGTGGGAGCATTTGAACCTTGAAGCACTTGAACCTTCTTCACCTGTCAGAATCACTCCCGGAGTGAGGATGACCGTCCCTCCAGCCTCGTAGATCAGCAGGACCTTAAAGAAGGCCTCCCCATGCGGACACCCACCTCAGATTCATTGGAAACGGAACTTCTGGGCATTGTATTTTTCAGAATTTTGGCTCAGACTTTTACTGGGTCATAATTGACCCAAAACCATTTTGAAAAAGATTCATGTCCCATTCCTCGAGACCAGCATGCCTGTATAAGCTGGGTAAAGGCAGAGCAAGCTGGTTTCATGGTTTGATTTATGAAAGAAATCTGCAAGTTTGCATTTGAAAAGCATTTAGCGCACAACTGAGGGAAGTTCGAACTTTGCAGATGGATGCCTGTGGCTGGATGAGACTTGGGCCTGTTCAAGGCCAGCCCTCCACCTTCGCACCCCTGTTACCCTAGCCATTCATAAGCATTCACTTCCTCCCTCCTCTCACCCCACTCTCCTCCCTTTAGCTCAAATAAAGAAAACTGGCATGGAAAGTTGTGTGACCTGGAATTTCTTGGGATCAGTTGGTAGCACTTACAGACAGCCTCAGAATAGGACACCTAATCCCCCAATTCAGTCCTGGTCCAAGGCTGCCTGCTGGAAAAATGTGTGGTGTGGTGGGTGAATCCCATGGATCTTAGGGTTCCAGGCCGTGTCCTGTGTCTCATGCAGATTGTTGCTGCTTTATTGACCATGGGCCCTCGTGGGCAGCAGAGCTGGCCTCCCGGTCACACGGCCAGTGCGGCTGGGCAGGGCCTTGAGTTTAGAAGGACTGTGCTTGCTTTAATGCTCTGCTGCTTGCCCTTTTGAAATTCTTAACACTTTTTGGACAAGGAGCCCTGCATTTTCCTTTGTCACTGGGCCTGTGAGTTCATGTAGACAGATCTGCTTAAAAGCTGTCATTTACACAATTTATTACATAAAACTTCATAGGCTTTTATTATTTATACAATTCATTACAGAGAATATCACTGGGCACCATGATTTTGAAGGAGAGGATTGCTCGAAGTTAGTTGGTCTTACCAGCCAGTTCACAATAATCTTTACTCGTCTCGTTTTACGTGATCAGGTTTTATTATGATAGAATCTGCAAACATGAAATTACTTTTGGTTTCTGTGGTTTTGGGTGTGGCCTTTTAGGAGAGTCTTTTCTTGTAAAAGATGTAACATTAAACAGGTTAATTAAAAAAAAAAAAAGATCCCGCCCTTTCGATTTTGAGTGGCATGCCATTTCCTCTTTATCAGCACGTGAGTCTCTATTTTTCATGGGGTTGTAATTGGGTTTCATTTTCAGTGCAGCTTGGTGTGTGTTTAACCAACATTCAGATGGCTTGTGGAGGGCGGGTGGGACCGGGAGGGGAGCCCTGAGATGAAGAAGGCTCCGTTTCTCCCCAGCAGGTGCTCATGGTCCCGGAGAGGGATGTGGGAGGCTGAGGAGTCCTGGTCACAGAGCTGGTGGGAGGGAAGGGCCACCAGGCGTCAGATCTGGCCATTGAATGATGAGCCATGGTTTGTACTGCAGGAGGATGGGGTAAAGGGTCTTCCCCTGAAACGGAATACCGAACACTTGATGTTTAAAAAACTTTTTTATTATGGAAAATTTCAAACATACACAAAAACAGAAATAACAGCATAATGCATTTTTTATGTACCAAGGCCACCAGTTTACAACATTTTGGGATCTTACTTCACCTATTCCTATCCTCAGATATTTTAAAGCAAATTCCAGCATTGTATCCTCTCACTCTTTTTTTAAATATATTTTTACAGAGAGGAAGAGAGAGGGATAGAGAGTTAGAAACATGGATGAGAGAGAATCATTGATCAGCTGCCTCTTGCACACCCCCTACTGGGGATGTGCCCGCAACCAAGGTACATGCCCTTGACTGGAGTCGAACCCGGGACCTTTCAGTCCGCAGGCCGACGCTCTATCCGTTGAGCCAAACCAGCTTCGGCTATCCTCTCACTCTTAAATGATTCAGTATGGTTCTCTAACAGACAAGGACTTCATTTCCTTTTCTACAAAGAGCAGGATCCACACTTGTGCAACCCTGAGGAATGACCAAGCCTTTTCCGCTCTCCCCAGACAGCAAAGCCATCGTGGATGGGAACCTGAAGCTCATCCTGGGCCTGGTGTGGACCCTGATCCTCCACTACTCCATCTCCATGCCCGTGTGGGAGGACGAAGGGGATGACGATGCCAAGAAGCAGACGCCAAAGCAAAGGCTGCTAGGATGGATTCAGAACAAGATCCCCTATTTGCCCATCACCAACTTTAACCAGAACTGGCAAGACGGCAAAGCCCTGGGTGCCCTGGTAGACAGTTGTGCTCCCGGTAAGTGCTCGTGGTTACCTAAGCCATCTCTTTGAGATGTGGGTATATGGGCCTTAAATTTCTTATTTTCACTGGGAATGCTAGGTTTGCTGTGACTGGTGTGTTTCTCCTGGTTTTAGCCCATTGTAAGATATCAAAAGGCACTGAAAATGACTCCATCTACCTCTCTAATGGCATGTCTTACAGGTGTATCCATGGACTTGTTTGAGCATTGAATTCGGTTATTTATCCAAATTCCCAGTGAAGGCTTTAATGCTTGGAGCAGGCCTTGGGTTTAGCTTCTAGACTCCTAAGTCCTGCTGCTTCCCATAGTTGGTGTCTAGTTTCCCGTAGCCTTTGGCAAAAACATGTGGCCTGTTAGGTGGCTTGGCATGAAAATCTAAAAACTTTCATTGAGCGGAAAGTACCCATTTTTATCGACCACTGGTTTGACCAAATAAGGCCTTCTCCGCCCCTTTCTTTCTGTGTTGCTATGAAATAGGGCCTGGTCAGGATCCAGTTGGAGCCTTTTCCACCCTTTCCTGAGTAGCTGAGTGTGCCCCGAGACAGTAATTATCCTCATGAAGGGATTAGATTGGTTGGTAGAGTTTGCTGGTACACACTCAATAGAAAAACCAGAGCCTATGCTTATATGTATCTCTCAAAAATTTCTTTAATAAAAGCTCTAATAACCATATTTTCCACTTACTGAGTGCTCTGCATGTGCTGGGCACATTAATATTTAGTAAGCTAGTGCTTTTCAGTATGCTCAGAGCGGGACTGTCTGGTGTCAGTTGGGTATTGGGGGTTGGACTGACTCTGGGCCTCATTCTGTAAGCTGGAGTCATCAGAAGTAATTCGGAGCTCAGCAGCAGGCCATTGCCTGGTGCCCTCATCCTTGCTTGCATCCAGAGACTCATTTTAGGATATCTCTTTCTAGTTTAAACATGGGGATTTTTACTCTAGTCCTAAATACTTCTTGTGCTCTCAAAGGTTTTTGAGATAATTCTAGGTTTGGCCTTTTAGCAAGTGAATTTTTTAAAAAAATTATACAGGACGCTAGTTCACTCTTTTTAGATATATCCAAGAATGGGATTGTGATATTGTGACTTAAAATAAGAAATATGTATTTTAGTCTTTGTCCCCTTTCCTGGTGCTGAGCTCCTAAAACCCTTGGAATTTCCTGAGAGACAAGAACCAGGATAATGGTGTCTTTCAACCACACCTGAGTTTATGTTAATGAGGTGCCTTTTGGAAAACCCCAAAGATGGGGGGAAGTTGTCTAGGGAGCCTACCCATTAGAGGATTGAACTTTCAGCTTTCTCTTCTGACCCCCCGAGAGGGGAGAGGGGCTGGAGATTGAGCTAATCACTGATGACCAGGGGTTGAATCAATCCAGGTTAAGTAATGAAGCTTCCACAAAATTCCTGAACTGTGGGGTTTCGGGAGCTTCCAGGTTGGTGAGTACATGGAGGTTCTGAGGGTGACACCCTCAGAGAGGGCTTCCTCCCCCTTCTCCCATCCTTCCCTCTGCATCTCTTCCATCTTTCCGTTCCTGGGTTGTATCCCTTTGTAATAAACTGGTAATCTACCCTGTTTCCCCAAAAATAAGACAGTGTCTTATATTATTTTTTTCTCCCAAAGTTGCGCTAGGTCTTATTTTCAGGGGATGTCTTACCTTTCCATGCGCTAGGTTTTATTTTTAGAGGATGTCTTATTTTCGGGGAAACACAGTAGTAAATTTCCCTGAGTTCTGCAAGCCACTGCAGTAAATGATTAAACCCACTGAGGGAGTGGTGGGTTTGTATCTGGTTAGTCAGAAGCCCAGGGGAGTGGGAAGAGGGAGTGCAGTTTTGTGGGACTGAGCTCTTTGCTTTGGGATCTGATGCTGCCTCCAGGCAGATAGTCAGGATTGAGTTACATTGTAGAACACCCAGTTGGTGTGAACCCCACACTTTTGGTGACCAGGATACAGAAATGTGAGTGTGGAAGGTTGAAAAATTTCTCCTGCAAAAGGCACCAGGCCCAGGTGGTTTTCCGGGCTTTGTTTGCTTATATCGCACCTCGAAGGAGTGGCTAACCCCCATCTTAATGCAAGAAGATAACATCCTGAAAGAGACGTCTCAGCTAAGACAGAATAGTTCTATCCTCCCATACCCACATCCATGATACTTTTTGCCTGTAAAGTATATTCAGATGCTCCTTGACTTCCTATCGGGTTATATTCCCTTAAACCCATTGTAAGTCGAAACCATTGAAATTCAAAAAACCATTTCATATGCCTCACCTATCAAATTTAGCTCAGTCTAGCCTACCTTAAGCAAGTTCAGCCTGTGGTTGGGCAAAAACAACTCGTTGCCACTGCCCGTATTGCACAAGAGTATTGCACCGTATATCACTAGACTGGGAAAAGATCAAAATTCAAAATCATGAATATGGTTTCTACTGATGACGGACTCCTTTTGCACCATTGTAAAGCTTAACAATCTCTTCAGTCAGCTAATACGGCGTCTTCTGTGTTATGTGAACAGGTCTGTGCCCAGACTGGGAATCCTGGGATCCGCGGAAGCCGGTGGATAATGCACGAGAAGCCATGCAGCAGGCAGACGACTGGCTGGGTGTCCCGCAGGTATGCACGCGCACGCGCCACGTCCCAGAGCGCTGCTTGCACCCTCCAGCTTGTTCTGGTACTGGATGGTGTCTTTTTGAGTCCGGCAGGCAGGCTGACCTCAGCATTAACCTTCCAAGAGAATTGCTTGTGACATGCTCCCATCTTCCTCAGTTTACCTATAATAATAGCTTGTTATGGACTTAGGTCCTTGTGTAGAGCATCCAAAAGTCTTTAAAAAAAAAAAAAAAAAATATATATATATATATATATATATATATATATATATATATATATATATATATATATTTTGTATATATATATATATGTTATATTGATTTTTTTACAGAGAGGAAGGGAGAGTTAGAAACATCGATGAGAGAGAAACATCGATCAGCTGCCTCCTGCACACCCCTTACCGGGAATGTGCCCCCAACCAAGGTACATGCCCTTGATCAGAATCAAACCTGGGACCCTTGAGTCCGCAGGCTGACACTCTATCCACTGAGCCAAACCAGTTAGGGCCATCCAAAAGTCTTGACTCTTTGTCACATGTGGCAAAATTTCTAGTATTTCTGCTCCAAAAATTTCAAAGGCTATCTTTGGACAATAGGTTGCAAATGAGGACCTTAATGATTAGGTTGGATCATAAGAAATCAATATTTAATCACTTCTTATCTATTTAAAATTTAAATTTTTTTTAATATCTTAAGAAAGAAACCATGGCACTTAGAACTTAGAAGAAATATAAACCAGGATAACCTACAATTAATGAAAATTTTGGCAGAATTTGTATTGCCCACAATCCTATCACAGAAATATCACAAGACAACTTGGAAATTATAGTACGTCTTAGATACCATCTGCAGTAGCCACATTGAGGTAGATTCTTCTAAGCTCTTCCAAGGAGTCTAACTAGCCCTTCCTCCTCACAGTGGAGCACCACGGCTCCCACGTTCAAAGTCCTGGCCAGGAAAAGTTGTGGGTAGCCCATGCCATGGGTGGATGACCTCACCACAGGCTCCACTGAGGTCCAAGTTGGTGTTCAGAGCCGAGTTTAGTGCATTTGTAACACGATCCCTTGGGTGGTAGAAAAACTTGCCTCTATTTCTTTGGTTTGGTTTTGGCATCGTGTCTCTGCTTCATGGCCCATTTCTTGGCATTTCCATCGTCGGGAAGTGGCGTGGTGTGGTTTTCATCTCTTAAACCTAAAACCATCTCCTTTTGACGTTCATGTGATGTTGGCACCGTTAGGTTGTGGAAGGAGCTGCCTAGACGAAATGCCAAATCACCACCCGTCCTCCATAGTATATAATACAACATGTTGTACAAACCCCAATGGCTATTTTGGTGCTGCAGGCTATTCATCAGAATGATTTCTGTGTATTTTTTTGTTTTTGTTTTTGTTTTTGTTTTGTTGTTGTTGTTGTTTAACCATGGGAACAGGGAAGCTGGGAACGTATGTTGTTCGTCTGCATTTGGTTAACCTGGTTTATGAGACCGGGTCTTCCGTTCATCTCCAGAGGTGTGGCTTGCCTCTTGTCGGGGCAGGAGGATTTTGGGTGCTGTTTAGGCCAGGTGATAGAACTGAGTCTGCCATGCCTGCAGTGAGGCTGCCTGGCCAGCATGGGTTATAACTTGACTAATACTCTTGTTCCTAAGATGAGTATCTGCAGAAATTTATCACCTCCCCATTTTTAAAATGGCTTCTGATGTAGAGATATTATAACGTGTTAGCTCCAACTGCCATAACAAAATACCATAGATGCGGTGGCTTAACCCACAGACATTTATTTCTCAGTTCCGGAAACTGGAAGTTAAAGATCAAGATGCCAGCAGATTCGGTTTTTGGTGAGGGCCCTCTTCCTGGCTAGAGAGAGGAGGGGTGGGTTCGAGGGAGTGAGTGTATGCACATTCTGATCGTTTTTATTCTTCTTATAAGTAACCCAGGACCGCATGACCTCATCTAAACCTGCTTAGCTCCCAGAGGTCTACCTTTCATTAGCGGTAAGGGCTTCAGCGTGTGAATTTTGGGAGGTCAAAGACTCTGTCTATAAGACTACACATTAGATATGACATTATGTGGTCTCTTTTTGTTTTAATTTTTTATTAGTAACTGGAGTAACAGAGATGTATACAATGGATAGAAGAGCAAAGGAAAAAGGCCAGTTTTGCGCTTTATATGTAATTGTCCCTTCGTCCTCCTCACCTGATGCACTTACCTCACTGGAAAGTTTGACCCGGGGAGTGAGTGGTTATTTGGGGGAGGAGGGGAAGTATGTATTCTAGGAATGACATAGAGAATTGTCCAGAGAGGGCCCTCACCTTCCAAAGGGAACGGCCCTCACCTTCCAAAGGGAACGGTGATCCCACTTTAAAGGTCACAACACTCTGATCTTGGCATGGCACCTGTTGTAAGTTCACTTAATTTCGTATTATTTGTACTGTTTAAGAGACGTTTGCAAAAACTGCAGTACCTCGATGTGTTGTGGCGTTCACTCTCGGTGTCGCTGTTCTAGGTCATCACTCCTGAAGAAATCATTCACCCGGACGTGGACGAGCACTCGGTGATGACGTACCTGTCCCAGTTCCCCAAAGCCAAGCTCAAGCCTGGGGCTCCTCTTAAACCCAAACTCAACCCCAAGAAAGCTCGGGCCTATGGCAGAGGTAAGCACCGGTCGTGTTGGATTTGAGGCCTAATTGTGGGTCTTAAAGAGTAAGGCGTGGCTTCAAGGAGGAGAGTTTTCTCAGAACCAAGAACGGAGGCTGCATACACCCGGGAGCCATTGCCGGCCTTCTTCATCAGCGTTGGTTTGCTTGTTTCTTTGTTTTTACCTGAAGGGGCATAAACATTGTTTATGACTACCCTGCTCTGCCTTGTGAATCTAGGTTGTGAGAAGCACTGCTGATGTAACGTGCCGGAGACTGATGGGTTTGCTGCTTGGTGATTTAATGCACCAGCCCTGGGATGAAAAAAGGGCTGTTGTTCCCATTTCTCAGATGAGGAATCAGAGGCATGAGCCACCGGGAGTGGGAGGTGGGAGACAGGAGCGTGGGTCTTGTGGCCGATGATTCATTTTTCCTTTGGTTGTGCTAAAGCTGCTCAGATTTCCAGATGGGATGGGAGCTATTGATAACCCCTGGCAGGCACTTCCTTGCTAAGACATCCTGTTTGTACAGCCGCCGGGAGTGTTCTGCTCAGAACGTTATGTTGGGTTGAAGGCATTTTGAGGCACTTGGTGTTCTGGTTGGCACCTGGCTTTAAGCAACTAATTTTTGTTTGTTTGGTTGGTTTTAATTACAGCTCACTTTCAAGATTATTCTGTATTTGTTTCAGGTGTACAGCATAGTGGTTAGACAACCATACACTTTACAGAGCGCGACCCCATAGTCAAGTACCCACCTGGACCCATACGTAGTCATTAAGCACACCATTTTTTTTAAATTTTTTTTTTAGGGAAATAGTTGTAATTCAGCTCAGTGTGATTTCTGGTAAAGGTCAGCATAGCAAGATACAACTTGTTTCTTTTCCTATAGGAGTGCATTGTATTTCGTGTGTGTGTGTGTGTGCGCGCGCGCGCGCGCGCAAGCGTGCGTGATTAATCCTGACATGAGGATATGTTTTTAATTGATTTTATTTTTTTAGAGAGAGATAGAAAGATGTGAGAGAGAAACATCAATCTGTTGCCTCCTGCATGTGCCCTGACTGGGGATCAAACCCACAACCTAGGTATGTGCCCTGACTGGGAATCATACCTGAAACGTTTTGGTGTACAGGATGACGCTCCGACAAACAGCCACCTGGCCAGGGCTGCATTGTATTTCTTAATGACAACTGGGAAAACATTTAGATACACAAAATAACTTGCATATTCTCCTAGAATCTGCAGTTCTTACCATTCTGATATAGGTGTGTTCTCGCCCTTTGCACATTGCATGTATACATGTGTTGTGTGTGTGTGTTGTGAGATTATTGGAAACATGGTGGCATTTTACTCCTGACTATATTAGCCAAGTCTGTCTGTCCTACAAATAGGACACCCTTTTACAAAACCATAATATTCATAATCACATATAAGAAAATTAACAATAATTTCATGTCAACTTATAATTTTGTTTTCAAATTTATCGTCCTAAAATTCTTTTATAGTTTTTGTTATTTTACAAACCAAGATTTGATTATGACTCACTTACTACATTATTTTTTGTCTTTACACTTTTATTTTATTTTATTTTTTTATTAAGGTATTATATGTGTACATACCTTACCAATGCCCCCACTCCCATACATGCCCCCCCTCCCCAGAGTTTTCCGTCCATTGGTTATGCTTATATGCATGCATACAAGTCCTTCAGTTGACCTCTTATCTCTCCCATATCTCCCTACCCTCCCTGCTGTAATTTGACAGTCTGTTTGTTGCTTTACTGTCTCTGTATCTATCTTTTTGTTCATCAGTTTATAATGTTCTTTATTATCCATAAATGAGTGAGATCATGTGGTGTTTTTCTTTCATTAACTCTTTACACTCTTTTAATCTAGAATAATTTCCCCCAACTTTAAAAAAAAAATGACGTTGACTTTCTGAAGAATCCAGAACACCTGTCTTGTGGGATGTCCCATACACTCTGTCCCTGTGAAGACAGCATTGCTGTACTTGGTGTGAGCTTAGTCTAAGGATGGCCTACAACCAGGGTCGTGGTGGTGACCATGGGTCGTTCTCCATCTCAGCGGCCAGGTCCTTCTCACCTGTCTTTCTAGCATGATTTAGACCAGAACCCTGCTCGACTGTTCTGGGACAAACCCACATGCCATCTGAGGTCCCTTTGGCCATGAGGTGGGGTCTGTGCAGTCTTTTGTTGTATGTTGTTTGAAAGCCTCCCCCAGGGGCGGCCTCTCCCAGGTCAGTATGCCTGTGCTTGCTCTAAAGGTGCTTCCTGTAAGTCATGCCGAAGGTGGTGGCTGCAGTAAAGAATCTCTGATTTTAAAGGTTAAAATTTAATCTCTGAATTTAAAGGTTTTTTTGTTTGCCTAAATGGCTAAAAAAAAAAAACCCCTCAAACAGCCAAATAAATCCCTTGTCAACAAGACTGGTCAAATAAATTGAATCTGACCAAGGCACAGAATGCTTGTTTGCAATAACCTTATCACTGGCTGGCCAGTTTCCCCATTGTTAATGGGAAGTGGTTTCCTCTTATTGATATTTTCTAAAAAAAACAAAACAAAACAAAACAAAAAACCCTGACAACTTGCTATGCGCTTTAGGAATGTGGCTAGTCACTGCTTTTTCTTTCATCTGCCTCTTTGTGTTATATACTTAGTGACCAACCACCTTAAAAACATTTTTTTTTATCCTTATCTGAGGATGTTTATTGATTTTAGAGGGAGAAACATTGATGCAAAAGAGAAACTTCAATGTAAGAGAGAAATATCCATCCGTTGCCTCCCATATGCACCCCAATCAGGGACTTAACCCTCAACCTAGTGTGTGCCCTGACCAAGAATTGAACCCATAACCTTTTGGTACACAGAATGATGTCCCAGCCAGCTGAGTTACCTGGCCAGGGTGCAAAAGAGTGAAAGCAGCAACTGAACATATTTGTTTGCAACTGAACACACTTTTAAGGTGTGTGTGTGTGTGTGTGTGTGTGTGTGTGTGTTTTACCACAATACAAATGTGGTAAAATACACATAACATTCACTAATCTAACCATTGTTAAGTGTACCATTCAGAGGCATTAAGTACAATACATTCATGGTTGTGTAACCTTCAGCACTATTTATCTCCGGAACTTTTCCATCTTCCCAAATTGAAACTCTGAACCCATTAAATAATAATTAGCCATTCCCCTCCCCTCAGACCCTGGCAACTACCATTCTGTGTCTGCTAATTTGCCTATTCTAAGTTCCTCATGTAAGTGGAATTATATGATATTTGTCCCTTTGTTCCCATGTTTTCAAGGTTCATCTGTGCTGTCACACATCAGAATTCTATTCCTTTATAAAGCTGAGAAATATTCAGTTGTATATAATACATTTTGTTTTTCTACTTTTCTGCCACTGGACATGTGGGTTGTTTCACCTTTGGTTATCGTGAACAGTGCTCTGTGGACCTGGGCGGACAAATATTATATGTTCAATTGCTGCTTTCACTCTTTTGGTATATACCTACAAGAGAATTGCTAGATCATGTGGTTATTCTATGTGTAACTTTTATTTTCATTTTAAGGAGCAAGGCAACAGGGTCACATATGAGGCCACATGGGTGGGGCCTTAAGGTATTACTTGTTCCATCGTGAGACAAAGGGTAGGGACAGTTTTCTCTCTTTCCTGTGTGGCCATATTGCTTCATGTCAGCCAACGGAACCAAGGACGAGAGAACGCTTCATCTTCTAGTTTCTTAAGGGTTTTGAGGCTGGCTTTATTTTCTCTTCTGGATATGGACTAGATTGCGGTTACCAGCTGATTTCCTCTTGCTGGGCCTTGACTTAGTCCCAGCGGGTTGAGAGAGAGGACTGGGCGGAGGTAAACTTGCAGCCACAGACTTTTGTCCTGGGCTTCCTTGCGGGTCCCAAGGTTGCAGGCATGCGACTCTGAGCAAAGCAGAAACCTTTCTCAAAACCCATGTTCTCTGCAAAGCAAGATGTAAACGCTCTTTGTGCTGAGCACTCATGGTTGTCTGCATGGGTGAGCGTAGTTCCCAGCGATTGCAGGTGGAGGCTCAGCCCAGCCAGCCATGGGTAGCCAGGATCTTGGTTCAGCTGCAGAGCTAGTTGGTCTCAGGCTGGTGGAGTCCGGTTGAGTGGGTATTTATGAATTTGCTAAGTGCATGTTTAAATTTAGTTGTTAAATGATGTGATCACTCTGTAAATCTGAATCAAAAGAAAAATGTAGACAATGAAAATGGAAAGCTTGCTTCTTATCCCTTCCTTTACTCTGAGGTGTTCCTTCCCAGCCATTCCATTCCATTCCATTCTTTATATTTGGAAGTGAATTACAACTATGTGTTTTCTTCAGTTTGCACTTTTATCTACCATTATGTGAATATTATCTTATTATATAATAATCTACCACCAATATTTTACAGTCAGTTATGTATTGGAAAACTAATATAAATCCAGAATGTAGTAGCAAACCACTTGGTGTTTTTAACAGACTGATGACAAGGTAAAGAAGAGATGGAAAGAAGCCTAGAGATTTAATGTGATTTGAGAGACTTAGCAATCAATTGTAATATATGAACCTTATGTGGATCCTACTTCAGCTGGCAGTTGAAACAAATTCATGACACTTACAAGATAAGCAAAAATTTGAACACTGACAATATTTGATCATATTAAGGAATTACTATTAATTTTTTATGCGATTTTTGGATGTAGATATTCTGAAATATCATTTAGAGATACATAGTGAGTGCTTATGAGTGACTTGTCTGAGGGCTAGGAATTGTATCAAAATCACACAGGAAGAGGAAAGTGGTGGGAGGGCAGGTGTGAAGCTAGGCAAGCCTTGAGTTTGTCATTGTTGAAGCTGTGTGATAGGAATGCAGTTCTGTCTCTGAATAGGCTTGGAATTCTCCACACAAAAAACCCCCACAAAAAACAAACTAACAAAAAACTTTAAAAGAAATAATACCTGAACTTGTGCTTCTGGGAAGATGGAGTTGAAGTACTTTTTCCAGTTCTTCCTACCCAGTACATCGAACATCGCTGGGCATTTTACACAGAACAAACATAAGAAGACTCTCAAAGAGGAGAAGGCAAGCCAGCTGGGGACCTGGGAGTCCGAGGACTTCAAAAATGAGTTCCTTGGTTTTCCTTTTGCCTCGCGTATTCCAAACTTGGAACTGAAGAAGCTGACAAGCTGGAAATACCAGTGGCACAAACACAAAGCCCCAACAAAAGCCTACTCTTTCTGGCCACAAGATCGGGAAAGGGCAGCCTAGCAGGGCAGAACACTTTTAGACAGTCATTGCTCTGCTCCAGCCCAACACAGCAGAAAACACTGTAGCCCCCATTACACCAACAAAGGCCAAATGGGGAGCCTGGACTTGCACCACAGATTAGGAAGCCACCCCAGTGATGTCAGTAGAGGCCATTTGAGTAACAGTGAGGGAAGGGGAGGCCTAATAAAAGCTGGAACTCCCACCTCTACCTACCAGTAATGAGAAGCCCCCTGGTATCAGTGGAGTTTGGGGAGCCTGGACTTCCTCCCCCACCAGCAGTAATAAGGCCTGCTCTCTTCCTTCTCCTGCTGAAGTGGTCTTATAAAAAGGCAGCTAAAATGGATAGTTTACGTGAGACCCAGAGTCTCATAGCATAATACTCAGAACATCCAGGTTGAAGTAGCAAAAATCACTTGCCATACCAAGAACCAGGAAGATCTAAAACTGAATGAAAAAAAGACAATCAATCAATGCCAACACTGAAGTAATAGAGATATTAGAATTATTTGATAAAGATTTTAAAGCATCTATTATAAAAATGGCTTTAACAAACAATTACAAACACACTTCAACAAAAGAAGAGAAACAAAAAAAAAAAAGAATCTCAGCAAAGAAGTAGAAGATATAGATAAGGAAGAACCAAATGGAATTTTTAGAACTTAAAAATTGCAATAACTGAAATAACTCTATGGATGAGCTCAATAGCAGAGTGGGAAGACAGAGAAAATCAGCAAGCTGGAAAAAAGAACAACAAAAATTACCCATTCTGAATGACAAAGAAAGTAGACTGGACAAAACTGGTTTGGCTCTGTGGATAGAGCATCAGCCTGTGGACTGAAGGGCCCCGGGTTCGATTCTGGTCAAGGGCATGTACCTTGGTTGTGGGCACATCTCCAGTAGGGGGTGTGCAAGAGGCAGCTGATCGATGATTCTCTCTCATTGATATTTCTAACTCTCTATCCCTTTCCCTTCCCCTCTGTAAAAAATCAATAAAATATATTAAAAAAATAAAATAAAATAAAAAAAAGAAAGTAGACCGAAAAACGTGAACACAGTCTCAGGGGCCTTTGGGATGATAACAAAACACCTAACTTGTTATATTAGAGTAAAAATAGGGTGGGGCTAAAAAAAATGCTCAAAGAAATAATGGCTGAAAACTCCCCAAATTGAGTAAGCTGAGCTAAACCCAAACAAGATAAATACCAAGAAAAGAAAAAAGAAAAAAAAAAGTCCACATCAAGCCACATCTTAGACAGACTTCAAGGAACTAGACAGTAAAAGCTTGAAAGCAATAAGAGAAATGACACCTTACCTATTATATTCCTTTAGATGAGAAATTTCTCATCTACAGGAAGCGGCATAACATTTTTTTATGTGCTGAAAGAAAAGAACAATCAACCCAGAATCCTACATCCAGGGATAATGCACTTTAGGAATGAAGAGGAAACCAAGACATTCCCAGATAAAGGAAAACAAATAATTTCTCACAAGCACATCTACCCTAAAAGGATGGCTAACGGAAATTCTCTGGGAAGGAAGGAAGCAATAAGAGAAGGAATCTTGGAATAACAGGAAGAATGAACATGGTAAGCAAAAATATGGGTAACTATAATAAACTTCGCTCAAGAACCACAGGCTACCAACACCCAACCAAATGAAGTAGGTAGCCTGAGTGGTTCTATAACTATTAAAGAAATCAAATCTGTAATTTAAAAGCTCTTGGAAAAGAAATCTCCAGGCTCAGAAGATTTCACTGGAGGAAGAATTAACATCAATTCTGCTCAATCTCTTACGGAAATATGAGGAGGGGACACTTCCAATTCATTTTATGAAGCTAGTATTGCTCTAACCAGACAAAGGCCATGCCAGAAAAAGAAAACTACAAGCCAATACCTCTCACAAATAAAGTTGTAAAAGTCCTTTGTGACAAAATATTAGCAAATAGAATTTTGCAATATATGAAAATAATTATTCATCATGACCAAGCCGAGTTTATTCAAGGGGTGCAAGGCCGGCATGCTGTTAGCCAATCAGTCAACATAATCTATATTAACAGGCTAGAGGAGAAAAGTCACGTGACCGTGTCAATTGATACAGAAATGCATTTGACAGAATTCAACAGCCATCCATGATAAGAACTCAGAAAAAGAGGGATAGAGAACTTCCTTAATTTGATACAGAGTAGCTACCACAAAACACCTACAGTCATTAGTATAATACGGTGAAAGCCTGGGTGTGTTCCCTAAGATCGAGAATAAGGCAAGGATGCCCACTCGCACCTCTGCTATTCAATCGCAGGGTGCAAGTTTTAGCTAATACAGCAAGGAAGAGAAGAAAGAAAGAAAAAAAGACACATATCAGAAAGTAAGACATAAAACTTACTTGCAGGTGACATGATAGGCCACAAGAAAATACTTTCAAAAAAATTGTTAAAACCCCCAAAGAAACTCTCCTTAAATAAGTTCAGCAATATCTTAGGCTATGAGATCAGCATCCAAATATCCATTGTACTTGTCCACTAGAAGTAACAAAAGAACCCCAAAGTTGAAAATAGCATATCATTTGCATTTGCTCAAAAAAATTGAGAAATAAGTGCAAATGCAATAAAACATGTATAGGATTTACATGCTGAAAACAACATTAAAGAGTAATGAATAAATCAAATAAGACCTAAATAAATGGAGAGACATACAGACTGCTTCCATGGGTTGAGGAAGTTAGAGTAAAGATGTCAGTTCTTCCCAGATTGTCATATAGGTTTAACAGAATTGCTATTAAAATCCCAGCAAGACTTTTTTTTTTTTTATAGACATAGAAAAGGTTATTATTTCAAAATGTATATGAAAAAACAGAGAAAGCTATTTTGAGAAAGAAGAATAATGGAGGAAAAAGTCCTTCCTGCCCTGACCAGGAATTGAACTCACAACCTTTTGGTATATGGGACACCACTCCAACCAACTGAGCAGCTGGCCAGGACTGCTACTGTCATTTTTAAATTTGACCGTCTAAGGGAAAAGAGGTCAGTGACCTTGACCAAATAAATAGTCAGGTATAGCATGTTTTACAATAAAAATTCTTGTGGCATGCAGGTTGAAAATTGCTGCTGTAGAGAAGTGCATAGAAATATAGAAGTGCAAGAGAATATTTTCCATTGATTTTTAAAAATATATATTTTTACTGATTTCAGAGAGGAAGAGGGAGAGATAGAAACATCATCAACAGAATCATTGATTGGCTGCCTCCTGCACGCCCCCTACTGGGGATTGAGCCCACAACCCGGGCACGTGCCCTTGATCAGGATCGAACTTGGTCCGTGGGCTGATGCCTATTCACTGAACCAAACTTGCTAGGGAGAGAAACGCATATTGAAACCACTATGATCTATTAAATGGCTAAAGTAGAAAGTAGTGATAACAGCAAATGCTGGCAAGGATGCAGAGAAACTGGATCCGGATCATGAATACATTGCTGGTGGGGATGTAAAATGGTCCAGCCACTCTGGAACACAGTTTGGCAGTTTTTTTCCTAAGGAACTGAACAGGCAATTACCGTATGACTCAGGAGTTGCATTCCTTGACATTTATTCCCGGGAAATGAAAACATGTTCACACAAACCTATACTCAAATGTTTAAGGCAGCGTTATCAGTCATAGACAACTGGAAACAACCCAGATGGCCTTCGGTGGGTAAATGGTTATGCAAACTCTGGTCCATTCATATCAGGGAATATTACTCATCAATGAAAAGAACAAACAAATAATTTACAGGCAACAACCTGGATGAATCTACAGAGAATCATGCTAAGTGGAAAAAGACAATTTTAAAATGTTGCATAGCGTATGATTCCGATATTCTGGAAATGACAAAATTAGAGATGGAGTATAGATTCGTGGTTGTTGGGGTAGGAGGCGATGAGATGGGAGGGGGGTGGGTGTGGCTATAAAAGGGCAACCGGAGGGATCCTGTGGGAATGGAAATGATCTGTATTTTGACTGTGTAACCATTGTGGGAAGTGGATAAAGGATATTATTTCTTATGCCAGCATGTGAATCTGTCTCAAATTAACTTGCTCAATCGTCTCAAAATAAAACGTTTAATTAAAAAATAATTGAATGCAATTTTTAAATGTTTTAAATAATACAAAATGGTCTTTAATGAAAAATGAGCTGTTCTCCCAAACCGCCTCTCCCCCACATCCCCACGCCACCTCTCTCAATGCCAGCTCTACTGCTAATTACACGTCATTTTGATAATTGTATTGATTTCTGGCTGAATTGCTCTGAATATTTCAGAATCGGTTGTTGCTTAACTAACAAGGACAAAATTAGGGATTGGAACCTAATTGGATTATTCTTGACACGGCAGTTCATCCTGACTAGTATCTCCCATGTGGCGGCTCCAGGACTGAGTCCCATCTCTCTGTTTCCTGAAGGAAACCCAGTGGGGGATGGCCTGTGTCAGGGCCTGGTTGGATTGTAATGTGCGTGTGCAAACCTTTGGCAGGAATCGAGCCCACTGGAAACATGGTGAAGCAGCCGGCCAAGTTCACGGTGGACACCATCAGCGCCGGGCAAGGAGACCTGATGGTGTTTGTCGAGGACCCAGAAGGGAACAAAGAGGAGGTATGTTGGAGGATGCTGCCTCCCCGGTCAGCATCCAGGGACCTTGTCAAGGGCCAGGGGCTGGGCCTCCATTTTCCCCACTGAAGTTTACAACAAACACTGTTCTTGACCAAAGGATCCTGAGGCTTACTGTGGTTAAAGTAACTTTCCCAAGGGCTGTACCTTGAAGATTAATATAAACTGATACCCAAGGACACAGTGTTTAATAAAATAAAGGATACTTTGAATTTAGCAAAGTCCTTGTTAGTTGATTTTTTTTTAAAAAAATAAGTTTTTATTGATTTCAGAGAGAGGAAGGAAGGAGGCAGATAGGTAGAAACATCAATGATTTTAGAAAATCATTGATTGGCTGCCTTCTGCATACTCCCTACTAGGGTTCGAGCCTGGAACTTGGGCATGTTCCCTAACTGGGGAGTTGAACCATGACCTCCTGGTTCATGGGTTGATGCTCAACCATTGAGCTATACCAGCAGGGCAAGTTGAAGTTTTAGATACTAATGGCCAAAATACTAATGAGCAGAAAAACAATACAGTACTGATAAGATACAGTACAGTAGCAATACTGATGTCCTACTCTCTTCTCACTGTGACCAGCCTTTGATTCTTCCTTCAGAGCCTTTGCACATACTGTTCCTTTTGTCTACGTATCTTCTTAAGACTATATATTCCTATTGCTATGTACTATCTAAAATTATGAGTTTACTGGCATACTGTCCATTTCTCCCACTGCGTCAGGAATTCTGCCTGATTTGTTTTAGTTTGGGCACCTAACACTGGGCCCAGCATTTCATAAACGCTTAATTACTACATGGCCAATGAAGGTTTAAGTTACTTGCTTTATAGTCTCTCTCAGTTAGAGCGTCTCAGCTCTGAGTCAGTAGAGAGTCCTGACGTGGTTAAACCTCTGCGCTACCTGATTTGTTTCTGTAACTTCAGGCTCTTCCTCCCCTGGGGTGTCCCGCAGGAAGAGTGGGGCAGGAAATAGCCGGGACAGGTGCCTGACCCGCCAGCTCGCAGCAGGAGATGGGCTGGCGCAGCATCCTTTTACTCACACCTGGTGCTTTCTCTAACTGTCACTCATCTTCCATCCTAGGCACAAGTGACCCCCGCTAGCGACAAGAACAAGACCTACTCCGTGGAGTATCTGCCCAAGGTCACCGGGCTGCACAAAGTAAGATGAGGTGTCGTGGCTGTTGCTTGGACTCCTCTCCTGGGCTTGCTTCGATATGTGCGGAAGGAAGGGGTTTTCTGAAGTTAACTTCTGATTTTCCTTCCTGATTATATAAAAGTACGCGGGCTCATTGTAGAAAATTTGGGATCCCCACGCATCAGAGTTGAGATGTTAGCTAATAATTTTGATTGGTTGGATTCCACTAGGTTTTTGTAATGTCATAGATTTTTCTAGCTGTCCAGGTAACAATGGTTGTCGCTACATGTTTGGAGTATAGATGCTCAGCCCTGGGCTTTGTCTGGAATGCTGCCTTAAGTCCCCCTCGAGGTGTTGTGGAGCCTCTGTCGGCATGGAGAAGGCCAGTGGACTGTCTCGGAAGCCAGTGGCCCACTCATGCACCTGGAGAATTGATGGGCATCCAGCCCCCAGGCCCTTTGTCTCAGCAACATTTTGAATTCTGTTTGAGTTGGTGTCTAGTTGGCTTATGGGATGGGGAACAAGGAAGTCTTGCAGAGACTGGACTGAGCTGGAAGTCTACCTTTTGTTGGAAGAAAGCCTTCAACAGCACATATAGGCCTTTCCCTGTGTACCATGCAACAGATATAGACCATACTCACCACCTTGGGCTTTAGTGAATTCACCTGGAACTGTGGCCATATAGAATTATACCTTTAGAACATCATGAATCTCGAAGAGAGCATTTATGATATCATTAATTTATTCACTTTCTATGAAACCTAACCCAATCACTCTCCCCTTCCCTTCCCATCCCCTTCCCCCGCAACCAATTTAAGAGATGGCTCAAGTTTTAGATGGAATTCTGTACTTTTCCCCAAATCCATGTGTCTAGGAATGATCTTGGTCCGTTGAAAAATACGTTGTCTCTGGGTTTGAAATCCTGGAACTGTATGTTGTATTCTGGGGAACAGTGGCCTTCTTCAGTGTTGCCAAAGGGCTCAATGTCTAGAGACTAGTATTTGTTCATATCCCACTGGAGAGGCTGAACATCAGACGTAGGCGTTTTGAGTTTGCTGAAGGTCAGCAATCCCAGGCCTGCCATATGGCTGACGGAGTCAAGTGGGAGTCCCATTCAGGCCACTCGCAGGGCTCCTGGTCCAGCCACTTCTGTGTGGGTAATCAGGAGGGTGGAGGAGAAGGTCACAAAGCACGGGGCCTTTTCTGCTGGTCTCCCTGGGCAGGGAGAAGTGGGTGTATATCATCTCTGTCACTTGTAGGTCACGGTCCTCTTTGCGGGACAGCATATCTCTAAGAGCCCGTTTGAAGTGAATGTCGACAAGGCCCAGGGAGATGCCAGTAAAGTCACCGCAAAAGGCCCTGGTTTGGAAGCTGCTGGGAACATCGCCAATAAGCCCACCTACTTTGACATCTACACAGCAGGTGAGTGCCCTCTTCCGTGGACCAGGCTTTCTTGAAAAGCCAGAGATAGTCCTCAGGAACCTAAAGCTCGGGAGTGCTTGACCTTTGCCTTTTAAGTTGAATGATCAACAACAAAAACAACTTTTTTCAATCCATCGCCCTTCCTGCCCCCATACCCTTCTACATTTATTTATTTTTAATTTTTTTCTTTTTTTTAAACAGGTTTTCAATTACAGTTTATATTCGTTATTATTATGTGTTAGTTTCAGGTGTAGAGAATAGTGATTAGGTAATTATATACTTTTTACAAAGTGGTCACCTCAATATTTCAAGTATCTACTTGGCCCCATATACATAGTTATTACAATATTATTGACTATATTCCCTGTGCTGTAATTTACATTCCTGTGACTATGCTGTAACTACCAATTTGTACTTCTTAACCCCTTCACCCTTTTCAGCCAGGCCCCAATCCCTCTGGCGACCTTCAGTCTGCTCTCTGTTTCAAATGTATTGGTTATATTTTTATATTTTTCAAAACCAGCCTTTCTTCTAAAGAAACTAAGTTTGAAGAATCATCTGCTAGATGATTCTATGCAAGATCCTGTGTGGATTGAGTGGGGAGGGATGAATAAGACAGTTCTTGAAATTGGCTTCTTTTTTTTCAGGGTAGGAAATTTACAAAATAGAATGGGAGAAAAGGAACCTTCAGCCATCACCCTTCTTCCCTGTGGCAGAATGTCAATGTCTTGGTGTGGCCCTTCTGAGTGTCTCTGTTTTCTTCATTTGCATTTTTTCTACTCATTTATTTATTTACTAGAGGCCTAGTGTACAGATGCATGCACATTGAAAGGAAATTAATTATGAGGTAGCTGGCAGGGCAAGAGAGACCAGACATGCCCCAAAGCCAACCTCCCATGGTCCCTCCCCAGCTGGCCCCACCTGGGGCAGCGCCGAGACTCAAAGGGTGTCTTGTGGAGTGAGTGGGGTCCCTCTGGCAGGTGGGATCCATTGGCCTGGCCTGTCAGGATCAGGCCAAAACCAGCAGTCCGACATCCCCCTAGGGGTCCCCGAATGCGAGAGGTGACCCGGCAAAGTTGCTGTCATTCTGCAGCTCATGCATTGAGCATCTGCCCCCTGGTGGTCAGTGTGCATCATATCTACCGGCCAGTCAGTGGATCAGGTGGTCACTTAGGCTTTTATATAGATAGATAGATAGATAGATAGATAGATAGATAGATAGATAGGTAGATAGACAGACAGACAGACTTAAAAATATATATTTTTGTTGATTTCAGAGAGAGAGAGAGAGAGAAACAGCAATGATGAGAGATTCATTGATTGGCTGCATCCTGCACGCCCTCTACTGGAAAATCAAGCCCGCAACCCAAGCATGTGCCCTGACTGGGAATCGAACCAGTGACCTCCTGGTTCATAGGTTGACACTCAACCACTGAGACACCCTGGCTGGACCATTTGCCTTTTGTATCTGCTTTTACACTCACCAGCACTGAGCTTCCCAAGAAGATGACTTGGGCTCATGGAATGTTCGCTCTATCCCAGGTGCCGGCGTGGGTGACATTGGGGTTGAGGTGGAAGATCCCCAGGGGAAGAACACCGTGGAGCTGCTCGTGGAAGACAAAGGAAACCAGGTGTACCGATGTGTGTACAAACCGATGCATCCTGGCCCTCACGTGGTCAAGGTCACCTTTGCTGGGGACACCATTCCCAAGAGTCCCTTCGTTGTACAGGTTGGGGAAGGTGAGTGCTGGGGTGGCTGGCCAGGTGTGCTGTCTGTGCACATGGCTGGGCCCCCTAGGCCGGGAGAATGGCCACTGAACTCCTCTGTCCCCTTTCCGTGGCAAGTGGCTTACTTTGTCCAGAAGATACTACTATCTTTCCATGAACCACAAAGTGACTTCAGTGCTTTACTTGCATTAACTCATTTAATCCTCCCCAAAACACTTGTCCAGGAGAGTCATTCTTCGCTGAGAAGTGCAGGACGGAGACCGCACAGGGGTTGGTGCCTGAGGCTGAAGTTAGCAGCAATAGCACCAAGTCCCCACTGTTTGGCCTTAACTGGCTGCCAGGCTCTTGGCACAACTACATCTAATTGTCACACCAGCCTGTGTGTTCCAGGTGCCTTTAGTATCCCCAGTGGGCAGATGGAGACCCTGAGACTTAGATGACATAAGGTATCGGTGAGTAAGGGCTAGGCAACAGGAGGAGTAGAACCCAGGTCTCTGTCGACCCCTTCACCACGCTGCTGAGCTCCCTCTGCAGGGGAAGCAGGTGTTTTCCTAATAGACTCTGTCCTTTTCCTTGTTGCTCTTCCTCCCCCTCTCCCCACCCCTATCTCTGCTGCCTTTTCTAATCAATACTTGCCTTTTCCTGTTCTGTCCTGCATCTGTGCCTGCAGGCCTGGCTTCCTCCTCTGACTCCTGCCTCTGGGCTGCCTGGACCCCGAAGCTGTTGGCTTCCTAGCTGAGAGCCCTGGGCCCGAGGCACCTTGCTTGGTAAGGGCTGGTTGGGTGGGGCTCCGGTGCCAGGGCTTGGTGCTGCCTGCAAATGTCAGCGGGCCCATGCTGCTGGTGGCCTCAGGAAATGACAGTTCAGTCGTTCTCACCGCGTGTCCAGCCAGGCCCCAAGCCTGCCCTCTGATTACATTTAAACATTTCACCACGGAGGAGAATCTGGCAGTTTCCTTCCACGTCTTCAGCTCTGTTTAGTGTTTATATGAACTAAGTAGTCACCCTTTTGTTATGGAGACCATTGCCCATGTACAGAATTTCCATGAGTATTCTTTATTTTTATTTTTTATAAAGACACATTTAAACCCTCCAAGGGAAGTCCTGTGACTTATTCCTGTTATGACCAACTTTCCTCCTCCCCTTGACACATGGAAAACCCCCAACATACTAGTATTCATTAACAAAACTCTTTGACATCATGCAAGCATTTGAATGGCTATCCTAGTTCCAGTAGTGTTTCCTGACCTCCTCTCTCTCGTGGATTGCCCTTTTCATTCCTGGCACGGGTCTCCATGCCTTGTGCTGAGTAGTATTTACTTATTAGAGCTCTTCTCTTGATGTACTAGTCCTTCTTCCACGTAGATGATTTTATATGAAAAAGAAGCCGACATCATTTTCATAGTGAAAAACCAGTGTTACTTGCGACAAAGTGCTGCCATAAACTCACATTCATCCATGAACCACCTAAAATCATCTCTCACCCCAAGAGTGTGTATATGTATCTGAGGAAAGCAGTTGTTGGCCAAATAGCCAATGAGGACATTGCAGAGAGGAGGGGCCAGAGGAGAAATGCCTTCCTTCTATGAAGTAAATTAAAGTCTCCTCCTCTGGGGTTGGAGACCATAGTGTATAGAAAGCTGTCAAATACGCAGTATCAGATTTAGGAAGGAAAAGTCACTTAATAAACAACATGACATTTTACCCATTAATCTCTCATTTCTATACATAATGGGAAAGTTGCCCATGTTGACAAAGCATTCTTGGGGTACAGAAAAGTCTTTTTATCAACTTTCTGATGGTTCCATGGAGCAGTAGTTTTGTGTACCTCATGTAAGGGATGTTAGAAGCTACCTTTGCCCTGAATTTTTATATTTACAAATTTAGCCTTTTTAACCAGATCTAGAAACTGTGTTGAGAGGGGTGTTCGTCGCTAGTCATTGCCCTCACAGCCGCCCACCTTCCTAGGACCGGAGACAGAAGGCACTGCAATGGCCGTCTGCCTTGGCCAGCGGAAGGTTCACTGGCTTCCTTTCGAGCTATCTCCTGGCTCTAAATGGAGAAAACGACACTGTTTAGACTCATAGAAGTGACTGACCCAAACTTTGGAGCCCGGTCAGATGTTTTCAAGCGCTACATTTTTCAAGTTGACTTGAAGAAGCCCAGTCTTCCCAATTAGTGGGCCCTTGAGTGTAGCAATGAGGTTTGAACAGTGTCCAGCACTAGGTCTTAACTCTGCTTCACCACTGAGGGGGGCAGATACATGCCAGGATTCAGCCGGTACCAGGAGCCCAGGGAATCCACCCTGTGCCCTCCGGCATTCTTCGCCAAAGGAACGCTCTCCAGTCCCTCTGCAGCGTGGGGGGACAAAGTGATGTTGTGTCCTCATTTGCTGCCCGGTGCGCTCCCTCCGCGGGACTCCTGGTCTCAGCAACGGCCACATACTCTTTGTGCAGAGCAAATATTTTCTTGGCGGGTGGCTCCAAGTTACCTTGGCTTGCTCAACTCCGACTAAAGAATGAAAGGTTGAATTGATGTCGAAATTGTGCTTGCAGCCTGCAATCCAAACGCCTGCCGGGCCAGCGGCCGAGGCCTGCAGCCCAAAGGCGTCCGCATCCGGGAGACGGCAGACTTCAAAGTGGACACCAAAGCTGCTGGAAGCGGGGAGCTTGCCGTAACTGTGAAGGGTCCTAGTAAGTGCTCCTTTCTTCCCTCCGCTCAGGTGTGATTTCGGCCAGGTTCGTAGCCTGGCCAGTTCTGATTAACTTATCCCAGAGATCTGTGTCGAAGGCTTGAGGCTACCTGGGTTCCATAGGCAAGGAAGCAGCGATAGATTTGTAATGTCTGCCCTGGTTGCAGGCAGGGACAGTGGTGGTCCTGCAGACTCACATTGTATTAAGGCTTCTGGGAGTAGAAGGAGCAGTGATGCAATGAGTTTTGGGAAATGCTGTCTTTGGGACAGCAACCTGAAGGGGCCTATTTAAAAAAATAAAAAATAAAAAATAAATATATATATATATATATATATATATATATATATATATATTTATAATTGATTTCAGAGAGGAAGGGATAAGGAGAGAGAAAGAGAGAGAAACATCTCTCTTGAGAGAGAATCATTGTTTGGCTGCCTCCTGCATGTTCCTTACTGGAGATCAAGCCCACAACCCAGGCATGTGCTCTTGACTGGACCCTTTAGTCCTCAGGCTGACGCTCTATCCACTGAGCCAAACGAGCCAGGACTGGGGGCCCATTTTTTATTTGCAGAAACTTAGGGTTACAGAGGAAGGATCTTGCCCAAGGTCCCACAGCTTGTAGGCTTCTGAGCTGGAATTCAAGCACAGTTTCCAAAGCCAGTGATTTTTCCACTATAGGTTGCACTTTATAGACTATGAAATTATGTCAGGCACCTAATTACTATGATCAGTGCGTATAGAAGGGGACTCTAAGGTGAAGTTTCCTGGTAAACAAATGCCATCCATGGAGAGGTGGGTTGTACCCTGCACCTCATTCTTGCTCCCTGTTTGGGGAAGGGAGACAGTAGATGTGAGGATGGGGGTGAGGACCATCCTCAAGTTTTCCCCTGGAATGGATAAGCATCTCAGCATTTCTAGTTGCAGGTGCAGAAGCCCTTGACTTGTGGGGTCTTGGGCTTCCTAGTATAGGACTGTGCTTCCCCTCTGTGTTTCCCAACAGGCTGGGCAGGGGCGTTCTGAGTTCCAGAAAGTTAATATCTGTCCTTGGAGCACCAAGCTGTGGGGCAGGCTGAGCCTTAAGGGCAGCCAAGGATCTAGACTGCTCACACCTACAGCCACGCTGCTCTGGGGCTGCCCTCCCTCCTGGCTTGTTGCTACAGGAGCCAAGGAGGCGTGTGTGTTTTTTCCTGACCTTAGATTCTCACTTGACTGAATGTCTTTCCCGGCCAAACCTCAAGGCTCCACATAAAACAAGTTCCTGCCTGATGGCTTGCTCTGGAGTCTGTGGTGGAGCATCTAAAAGCTGTCTTCTTGTAGATAGCGCCTAAGAGCCTTCTCACTTTCACGGTCCGGCTTCAGTTGAAAAAGACATTGCCAGGACACGAACCCGGAACTCATGCCAAATACTCATCCATTCCCTCCCCAGTTTGGGGGGAGGGGGAGCTGAAATGGGTAGAATTATTGAGGAAAAATTGAGATGCCAACTAGGTTTATCTTTGCACAGTCCCTGGAGGGTCAGGCCACATAGCCCCCTCGTGGCTGAGAGAGCCCACTAAAGCCAGCTAGCTGAAACCTTCCAGTTCCCCACAATCGGAAGCAGAAAGGGGCCCATTTTTAGCTCTGGATGAATCTCTCAGGGTTTTAGGGGTCCCACTCTCTGAGGTGGCCCACTTAGCTTTTCTCTGTGACCATGTTTGTGGCTATGTCTGTCTTCCCGTCCTTGTCTTTGGGGTTCTCGTTCTGAGCCTCGGATGGCATGGGAAAGGCAGTGTGCTTTCTTCCCACAGAGGGCCTGGAGGAGCTGGTGAAGCAGAAAGGCTTTCTGGATGGCGTCTATGCGTTCGAGTATTACCCCAGCACCCCGGGGAAGTACAGCATTGCCGTCACATGGGGGGGACACCACATTCCAAAGAGGTGAGCCTCTGTTTCGACTCCTCTGGAGGTGCTGGGCCCAGGGCAGGCTCACCGTGGTGGCTTCCTGAGCTGCAGGAGGGAAAGAGATCTGCTTTGTTGCAAACATTTTTTTTTCTTCCCTCTTCCTGGCAGTTCGCAGACATTTGGCCTGTTCTCAAAAGCAGCAGAAAGTCGCTGTGGTTTCAGCTGCCTTGCTTTAAATCGAATGCTGGCGGTTTGGGGGCAGCGGGAGGCGGGGAAGCCAGAAGGAGCAGTAATAGAGAGCAAATGGACTGTGTGTCTGCATACCCTTACATAAGCCGGGGTTCTCTTTCTCTCAATGCACGCCTCTGTTCAGGAATGCCACGGGGTGAAATCTGCTGTTGTTCACATTAACGTCCTCTACGTGAGCGCAGGCAGGAATCCAGGGGGCAGTCCGCAGCTCTGCCGTGTGGGCGTGCAGGACGCCCGCCCTGTGTTTACGTATTTTCCAGCTCTTCTGGGGGCGACTTTAAACTCTGAATAAATTCAGTTTACCTTGAGGACTATCTGGGCATGTTATAGGGTTCTGAAAATCTAAGCAAACTACTTTTATTTTATTTTATTTTTTACTTCCTGCAAAAAGTTAAAGCGCGCTCATTAATGTTGAGCTAACACCTGTTCAACCTAGTTTTGTTTTTTTTAAATATATTTTATTGATTTTTTTTTTTAGAGAGAGGGATAGAGAGTTAGAAACATCGATGAGAGAGAATCATCAATCAGCCGCCTCTTGCACACCCCCTACTGGGGAGTGCCCGCAACCAAGATACATGCCCTTAACCAGAATCGAACCTGGGACCTTTTAGTCTGCAGGCCCGATGCTCTATCCACTGAGCCAAACCTGTTTCGGCCAACCTAGTTTTTTATTATAGTCTCATGAGCCCTGCACACAAATGGTAAATGACCAGAAAGACAGTGCAAGGCTGTGTGGCTTGAGCACCAGCCCAGTGGCCACCCCAGTGCCTTGAGGCAGCACCTTATATTGGTGACCTAACAATGGCTGAGGGGGCCCTGTGTGGAGGAAGGGCTTGGCTGGAGACTGGAACTGCAGGTCAGAGGATCCAGCAAGTGGAAAGAATAGGCGTAAGTAGCTTATGGCCATAGTTAGCCCCTTCTGCACTATTTAATGCTTCTTCTCCTTTCCTTTTAGCCCCTTTGAAGTTCAAGTTGGCCCTGAAGCAGGCATGCAGAAAGTCCGCGCGTGGGGCCCTGGCCTCCATGGTGGGATTGTGGGGCGGTCGGCAGACTTCGTGGTGGAGTCCATTGGCGCTGAAGTGGGGTCTCTGGGTAAGTGCATGCAGCTGACCAGCAGCTTCTGTAAGGCTGAGATTGTAGGCGTGCTTGGGCCCGGTTTTAGGCCGAGAGTTGGGGCCTCCTGAGCCTCACTACCCTTAACCTCCTGGTCTCTTCACCATGAGAGGCTCCTCTGCACACTGCTGTGGAATTGCAGTTCCCATTTTCCACCTGCCCTTCAGGTTGCTCTCTGCTTCATTCATTCATTCTTCCACGAGAGCAAGCATGTCAAATTCAAAGGCTAACATGGAACAAATAAACAAGGTTAAAGTTTATATGGGCCACAAAAAAACAAAAGCTTCAGTTTTCATAGAAACGTAGACTTATTTCGATAGAGTCATGCTGAATACAAAGGGCTGAAAGAAATGAGTAATCGTTAACATAAAAAATATTTTTAACATTAATAAAAACTAATTTTTTTATTGAACATTAACTTGCCAGACACTGAATAACTGCACAAATTAATAAGCGTAGTGCAAATAAACTAACAAATAAACCTTTTTTTGTTATTCTCCAAAAACAAAATGTTTCCTGTTGTGCACACCAAAAAAGTCCACGCCTAATGTTGTGGCAAGCAGCTACTAAAATAGTTGCTGCCATATTTGTGGAGAGAAATGATGTGCCTGCATGTAAGGCGCGTAAGGGAAATGAATGCAACATGATTACAGTAATCGGTCATTAGCGAACGTTGTAGTTCGTTATTAATCATGTATAACAGGATATTGTAAAAATTAAGTTACAAAATTTTTATTAAAATGTTTCTTACGTATTGTGATATTGGCTGGGCCGCACAAATATTCACTGTGGGTTGTGTGTGGCCCGTGGGCCGTGAATTTAACATGTTTGCACTAAAGGCTTTCTGTGGCTGTTGTAGGCACTCAACTAATACTGTTGATTGCTCCTTAGTTTAGATGAATGAATTAACTTTTTTTGAAATCAGAAATTTAGGGAGTAAATATTCTTTGGAACATAACGGAATGTATTTTAAATACACACCTGATGTATATATGATCATTTTTAGATCGATGGTCAACATTCATCTCTCTTCAAAGGATCAGCTAGCAAATATTTTAGCGTTGTGGGCCATATTCTCTCTCACACCTATTCGACTCTGCTGTTGTGGCATGAAAGCAGGAGTAGAAAATACACAAGCGAAGGAGTAGTATGGCTGTTTCAGTAAAACCTTATTTACAAAAGCAGGCAGTGGTTAGGTATGGCCTAGTGGTCGTAGTTTGATGACCTATATTTCAGGCACTAAAAATAAGCAAAAAGGGGAAAATAAGAAATCACATTAAATTTTTCCTTCTAGAGAGAAACTAAATATTTCAGTATATCCTTGTAGACGAGAGATACTGTTAAGCCTTTTGGCGTATCCTTTTAGACTTTTTTCTGAGCCTACACATACAAATATGTATCTGCCACAAAAAAATATCTGGGGGAAGTCCTTTTATCTTCCTGCTTCAGATAAATATAGAACATATCTCGATTTTCCATGACTCCCATGGGATTCCATTGCATGGTTATACCTTATTGGGCTCTCCAGTTATTTCCAGGGTTTTACTATACAAACAGTGCTTATCTGTTTGCACACATCCTTGGTTATTTCCTTCAGATAAAAGCCCACACGCGGATTTGGTAGGGGAAAGGGTGGGCATTGGTTTAAGGCTTTGGGTACGTTTCCATATTGCCAGCAAAGGTTTGCTGGTTGGCCTTATTGTTAGAGGATACAAAAAACAAAACAAAAAAACCCCCAAAACCCCCATAAAATCCAATTCTTCCTCTCTAGTGAACACTCAGTAGGCTTGGTTTTGTGAGAAAGGGACACACACAGGTTTCCATCTTCTGGGCAACGCTTGGCTTGTAGGCAGGCAGAGGGAGGGAGCTGATAGTAACATAAACTAGGTCCTTTTCCCCATGTAACCAGAGGGCCCCCCACCCATCCCCCCACTCTCCCCAGGGTTTGCCATTGAAGGCCCCTCCCAGGCGAAGATTGAGTATGACGACCAGAATGATGGATCGTGCGACGTCAAGTACTGGCCCAAGGAGCCCGGCGAGTACGCTGTCCACATCATGTGTGACGACGAGGACATCAAGGACAGTCCGTACATGGCCTTCATCCACCCGGCCTCAGGAGACTCTAACCCCGATCTGGTGAATCAGCTTGTTTTGTTTTGTTTCTGGCTTCTGGGACCCTCCCTGGTGCCAGAGAGATGCCTCAGGCAGAGTGTTAAAAGATGGCAGCGAGGAGTCTTTTCGAGTTTAGGAGGGAAACGGGCCTGCATGGGTACCACTGAGTATTTTTCTAATGTTGGGCAAGAAACTTACCTCTGACTCTTGGTATCTCCCTCTATAAAGTGAGAATGACAGGGGTGTCTGCTTCCTAGAGTTTCTGGGATGCTTCACTGTGGTAACTGACATGCCCAGAGACAGCCCTTAGACCAGTGCATGGCCCCTGCAGGGGGCCCCATAGGAAGCTGTTTCCTTGCAACCTGGAGCATCATATTTCAGTCTTGCCACTTTTTGAGGTTATTATTTCAAGATGTTCCATGGATAATGGTGTGTGTGTTGTTTTTTTTCCCCTCCCCAGCTCCCTTCTCTTAAATTAGAGCTGTATTTTCAGTGTTTACAAGGGTTTTCCTCACACCCTTTGCAGACTGATAAGCATCAAGTCTGAGCCAGCCTGGCCGACAGGAGGAGGCCCGCCGACCCCTGTATGCTGCTGTCTGCCCACATGGGCAGCTGTCCACAGGCTGCCTGCTGGTCCTTTGTTCTCTGGGGGCTGCACACATTTAGAACATTGTTTGTAGCAAAGAGTAGCATTGGAATCGGGCATGGCTGGACGTCCCTGGTCCAGTTACTAGAAGTTCTCCATGTCGGCTCAGAATAAGGCAAGGAGCCCAGCCTATTTTGGGGCCTGGTAAAGAATTTTCTCTTTCATGAGGCGTTAATGGTACGGTTTTTCGTTTTTAAGTTAGAACTTACTTTAGCATTTTCCTTCCACTAGCCATCCTGTTATGTAGGTGCTGTAAAGCTGGTGGCCCCTGGTCACCAGTCTTCACACAGGGATTTAGTTGGGGCATTCATTGCACTGAAAGACAATCATTATTGACCTTTTGCCCCAGGTCCAAGCGTACGGGCCAGGTTTGGAGAAATCTGGGTGCATTGTCAACAACCTGGCCGAGTTCACCGTGAACCCTCAGAATGCTGGCAAAGCTCCCTTAAAGATATTTGCTCAGGTACGTTTCCAAAGGTCACCTGTGCAGGTAATTGTCAGGTGACAAGATCCCACAGAGCAATGGTAAGTTGCTCAGTTCATCTGATCCTCAGTTTCCTTATCTACACAGTGGGAACAATAAGAATGCTTAACCTCACAGATTATGTGTGAAGAAAATGGGGTTCCAACATGTAAAGCAGGGTGCTTTTCTGCTTTTTTAAAATATATTTTTATTGATTTCAGAGAGGAAGGGAGAGGGAGATAGAGATAGAAACGTCAATGATGAGAGAGAACCATTGATCGGCTGCCTCTTGCACATCCCCTACTGGGGATCAAGCCCACAACTCGGGCGGATGCCCTTGACCAGAATCAAACCTGAAACCCTTCAGTCTTCAGGTCAACACGCTACTGAACCAAACCGGCTAGGGGAGCAGGCTGCTTTTCTTATTTTTATGATGTTTATTCTGTGGGAACAAGGCTTGATTGTTTCAGATTTCCCTGTAAATGTCTTGGTGTACCTGATGAGAGGCCATGATGAGAGGTTTGCAAACAAGGATTTATTAAACAAGTTAATTTAATTGAATGTGGTCAAAGGATTTCAATGCAGGCATTGAAATTAAGCATTGAGTGGTGATGGTTTTCTCTTTTGGCCATTTGCTCTCAATTAAAAAGGAATAAATGCATTAGTGTTTCTCACCTGTGGTCACAGCCACTGTAATGTGAGAAGTGGCAAGCCTTTCCCTGTGGTTTTATTGCACGTGTGCGTGGTGATGTGTCTGTCTTGGGAGGCTCCGGTGGCTCTGTTTGTTGAAGACAGTTGAGGGCCAGTTCTGCTCTTAGCCCCTGCTCTTTTTGCAGGATGGAGAAGGCCAACCCATTGACATCCAGATGAAGAGTCGGATGGACGGCACGTACGCCTGCTCCTACACCCCAGTTAAACCCATCAAGCACACCATTGCCGTGGTCTGGGGAGGAGTGAACATCCCTCACAGCCCCTACCGGGTAGGTTGTGAGGCGGAATCCTGGCCTTGGTAAGGAAAAGCTCAGTCCCGTGGCAGGTCTGGACTCCATCCATGCTGGATGGCCAAGGCGATTCCTGGGAAGAACCCATCATCCTTCGTGGCCTTGAAAGATGGAGTGCCCTGAAGGCAGAGTGCTCTAGATTGCCCAAAAGGACTGTCTCTAACAATGTTAGCTAACAGTGTTTTCCTGAGTCCAGGTGGAGGAAGACGTGGTTATAACTTTCTCTGTGTCTCCTAGGTCCACATTGGGCAGGGTAGCCATCCCCAGAAGGTCAAAGTGTTTGGGCCAGGCGTGGAGAGAAGTGGACTGAAGGCAAATGAGCCTACTCACTTCACAGTGGACTGTACTGAGGCTGGAGAAGGTGAGAGGGGGCTTCACCCAATGCAGTGATTGCTAATCCTTGGGGAATTAAATTCTTTTTATAATGGTACCAGGGCAGTGAACTTTGAACCAGAAAGTAGTCCACCTGGAATAGGTAACTAATGAGTCTCTGTGTCAGTTCCTTGGCTATATCTTTGCTAATCCTCCATCCTTTCTCCCAACCCCTGGCTTACCACAATCCCTTTCTCGTGTTTCTTGCCAGTTACGTATTTTGGGGCGTTCTTCCGAGCTGGAAGTGATTGCTTGGGACATGCTATTTCTTGTAAGCTGGTGCTAATGAGCTGGTCTGTTCTAGGTGATGTCAGCGTTGGCATTAAATGTGATGCCCGGGTGTTGAGTGAGGATGAGGAAGACGTGGATTTTGACATTATTCACAACGCTAACGACACGTTTACAGTCAAATATGTGCCTCCTGCCGCCGGGCGATACACAATCAAAGTTCTCTTTGCATCTCAGGTGTGTGGGGGGCCTGGGTTCTCTCTGGCCATCTGTGCGCATTGGGAAGGTGTCTTCAGAACTCCGCCCCATAGTTTTTCTCTTTGGTTCATTAAAACCAAGAATGGGGGGGTGGGGTGGGGGAAACAGAACTAAAGTTTTACCTCTTTCTAACGAAAGTGAGGCAGTGTAGTCAGTGTAGTCCAAAGCAGGGCTCTGGAAGGAAATTGGTTTGTTATAAACTTCCATCAACTTTCTGTTTGAAATGTAATTGAGTTCTACTGTGACCTCTTTGAAGCCATGACTTTGGCCTCAGCCTTGAAACTTTTATAGAGAGAAGAAGCTCTGAAGTTTCAGATAAAGTTCCAGTTTATGAATGACCCTGAAGGTAGGATAAGCAACACCTACATGGGGAAGAATGGAACCTGTAATTCAAATTAACCTTGCATAGAAATGGGGACCTCCGAGGGAAGTTCTGTTTCTGTTTTTGAAGGGGTTGGTCTTGAGTTGGCCTCATCCCCTTAACCTGTTCTGCCTTTATTTTGACAGTCTGTGACATTCTTTTTGAAGAATTATAACCATTCTACTTCTGATCAATTCCTTGCATTCTCCGCTGCCCAAAGAGTACATTTCCCTCCCTCCGACCCCATGTATTATTGCCACTTTTGGTCTTATTTTCATTGGTATTTTTTGCATCCTAACTATTGTACTCAGCCATTGGTGTTAAAGGCTCTGGGTTTCCAGATTAGTTTGTGGGAAACCTTCCTTTGGCTGTGAAGAAAATGGGTGAAAGCCTGTGATGTCGGGGATCAAGGCATCCTAAGTGATGGATTACCGCCCTTACCTGATGCTAGAATGAGGGGGTTTAACTTGTGGAAACAAGCGTGCTCGCCACCGCTCGCATCAGAGTTGTGCCGAGGATTCCTTCCTCTGGGGCAGAGGCTAAGTGCTGGCCTTTGCTTCGGGGGCTTTCCTACTGAGGCAGTGTCTCTGCTGCAGGAAATCCCTGCCAGCCCCTTCAGAGTCAAAGTGGAACCTTCCCACGATGCCAGCAAGGTGAAGGCGGAAGGCCCGGGCCTCAGCAAAGCAGGTAAGGAGGCGTGTGTGCAAGGCCACTCTGGAGGCTCTGCAGGCCCGTCAGAGGGCATGCTCAGTGCTCGGTGTGGGGCCTGTGGGACCCGAGGCTGGGATCCAGGTCAGCAGCGAGCTCTGGCTCTGGCTGCCTCTGTAGAGCAGGTGCTGATGAACCTGTCAGACAGGTTCTAAAAGCGAAACCGCTCAGCCAGGCCTGTCTCCTCACCTCACGGTGTATCTTTCCAGGCGTGGAAAACGGGAAGCCAACCCACTTCACTGTCTACACCAAAGGGGCCGGCAAAGCCCCACTGAACGTGCAGTTCAGCAGTCCCCTCCCCGGCGACGCGGTGAAGGATTTGGACATCATCGATAATTATGACTACTCCCACACTGTGAAATACACACCCAACCAGCAGGTAGGGCTCCCATCCCCTTGTCCGCAGGCCCTTCCAGGCCCCTGTCCCCTCCGTGCGGTGCTGGGCCACTTTGGACGCCGAAGGTGTAATCTGTGTTCCCTCATCATGCCTTTTGTTCTGAACCTGATCGGATCTATCAGGAGGGCCTGAAGGATCCCCAAGAGTAAGCCGGAAGCCAGCCCATCTCTCCTCACCCCAGTCTCTACCTCTGGGTTTTAGCAGAGAAATGCTCATGAAATTCAGGACCTAATAATCTACTTCTTTTATACACAGTCTTCCCATCTGCACAGCTGCCTTTTAGTCTTGGATTGATGGCTCAGAGAGAGAGTTGTCACGCCTTTGTTTTTTCTTCCTGCCCTTTAAGCTTAGTTTACCCTCTTTACAAGGTGTTATAGTGGGGCCTTTCTCAGAGCCTCTCCTCAAAGAGCCGGTGGCCAGCCTTTAGGCCTTTCAGGCTTGAAATGCTCTTTAGGGCCCCAGATTGCCCCCTTTTATGAAATGTAGGAACACAGACAGGATTTTACCCTCCAGCGGGTTTTGTCTGATTATTTTAGGCAATCCGAGCCTAAAAAAGTACCCCGCTGTACAAGTTAATGTTTATTTGTTTAGAGTTGTTTTTCTTCATGTCCAACCTCTGGAGTCTGGGGAGCCAGGAGTCCCTGCAGAAAAGCCCAGATGTTAGTGCTCATGCAGAGTGTTCTAAACGGGCATCCCAAACCTCCGAGACGCCTTCGTGCTTGGAGAGCAGAGCCCCGGCTGAGGAGTCCGTTTGCAGGAGAAGCCGGGCGTGCTTCCTGCAGCCTCACTCAGGGACCGGGCCGGGCGTGGGGAAGAGGGAGGGCACAGTGAGGGCGAGCGAAGGTGGAGGTTCCTTCATCGAGGGCACCGTTTCCCTAGAGAAGGGGTCTTCACTGGGAGAATGTCCCTGACTCTAACGGGGTTTCTCTGGGGCAGGCTTGTGTGGCACATTACCAGTGTGGCTTCTTATCTCCAGATGTGCTTCTTCCTGTCGGTTTATTATTATTATTATTATTATTATTATTACTTTTACTTTAATGAGGGGTTCATTATTCGTAGTGGTAAAATGAAGACATTACCCTTTTGTCATCAGGCTGCTCAGTGCTCAGTAGGTGACTATCTTCCTGTGGATGCTCTTGAGGGCTGCTGAGGGCCTCGCCTCCAGGGGCACTAGCTTCATGTCATCTTTCTTGCCAGCACTCCGCCTTCCTCTGGGGAAGGCACCAGAACGCATGGACATGCACACTGATCAGATCATAAGGTCATAGATTCTTCCAACAGCATTTTAGACGCTTGCTTTGCCCTGGACCTACGTAGCTTTGTGTGTTCCCGCTGTGCTGCTAAAAAGTCAGCTGCAGAGATAGGACAGGCTTAGGTTTTGACCTGCATCCCAGGAGGGATTTTAGTACCATTGCCCTGGCTGACCCCGCTGCCTCTTGAGGTTGAGGTGGAGGTCTGAGCCATGTCCTATTCCGTTGCATTGGATATGAGGCTCGAGTGGGAAGGTCCTTACTCCAGTCACCAAGGTCAGGGCCATCCAGTGCTCTGATAGCAGCAGGTGGGAAGGAGATCTGTGTGCTCATTGGCCCCTTGGGGCTTTTTGTCCAAATGCTGCCCATCCTACATCCTAGGAGCCTGGCGATGCCCTGGTTAGTCACTCCCTCTGGTGGGAAAAGCTCATGGTGCCTCTCGGGTCCTTCGCGGTTTAGAGTGGGGTTTTCTGTTTCGCCATTCGGGCAGTTTACAATCCTGCATATGTCTCCATAGAAAACAGACCAAATCTCTCCTCCTGGAATAGGATAATAGATAAATGAATTCCTTCTTTCCTCCACAGCCCCGAGCACAGGCCTGGTGCTGTGAGCACTCCATGGGGTATAGCCCAGTGGGTGAAGCCTCAGCTCAGAGACACTTAAGAACTTTGTAATCCGCTAGAGAGTGGGGCCAGCACGCCCCTTTCCCCTTTGCCCTCTGTGTTCTGAAGAGCACCTAACAGCGTAGGGTTGGGTTAAAGGAGTGTACCTTTTGAGCTCTTCTCTGGGATATAGTTAAGAGGCCTGTGCAGGCCGGAAACCTGTGCCTGTGCAGAGGTGCTGACACCCACAGGCACACTGAGGTGGTTTTAGGGAACAACAGGCTGGAACTTCCCAGCAGTGCAGCTGTCTGGTGTGTGTGGAGAGACGGATGCGTGAGCGCTCTGCCCTCGGAATGCAGGCCGTGGTGTGAGGAGCACGGCCTCACTGATGGCTGGCTCTGTGCTTCCGCGTACCCACAGGCTGCTGCTGTCCTCTGCAGGGTCCCCGAGCCACAGGTGGACGCGCTCCCCTGCCTGCCGGGGGCCAGGGATGACCCGGCTGATCCTATAGTTTTGTCGGAAGATAGTGGGCAGAGCTCTTTTTGCCTCGGAGGAGTGGACTGAGGCTGGGGCTTGAGGACCTCCCGAAGGTCGGACAAGGCTTGGTTTCATGGAAGGGAAGTTACGCAATGCACTGGTAACAGTCCTTCCCCTGGAGGATTGTGACTGCTGGTGGCTGGGGGCCCCAGAGGTGGCTCCCGTCCTGTGGACATCTGAGCTCTCAGGTCCCGGTCTTGGTGTGTGTGTGTGTGTGTGTGTGTGCGTGTGTTTGCAGAGTAAGATTAGGGTCTCAGAAGCATGTAGGAGTGAGTAAAACTGTCCCCCATTCCGAGAGGAAGTCTTTGTGAAATGCCCCAGTGGTCACAGCTCAGGCGTCCCTCACCTCAGAGCACAGGCTGGGGCCCAGCAGACCTTCAGAGGCTGCAGACCATCGCAGTGTAACTAAGCTTTCTTCCCCCGTTAGGTTACTTAAGGAGAGTTAGCTTCCCATCGGAGTTTTTTTTTTTAATGACGGGTAATGAGAACGTCCCTTCTCTTATGGCAGTGGTCGGCAAACTCATTAGTTGGCAAACTCAGTCCACAGAGCCAAATATCAACAGTTGAAATTTCTTTTGAGAGCCAAATTTTTTAAACTTAAACTATATAGGTAGGAACATTAGGGTACTGCTAAGCTGGCCTTTGCTAAAAACTCAAGAGGCCAAAGAGCCACACGTGGCTCCCGAGCCTCAGTTTGCCGATCACTGTCTTGTGGGATGGGGAGGCTTCGCTGGTGGAGGGTTTTCCCTCTCTCCTTTGCCTCCAGAGAGGCGGCTGCATGCGTGCAGTGCGCGGTGGAGAAGGATTCCAGATCCCTGGGTCGGCTGCGAGGCCTGGCCCTCCCGGAGGGAGGTCGGGGCGTTGGGCACATTAAAGCCCCGGATGAGCTGGTGTGTGGGGAATGGGCTGGCGTGTCGGGTCTGCTGTGGTGGCCGAAGTTAGCCCGTCCCTGCTCTGTTGAATCTGGCCTGTGAACATTTTACCATGAAATGTATACACCCTGGAGGCGGGGGGCCGGTTGGTTTTGTGTGCAGAGCAAACAAATCCTGGAAAATCAATCCTCTCTTCTTCAGTGATACAGCTGATTTTTTTTCCTTGGCTTTCCCCCCACTTTGTTATTATAAAGGGAACGTGAGAAAATATATGCAGGCCAGAAGCCACACCCTTTTAACACTTGCTCAGCAACAGCTTTCAGCAGGGGCTGAATTCCAGGGAGCTCTGCTCTGCACTCCCAGGGCGGGGCTCCTCTCTCTGCCCTTCTCCCCCCTCCTTGCCCCTTTGAGGTTAGGGGGATCTTCATCAACTGAGACAGCAGTGGGCTCTCATGAGCCTTGGTGTGGAGGGTGGGGCAGTAGGGAGAGGAAGCTAAGGCCCCCTGCTTCCCCCAGAAACGAGGGTGGGTGGGGGTGAGGGGGGGGGTGAGTGGCAGAGCTGCTGGGATACGGGTTTGGGTGCCATGGGTGTGAGGCCCAGCTCACGCTTCCCAGGAGGGTGACTCGGGGGAAGTGACTACCTCTCTGAGCCCAAGTTTCCTTTTCTGGAAGAAATAGGGTGACAGAGGGAGTTACCCCTTAGGATGGTGCTCCAGGCTGAATCCAGGAAATGCCTAAAAGCACAGAGCACAGTGTGCTCCTGGAGTTTTCCCTGTTGTTGTTGCTCATATTTTATCTGCCTTCCCTGAGGTTCTTCCTGTGGGGCCAGGAACTTAGCGAAATATGTCTGCGATGCTTTCTGTACCCACTGGCGTCAAACTCCGTGCCTCTGGGAGGACGAAAGGTCCAGGGGGCAGGTGTAAGCACCAAGTTAGTATGTTCGGACCTAACGGTGTACTCGGTTTCTCTCGTTCCAGGGGAGCATGCAGGTCCTGGTTACCTATGGCGGCGACCCCATCCCCAAAAGCCCTTTCTCTGTGGGCGTGGCCGCCCCTCTGGACCTGAGCAAGATCAAGATTAACGGCCTGGAAAACAGTGAGTGTATGAATGGAGGGGCGGGGCATGGAAGACCAGCACTCGGGCTGCCAGCTAGATTCCCTTCCAAAGACGGAGTGATTTCTGCCTGAAGAGACCGTAGTGGGACAGACTTGCTTTGGAATTAGGGCCGTGCATTGGGAACTAACTTGCAGCTTGAGCTCACCGAGCCCCATTTCTTATTTGTGCAGTGGAGCCAGGGGGGGAGGGGAGGGGGTGGGTAAGGGGTATGTGTGGAGGTGATCTGGAACACTCAAGGGAATATTGAGCTAATAATTCAGTCCCTGGCACAGGAACTCAGTGCCAGCCCTCAGCTGGCACCACACTGGAATGCTCTCATTACAAAGCAGTCGGGCACGTTGCTTTCTGGCGAGCATCTCGGTGCCAGCTCTCCTTGGCCACGGCATCCACTGGAGGGTCGGGCGTCGAGCACCAGAGCCAGCTCCCTGGCACTCAGAAGCCATAACGACCACACAAACCATCCCAACTGCCCCCCTTCTCCCGCTATTCCCTTAGCTTGTTCGGTATCGTATTACTACAAGCTCATTGCATTTCGTTTCAATTAAGAAAAAAGTTCATTAGTGAAAATTTCAAACAGAGAAAAGAGAATAGTATAATATGAACACTGATGTACTTACCACTCAGCTTCAGAAGTTTAGCATTTGATTATAAAATTATTATTTTTTTTTTTACCAAGAAATACATATACTGTTGGGGTTTTTTTTCATCTAAAAAAAAATCAAAACTAGAAGTAAATTCCACTTTAGCCATTCCCTCTTCCCTCCCTAGGGTTAACCAAAGTTATCGGCTCGTTTTCTGCCCTCCCAGACCCTCTCTCTGCATCTGTGCATGAGTATTTGCATCTGTGTGTGGGTATCTGCCAGTGGCCGTGTTTATTTTGCATTAGAGTTATGTTGCTCTCCATTACACTAAGCGAAATAAGCCAGTCAGAGAAAGATAAGCGACACATGATCTCACTCATTTGTGGATTATAATGAACAACATATAAACTGATGCACAAAAACAGATCCAGAGACAGAGAAGCATCGATCCAATGCTCAAACCTCAGAGGGAAGGCAGGGGAGGGTGGGGGAAGAGGGAGAGATCAGTCAAAGGACTTGTATGCACACATAGAAGCCTAACCAATGGACACAGACACCAGGGGGGTGAGGGCATGAACCGGAGTGGGGTGAGGTGAGGGCAATGGGAGATAAGGATACATATGTGATACCTTAATCAATAAAGAAAAAAAAAACATTAAAAAAAAAACACCTCACGTTGCTCACCCCAGTGTCTTCGGCCTGCCTTCCGTCAGCAACGCTCCTTGGCGAGCATTCGCACCAGGAGGTGCAGGCTGGCTGCCCTGCGGGGCCACACGCTCAGGTGCGTGGGAGGCTCCATGCGAACCCCAGGACAGAGAGGCCTCTTGTCCCCGCCGTGAGGGTCCTATCGGGTCTCAGTGGGGCCACCCGTGAGCGCCTTCCTTGGCCTGTCACCCAAACACTCGTGTTGTGAATGAGGCCAGCTCTCACTCCAGGGCCCTGAATCGAGCTTGATGCCTGCTCTGTCCCTGGAGGCGGCAGCCAGCTCTGAGCATAGGGATGACCACCGTGGAACCTTTCATGTGTCCTCTCGTCGCTTTCTCCGAGACACCGAGGGCTTCCACTCCAGACCCGGTAACCCTCAGTGCCGGTTAGGAAAGTCCTTTGGGACTGGGGCTCCGAGGCCACCTTGCTGAGGTTGCTCAGTGCTCGTCGAGGCAGGCCCCGTGCTGCTAAGAGTCAGGATTTCCTGGGGCGGGGCGGGGGGAGGCCCCACACTCTGTTCAAGTTCCCAGGGTTTTTGTTTTGGTTCGAAGTCCTTCCCCTGTTTTTGTCGAATGCGGCCTGCTGTGCAAAGACCTTTCAAATACCAGCTCCGTGACTTTTGCCTTCTTGGCTGTAGGATTAAATCTGCTGCCAAGAATTAGTAAATAAAACACTGGTTATGGAAATGTTTTGATACAAAGCGAACACCGAAAGTGAGTAGAGGAGAGGAGACAGTGCCGGCCAGCAAAGTAGGGTGTGGAGTCAAGTACACTCAGGTTTGGGCTCCAGCTTTGTGATCTGCTGGGTACGCCCCCCCCCCCCCCCCGACCAAGGACTCCACCTTCCCGGGCCTCAGTTTCCCCACCGGTGAGAGCCCTTGGTTAGTAGCCAGCACTCCACAGGGCTGTGGTTGGAGCGGAAGGAGGTGATGTGCTGTCCCAAGGCCTGGTGTACGGAATGCGTCCGGTGAAGGACAGCTGTCACTGTCAGTATGAATCATCGTTCCTGAATAGTTAATTGGCTTGCCTTTTCCAGGAGTGGAAGTTGGGAAGGACCAGGAGTTCGCCATTGACACCCGAGGGGCGGGAGGCCAAGGCAAGCTGGACGTGACGATCCTGAGCCCCTCGAGGAAGGTGGTGCCGTGCCTGGTGGCGCCGGTGCCCGGCCGGGAGAGCAGCACGGCCAAGTTCATCCCGCGGGAGGAGGGGCTCTACGCCGTCGACGTGACCTACGACGGGCACCCCGTGCTGGGGAGCCCCTACACGGTGGAGGCCTTGCTGCCGCCTGATCCCACCAAGGTCAGCTTCTGTTCTTGTTGGGCACCATGCCGCCCGCTGTCTAACACACCCCCTCTGATCCTGGCAAACACCTAGGCGAAAGCCTACCGTGGTGATAGTCAGTTCTCCGTGGCTGACTGCCGTCCCCTCTCCTGCAGGCCGGCGTACAGGGTCCTGCGCGCAGCTGGGCCCCTCCCTGCACCTCCTCTCACTGTCTGGCTGTGAGGGCCTCCCCTTCCCCGAGTTCAGCTCCTTCATTTGTTAAACTTTGTTTTTAAAATGTGTTTATTGATTTGAGAAAGAGAGAGAGAGAGGAAGGACGAGGGATAGAAAAAACAATGATGAGAGAAACATCCTCAATCAGCTGCCTCCTGTACCACTCCCTACTGGGGATTGAGCCTGCAGCCTGGGCATATGCCCTGACCAGAAATCAAATCAGGGACCTCTTGGTTCCTAGGCTGACACTCAACCATGGAGCCATGCCGGCCGAGCTGTTCCTTCACTTGTCAGTGTAATACTGGTACTGGCTTCAAAGGGAGCCTGTCAGGTAGGGGAGATGTGAATGTGGAGGCCTCTGCCCGGCGCCCAGCACACAGTAGACTCTCTGATAGATGCTGTAATAATAAAAGAGTAATATGCTAATTAGATGGGACAGCCAAACAACCTTCCGGACAAAGCCGTAGTGGCAGGGGCCAAGGCAGAGGTGGTTAGGGGCGATCAGGCAGGCAGATGAGTGGTTAGTGTGGATCAGACAGGCATGCGGAGTGGTTAGGGCAATGAGGCAGGCAGGCAAGCAGTTAGGGGTGATCAGGCAGGCCAGCATTTAGGAGCCAGCGGTCCCAGAATGCAAGAGGGATGTCCGACTGCCGGTTTTAGCCCTAAACTGGCAGTCAGACATCCCCAGAGGGGTCCTGAATTACGAGAGGTGCAGGTCAGGCTGAGGGACTCTCCATCCCACTTTACATGCCCCATCCCCATCTGGAAGGTGGGGAGGCCCAGAAGGTGGGGGGACCTGGAAGGTGGGAGATCCAGAAGGTGGGGAGGACTGGAAGGTGGGGGGGTCCAGAAGGTGGGGAGGCCCGGAAGGTGGGGGGCTGGAAGGTGGGCATGGCAGGAGAGAGGACATGTGCTATGGCTTCAGAGGCCTGCCCCTTTCTGCTGGGCCTCTCAGCGTTGATTCATTGATGGCCACGTCCCCCTGGGCCTTTTGCAGCTCTGGCTCAGTGGTGTGAGCGAGAGTGTCACAGCCTGGGCCCCAGGGAAAAGGCCACCTCACGAAGGGGCAGTTCGGTGCTGCTTAAGGGCGTGGGTGGTGAGAGCAAGCACTGCCTGGGCAGCACACGGGTGTCAGGCAGAGTTTGACTTTTTACTCCTTCTTCCCGCAGGTGAAGGCCCATGGGCCCGGCCTGCAGGGGGGTCTGGTGGGCAAGCCCGCCAAGTTCACCATCGACACCAAAGGAGCGGGGACCGGCGGCTTGGGCCTCACCGTGGAGGGGCCGTGCGAGGCGAAGATCGAGTGCTCCGACAACGGCGACGGGACCTGCTCCGTCTCCTACCTTCCCACGAAGCCCGGGGAGTACTTCGTCAACATCCTCTTCGAGGAGGTCCACATCCCCGGCTCTCCCTTCAAGGCCGACATCGAGATGCCGTTCGACCCCTCCAAGGTCACGGCGTCGGGGCCCGGGCTGGAGCGCGGGAAGGTGGGCGAGGCCGGGCTGCTCAGCGTGGACTGCTCGGAGGCCGGGCCCGGGGCGCTGGGCCTGGAGGCTGTCTCGGACGCGGGGGCGAAGGCCGAGGTCCGCATCGAGAACAACAAGGACGGCACCTACGCGGTGACCTACGTGCCCCTGACTGCCGGCATGTACACCCTGACCATGAAGTACGGCGGGGAGCTCGTGCCCCACTTCCCCGCCCGCATCAAGGTGGAGCCCGCCGTGGACACCAGCAGGGTCAAAGCCTTCGGGCCGGGAATAGAAGGAAAAGGTGGGTCCCCTCAACAGAAAGGGGGAGGCTGTGCACTGCCGCCCCTCTCTCCCCCTTACCCCCCGCCCCCCCACCAGCCTTTGCCTCCCCACCTTCCGGGCCCCCCCACCTTCCGGACCTCGGAGGCAGAACTGGAGGCCTAGCATCCAGGCCCACAAACACACACAGAATAGCTCACACTGTGTGTACAGTGGTTGTGTTGTCACTCGGCTGAGGCTGCCCTAGGAGGGGCGGGCTCCTCTCTGGTGTATGTGGTGGGTGCACGTTAGCTTCCTGACCTCGAGCGTCGGACCCCTTGTCTGCGGTCCCTTCACTGTGTCTTAAGGGCTAAGAGCCTTGTCTGTGGGCTGCTCCTGGCTCTGAGATGCTGGTGGCGTTCTGACCTGTGTGATTGCTCCGCAGACGTGTTCCGTGAAGCCACCACCGACTTCACGGTCGACTCCCGGCCCCTGACGAAGGTGGGCGGCAGCCACGTCAAGGCCCACATCGCCAACCCCTCGGGGGCCTCCACCGAGTGCTTCGTCACGGACAATGCCGACGGCACCTACCAGGTGGAGTACACGCCCTTCGAGAGAGGTGAGTAGACTTTTCGTTGTTCAAAACCGTGCTTGGCCCTTTCCTCCCGGTGGTGATGTCTGCCCCGTGTGCTCAGCAGAGGCCCTTGCAAAGTGATGGGGACCATTGTAGCCCACCTCCCCGTAGAGCCGCCCACTCAGGGCCTGGCGTACTGGCCCTGCTGTGTGATGGTTGGGCTGGGTCTAGCCTGAGCCTCATCGGAGCAGTAATGGGATGATGTCATGGATGTTGATCATTTGTGTAATTTTTTTAGCACATTGATTTCTTTCCTGAATATTAAGAATTATAAACCATTTTAATAAATGATAAAAGCATGAAGAAAAACACCAAAGTACCATATAGTCTCATTACCTGGATATATGATCTCTATAAATATTCTGGTATAGATATTTTAATCTCTTTTTATAGATGCATGTATATTCTGTTTTATGGATTTTTTTCTTTGTCTTTTGGTTAATGTCTGGATGAAGTTTTCCCAAAGCAGGGGTAGTATGTTTAAAATGACTGACTTCAGTGTAGACTTAGTGACATTTGTTTGCAGGAGAGACTGTGTGTGTGTGTGTGTGTGTGTGTGTGTGTGTGGTGAGGGATGGGATGGGGGTGGGTATGTGAATGCCAAGTGAACAGAAAGCATACTTAGACAATTTGTATTTTTTAAAAATCAGATTTTACCGGTATTCCTGTTTCAAACAACATGGTAAAGCATGCAGAGATGAATGTGAAATAAAACCCTGGAGTGGAGTGTCATTTCCCGCAATTGGGCAACTCCTGTACGATTTGTTTTTGTTGTTTTGCACAGGTCTCCATGTGGTGGAGGTGACATACGATGATGTGCCCATCCCGAACAGTCCCTTCAAAGTGGCTGTGACCGAAGGCTGCCAGCCGTCCCGGGTTCAAGCCCAAGGTCCTGGGCTGAAAGAGGCCTTCACCAACAAACCCAACGTCTTCACCGTGGTGACCCGGTGAGCAGGGCCTGGGGTGTGTGTGCTGATTCCATCAAAGGAGGAGCTCCAAGTAGCTTAACTCTTTTAAAGAAGTTTTATGGGTGTTGCCTGCATATGTGTAAAGTCTCCCAACATTTGAGAGGCTTTTTTTCTCTTCTTTTTTTTTTTTTTTTATGATACAGGAGACATTTTGTTCTGTAGAGACGTAGTTACAGAGAAAGATCAAGTGTATATCAAAAAGGTACCATAAAGCACTGATAATAACAGTCATAAAACTACTGAGCAATTCAGGACTAGATGGAAACTCGTTAACTTGACAGTGCTGAAATACATAGCCAATCTCATATCTAGGTGAAATATTAGAAGAATTCCTATTGGGATCAGTCACAGGCACATACCTGAATTGTATGTGCAGTTGCAGCCAGTGCAATTAGATAAGAAAAATAAAAGGATAAGAATTGGAAAGGAGGGTTCAAAGCAGTCTTTACTTTTATACTACATCGTTGAGAAATTCCCTGTGTGAGGAGTGTCGTAGTAGCTGAGTTGAGTTGGCCAAATGGGAAATTTACGGAGGGATTTTAAATGGATTTTGTCAATAAGGAGACTGGCATGAATCACCAGTGCTACTTTGCTTTCTTTTCCACATTTCCCAGAGGGGCAGGAATTGGTGGGCTTGGCATCACTGTTGAGGGACCATCAGAGTCAAAGATAAACTGCAGAGACAACAAAGATGGCAGCTGCAGCGCCGAGTACGTCCCCTTTGCTCCCGGGGATTATGACGTCAATATCACGTACGGAGGAGATCACATTCCTGGTAAGTTCTCCCTCAGAAAGGAACCCAAGAACAGTTGATGTTGCATGAAAGCTGGTTTGATTTTGCATATCTCCCTGAATAAAAAAGATAGCTGGCATTTGCAGTCACTGCAAAGGGAGAGTTCTCCCTAGGGCTACATCTCCAAGAATGTCCCCACTCCCAGTAGAACAGAACCGTGATGAAAGAGTGTTTGTTGGCTTGGAGTTTTGACTGACAGTTGTCTTCATGTGTTAGAGAACCTCGTTCTCAATTTGAAGGAAAGCTGTTTATTTGCAAAGTTGAAAATTTCCACCTTATTTTGTGGTTGGTTCTTATTCCTCTTATACCAGTACATGCATCTTGTTTTCTATTTTCCAATCGACAGTTCTGGTAGCTGATAGAGACACACAACTCAGATTCTTTAATTTCTTTTCTGTGGAATGATATACTATATTCATTTACTGAAAAACAGGGTTTGTCATCCTCAGAACTGTTGATAGTTTGGGCAGGATAATTCTTCGTTGTGGGGGCTATTCTGTCCATTGTAGGGTATTTAGTGGCCCATTTTTTGGCAACCAAAGGTGTCTCCAGATATTGTTATATGTCCAGTGGGGGACAGAATGACCCCTAGTAGAGAACCACTGCTGTAAATGATTCAGACGGTAAAGAAATATATGACTTAAGTTAGTAAGGGCCCTCCAACTTTCATGTTCCAGTGGGAGGAGTTTTCATAGCTCCTAGTTCTGTTTTGATGAAACATTTGCCATCCAACACACATTGAGATGTGTGGGTGTGGTATGGATGCAAGTTCAAGGACTCGAGGGAGGCTTCTGCGTCAGCTTATGCCTTGTCTCAAGAGTGGTGAGGAAGAGGGCAGAGCCCCACCCGAGAGCCCAGAGCAGGAGGGGCCTGGGGTGGGTCCAAGTTGTTCTTACCCTGCAGGCCATGAGCCCAGGGTGAGACCTAGGGGAAGGGGCAGGCTGAGGGTCCTATTTTCAGGTTTCTGGATTGGCTCCCCGGAAGCTGGAGTGTCCCGGGACCACACACACACATTCCTGACCCTGCCTGCTCTTTCCCCTTGTCGTATACAACTGCACACACACTCACAGTCACTTTTTCTCTCTCTCTCACATTGATCAGAAAGCACTGATGTTCTGCTCAACGTAATTCTCAGGTGTTCATTTAAGCATTAATTTATTTAAGGCAATATTTCTCCTCAAACTTGACCTTGTAGCTGTTGCAATATACATTTTAAATTCCTGTAATCACGTATCAAGGGGAATTCAGCCGTGGACCAGACAGACAAAGCTCCTGGCCTCTGGAAACTTCTTATCTATTGTTTATGGCACTAAAACCCACGGTTTAACTGCTAGGAAGAAAGAGCAGGGCTCAGTGACAGCATACAGAGCCATGGGTGCCTTTTGGAGTTTTACCAGCTCTGCAGTTCATGGGATAGGACAGTGGCTCAGAGAATGTGGCCAGGCATGACCTGGTGGCTCCAGCCAGGCAGGCAGGCAGCAGTGGAGAAAAGCATCTCCTGGCTGTGAATGCCACAAAGCTATTTTGACTTTATTGGGAAAAGTCTAGAGGACCCTCAGCTTTGAAATTCCCCTTGCAGGAGAGGGTGAGAGTTTGGCCCTGTGGCGGATCCCTGAGCTTGAAGCAAGTGGCCATCTGTGTAACAACAGAAAAAGACCCATCCTCAATGTTCCCTTCTCTCTGTTGCTTCCCAGAGCCAAATGCCAGTTGCTTCTAAGACCCCAGATTTTTCCCAGGCGGAGTCATGGTGGAGCGTTGGTTGTTTGTCTTAGTGTCAGGCTTCATCGCTAAGGTAGCTCGGGAGGGGCTGCTGTGAAATGTTCAGCAACCTGTTGGCTTCTGATTTGCTTTCATGGGAATTTTAGTTGGTTAAACATTGACCCAGTTTTCCCTGGCCTGGTACAAACCCATAGTGGGGTTATTTTAAACCAGGTATCCTGTGTTAGCCGCAATGGCATATTGGTTTCCTCTGGTGGTCTGTTTGTGTGGCTGCTTGGGTCACTTGGTCGCCTGGGATGAGTGCAGCAGCAAGGAAGTCTGCCGCGATTGATTGGTGATGTCTGCCTGGGATATGGATCAGGGGAGTGACACATATTGCTTGATATTTGTCACCTTGAACTTAACGTTGCCCTGTTGGTTCTTGGTTGCTCTCGAGTGAAGTTCAGACAGCTTCCAATGGAGCTCAGAATCCAATGGCCTCTTTTCCAGGCAGCCCCTTCAGGGTTCCTGTGAAGGATGTCGTGGACCCCAGCAAGGTCAAGATTGCTGGCCCCGGGTTGGGCTCGGGGGTCCGAGCCCGAATCCCCCAGTCCTTTACGGTGGACAGCAGCAAGGCTGGCCTGGCTCCGCTGGAAGTGAGGGTCCTGGGCCCACGCGGTGAGTATGCATCCTGCCTTCCTGCTGACCTTCAGCTTGCCCCGGGGGAAGCGGCCACTTAGTTTTTGAGTTTGGTCATGAACTTAGTGTTTTAAATTTTTTAAAATTGATTTTTAGAGACAGGGAAAGGGAGAGGGGGGGAGAGAGAGAAAAAGAGAAACATCATTGAGAGACACATCAATCGGCTGCCTCCTGCACGTCCCCTACCAGGGATGGAACCACAACCCAGGTTCAGTTCTTTAGAGTAGGGAGATGGAGCAGGTGGTGTCGGGCTCTCCCCTGTGTAATAATTGTGCAGCTGCTTCATTTTGTATCTCGGTGTTTGTGAGGTGACAGGGGTTAGTCTGGTTAGTCTGGGTTTGGCTCAGAGGTGATACCTCTGTTTGAAATGCCTTCACACTCACATGGAACTTGCCTCCACATTTCTGGACATGGCAGATACTCGGCCCACTTGCCACCTGGCTTTGCCACTGTCCCAACCCCTTGGAGAGAGGGGTTCTCTTTGGGGGATGGGCTTTGTTAACAGTTTGGCCCGCCTTTTTGGCACCCTGGAATTGGGGTTTGGTAAGATAAGCAGGCCATTTTGGGACAAAGCACTTAAGTTACCTTAAATTCCTTAAATTATCTGGATTTGTCCCTGAGGAGGCACCTTTTCTGAAGAGGAGCTTTCTCCTTGAAGGAGTTAGTTCAGGAGGAGGTTACGCCCTTTAAAGCTCATGGTAGGAGTGGTTTGGGGAAATGAGGTCCTGGGGCTAGAACTTGATTGTACAGAGTTTCTGAGCCTCTGTGTGTGCCCGTGCGTGTGCGTGAGAGAGGGAGTGGGGAGGAGGGGGGAGCTTAGATATATGTACCTCTGGTATGGAGGATTCTTAAGTAACAGCCTCTTAATTTTAGCTGATGAGACAGATTCCCAGTCATGGCACAGCCCCTTGAAAGCCATTTCAGAGTTCTTTAAAGGGGAGCCGGAGGGTGACTTTATGGAAACAGGTTTGCATTTTCCTATTGGCTGCTACTCTAATTGATGCAATCGGAATGCCTCTTGCTGGCATCACCCTTGAAATTGCCTTGCATGTGCCTCCTCTGCTTTGCTTAATGTGCATGCTACGCTTTGGTTAACCTACCCTGCAGTTGACCCATCGCTGAGGCTTGTGTTTAGAACCAGGATCTAGAATCTACCGGCCCAATGCATGCCTTGATTATGCTTTAACATAACCTCCAACTGTCTCCTGCATGCATCACATTGATGGCTCCCTCACCCCATGAGAAGGGCACCTCCCCTGCCCTGCACTTACACCCAATGTGCTGCCCCTTTGGTCTTTGCCAAAGTGGCCACAAGTCGTCGTCGTTGTCGTCTTCTTCTTCTTCTTCTTTTTTTTTTTTTTTTTTTTTTTTTTAATATATTTTATTGAGTTTTTACAGAGAGAAAGAGAGAGAGGGATAAAGAGTTAGAAACATCCATCAGCTGCCTCCTGCACACCTTCTACTGGGGCTGTACCTGCAACCAAGGTACATGCTGGAATTGAACCCAGGACCCTTCAGTCTGCAAGCTGACACTCTATCCACTGAGCCAAACTGGTTTCAGCATGGCCACAAGTCTTGACTGGCCAACCCATTGGTTAATTTTTGCTGTTCCGAGTTCTGGACTCTTTGGCCCTTTTCCAGCTGTAGAGTAAAGTTTGCCATGTCTTAAGCATGCTTAACCAGCTTGAAAGGATGTCATAACATGTCTGCAACATGCACCTTCGCCATACGCCCTCCGGAACAAGTGCAGGCAGTCTCCTAAAGTATACTCCAGGGCTGGCTGCAGTACTTGAGCCAATAACAAGCTGACGGTGTCTCCTGGAGTCATTCTGCAGCCGTGAATTGAGGATCCTGTCTCCTGTGATTTCCTAAGCCTCTGGTTGTGGTCGCTTGCATTTATGTTATTCATCAGTGGAAACCAATAGCTCTTGGGGATGAATGTGATCCTTTTTGAACTCGGCCCAGGGTGGAGTGTAGGGCAGGGGAGGCAGCTCCTCAGACCTCTCATCTCTGCCCTCAGGCCTGGTGGAGCCGGTAAATGTGGTGGACAATGGGGATGGCACACACACGGTGACCTATACCCCATCCCAAGAAGGGCCGTACATGGTCTCTGTGAAATATGCTGATGAAGAGATCCCTCGTAGGTAAGCTCTTGACACTGAGGGAAGGGTCCAAACCAGACTCAAACCCACCCCTCCACAGGGATCCCCAGCATTGCTCTGGTGGCCCATCCATCCATCCATCCATCCATCTATCTGACCTACAAGTCCTACTGAGAACCTTTGTGGCTCCTGCCCCTAGCTTCCCCTCCTACCCCTTTCTGCCATTATTAACTTAAAGACCAGCTGGAATTAAGGAGTTGGGAATTTGGGGTGAAGATGCATTAATTTAGCAGTCTTTTTTTCTTCTGACCCTGCAAGTAGTTTTCTGGTTCAGGCAAAGACTTCTACTTTTTTACTTTTCTATCCACAAAGGGTTGGATAGAAATCTTATTCCTCATTCATATTAATACAGAAAATATTGCATAAGCTCTTTACCTCCCACAACAGCCTTCAAAGATTTTTAAAAATCATATTTAAGGTTTAAAAGCTTTGTCCATACCCCAACATACATATTTTACATAAAGATATGTATGTATGGCTAGCTACATAGAAATATGATTTATAAATTATGTTTATGTATTTACTAATAGCATACCAGCTAAAGCATACAAAAATAGAAAATAAGAGGCGGTAAAACATTAAAACTTCAGTGTTCTCTTTCTATTGACCATTGTTTTAGCATAATAAAAGTAGGTTAAATATGTTTAACCCCATGTTTCCCAAACTAATTTTGAAATTAAGTCTATATCCCCTGGATTGCAGCCAGGGAAAGCTGGTCTGTTGTATGATGGTTACTGCCTCATAACTGTAAATTTCTGCTGGACTTAAGACATTGACTAAACTCACCATTTTTATCTGCTGTAGAAATCCTCTTTGCAGTCCCAGTTTCTTTGTGTGAGAGAGGTCAGCTGGAGCAGGGTTGCTGTGTATCCATACTGACCGAGGGTTGTGTGTCTGTCAAGTCCCTTTAAGGTCAAGGTCCTTCCCACATACGATGCCAGCAAAGTGACTGCCAGTGGCCCCGGCCTCAGCTCCTATGGTGTGCCCGCCAGTCTTCCGGTGGAGTTTGCGATCGATGCCAGAGATGCCGGGGAAGGCCTGCTTGCTGTTCAAATAACGGTAACTTTGCGTTATTTTCTGGAGTCAGACTCATAAAGCCTAATTTTCTGGCCAGAGGTAAGAACCAGGATGTTAATAACCAGCTTCTGGCATGGTACCACTGTCTGACAGATTATTCCCACCAGAGAGTCCGTGAATGTGCATGAGGACGTGCCTGCCTGTCTGAGAGGTCTGAGGGCCCCAAGCACCACCTTTGGGTGAATCTTATGTATTTGCTATCATAGCTAGTCCTATGTTTTTATGTTAAAATGTTAAGTTACTCATTGGATTAGTTAGGACTAAGTTCTGCTGTGTATCACGAGCTCCAAAATAAGAGTGGCTTAAACACATGTAATTATTCTCTCCTGTTAAAGAAGCCAGGGGCAAGGCACCTGGGTGCTGTGGCTCATCAGTGAAGGAGGCCCATCTCTGCTTCTCTGTCCTCGCCTGTGGCATCTGTCCTTCAGGTCTCCTCATGGACCACAAGGCCCCAGTGCCCTGGTTATTGATCCACATGGCAGGCTAAAGGAGGAAGACAGACGGGAGAAATAGTCTTCCCATCAATCAGCTCTCCCAAAGAGCCCTTCATCCTCCCTCACAAGACTTCTCATTCGCCAGAAATCTGTCAAGTCGGGTGGCCAGACCTAGTGACAAAGGATGCTGGGAAGTGGAGTGTTCTATTCTGGGAGCAGTGCACCTAGCTGAGGATTAGGGTCCTGTTACCGAGGAGACAAGGGAGTGAGCGTGGTGATGTGCAAGCCGGTCCTCTGCCCCTTTGGGGCATGCACCAATGGATTGGGGGATAAAACACTATTTGTTCACTTGACAGAAAAATTACTAAAAATTGATTGTGTCCATCGTGTTAAAGGGATCTGTGGCCTCCCCCACTTCCTACCAATCAAATTGTGTGAAGCCAGTAATTCTGTCTCCTCCCCCGGAGGCACCAATTAATGAGTAAAATGTGTCAAGGTTTTCCCATGAATTGTCTCTACATCTTGAGGACCATATCCTAAGTAGCATTTCTCTGTGCTCTGCAGGACCAAGAGGGAAAACCCAAAAGAGCCAATGTCCATGACAATAAAGATGGCACCTACGCGGTCACCTACATCCCAGACAAGACCGGCCGCTATATGATCGGGGTCACCTACGGGGGGGATGACATCCCGTTGTCTCCCTACCGCATCCGGGCCACACAGACTGGCGATGCCAGCAAGTGTCTGGCCACAGGTGAGTGCAGGCCAAGGATCGGAAAGCCTGGGCCTATCCCTTCTCTGCCACGTAAGAGCTGTGTGATCAAGGCCTGATGCTCAACCATGCTGAGCTTCGGTCAGACTTAAATTGAAGATCTTTTTTTTACAACATTTAAATTCAAGAACCTCTTCTAAGGATCAGAAACTGTTTCCCAGGGCTATTGCAAGGATTGGATGAGGTCAGGCATGAAAAATGCTTTGCACGGTGCCAGGCACACGGAAGCTGTCATTATTGGATTGTTTTCGAAGCGGGTGCATTTGTTGAGACGTCAGCTGTGATGCTGCTCCCAGGAAAAGCGGCAGATGGATGCCTCTCCTGGGCTGTTTAATTATTCAGGGTCACCTCAGGCCACTGTGAGAAACGCGTTCACGCATCGAGGTTTTTCCCTCCACACTTGGGACTGATGTCTAAGTCTCTCGGGAGTGCTCCAGGAATATGTGAGCACCACAGGCCTTTCCACGTCTAAGAGACAACTGTTGGGACTCTGTGGGTCCTTCAGTTTCTAAGAACAGCTCTTACCTCTCTGATGCCGCTTCAAGCAGATGTCAAAGCATGAATTCCCCATGTCTGAAAGGAAACAGATTTGCTTCTCTTTCAATAAAACTAAACATAGGTCCCCCTCGATGTGTTCTATTTCTCTCCTGTCTGTCTTGTTTTGAACGGAGAAAACCTTTTGGCTTTCAGGGCAAGCTTGTAAATGGCTCGCCTTCGCCCTTCTTTGGCTCACCCCTGGCAACATTTGAGGAAGTGTGAAATAGTGGCCAGTCTGCCACACGCTAGGTCTGGATTGTTGTTGTTGACCTGAGGGCATGTAATACTGGGAGGTGACTTCCTCCTCGCTTTCCCTTCCTTAGCTCAGGCGGAATCTTGAGCAGACACAGGCCACACCCCTGGTCTGTCATGCAGGGGATTGCAAAGTCTGGCTTCTACTCAGGTCTGAACAACCTGTTCTTAATCCCTATTGTTTCTGCCCACTTTGACCCCCTCCCCCCCCCTTTTTTTTTTGCCAATGTGCTTTTAATTTACACTTTTCTGCACTCCCTGATGTTGTGTGGATCCTGTGTAAAGGGATCTACAAAGAGAAAGGGAGACTGGTCATTGTTTCGGGACCGAGGTTGAAAGTCTTCCCTAGCCAGAAGCACCCACCCTTCAGAATGCAGCCATTTCCCCTTTTCTCAGGAAGCCCTCTGTCAATGTGGCAACCCTGGGATAGGACTTTCACAGGACACCTCTCTGGAGAACAACTGAGCATTTTTTTTCTGTAATTTAGTTCCCCCTCAGGACTTCCACAGCAGGCTGAGCTGTAATTCTTGGTGCCCGGCCTGCATCCCACTGCTCTGTTATATTAGGAGCATCTCAACGGTGCTTAGCTCACCTTTGTGTGCACTTGGCCCTTAAGAAAATGCCCGGTATGTGTTTGCTAATGAGCGCTGACTTTCATCCCCCTACCCTTGAATGCCAGCAGACCAGATCCAACGTTTGGTTGACACCCAGAGCCTGAGATCCTCCTCATTTAATAAACAACGGTGAAATGCTCCCTTGAGCAGTACCTTCCCCAGGTGATTCCTGGGACATCCCTGTATGTGGTGGCAGTTGAAGGTCTAACGTTTATAGACGCAGACAACACGAGAGCGTGTGGCTTGTGTTTAGGTCTCCAGGGGAACTGCCCACAGCTGAAGCTTCTCTCCTCCGGAACTTTTCTCCAGGTCCTGGAATCGCCTCCATTGTGAAAACCGGCGAGGAGGTGGGCTTTGTGGTTGACGCCAAGACTGCCGGGAAGGGGAAAGTGACCTGCACGGTTCTGACCCCGGACGGCACCGAGGCTGAGGCCGACGTTATCGAAAATGAGGACGGCACCTATGACATTTTCTACACGGCTGCCAAGCCGGGCACCTACGTCATCTACGTGCGCTTTGGTGGCGTTGATATCCCCAACAGCCCCTTCACTGTCATGGTAAGCAAACCCCTTCTCTGCAGCATCTGTTACCGGCAGGAACAGTAATAGCTGCCATTTGTTAAACCCTGGCTAGCACATCCCCTCCCACATTTCTTTTTTCTTGAAAATTTTTTTTCTTAGGCAGCCATGACCTTTTAGGGACACTCTAGGATCCCAGAGAGCCTTTGGCTCTGAGAGTTTTTAGGGAATGTTACCCATCATGCTAATCTATTACCCATCATGCTAAGGGTCTTCGGCAGTGCCCTGGCCTAAGCACAGTTCAGAAAGATAAACTGACAAAAAAACAAACAAACAAACAAAAAACACTTGTAAGGGAAACATTATTCTTTTTTGTTCTGCTGTCCTTCCCCTTCCTGCTTTCTGACCACCGTGGTCTGGAAGAGAGAGACTTGACTTCGGTAACCCGTGATTCAGAGTACCTCCAGTTGTGCTTGGAGAGATTCAGACTTTGCACGTGAAGGGAAATAGCTTGTCTTTTAAAACTAGGAACATCTGGAAGAAAGAAACCATTATGCACACTTCTAGGCCAAAGAAGGACGCGGCTCTTTAATTTCCAATCCGAGTGACTTTTAGATCTTTCTCTGATTATTAGGGTTCTTCAACCAGGAAAGTGGTTAGAAACCTTAGCAGCATTCACTCAGTTAACCCTCAATGCAAGCATTGTTGGCCCTTTCACGAACGAGCTGTAGGGGAAGGGGTCAGACTCTAGTCCACGGAGCCCAGAGTGCCGCTCTGGACAGCTGCCGAGCGCTGTGCGGCCCCTCAGCCCATGTCCTTCGAGGCCCTGGTGACAGCCACCCTTGGCTGCAGAGTTCATAGGCCTCGGTGACCTGGCCCCCTGCCCAGCCTTCAGAGGCCCTTCTCAGGATTACACTTTATGCGGCCACAGAGAAGGGCCGGAAGACGCCATTCACACAGAAGTCCGAGTCTGTCTGCCAACACCGTGCTGCGTGCTGTAGCTCTTTGCCTCCCGTCGCGTTTGTTTATCTGTGAGTGTGCCAGAGGTCTGGAGGCTCTTGCACGCCTCAGGGATACAAACACTTGTCAGCTTGTGACGCTGCCCAGTTGGGAGTGCTTTTCTCCTTCGGGGCTGGAGGAAGCGCGGCTGGGAGCTTGGCGTCCTCATCCCAGAGAAGGTCCCATCTCGGGGGTTTTGTCTGGTCGGCTCGCATTGGGCAGGGTCATTGTGCAGACAAGTCAGAGACCTGAAGTGGGAGCCACCAAACTCGGTAGGAATCAATGTCCCCTTAACCCTGGGTTGCACGAAGGACGCTTTGTGTGGACACACTGCCCCGAGCCACAGCTGACGGCTGAAGGGCGCATCACCCCACAGGACCAGGCTTACGTCTTCCATCTCCCCTCCGCGCTTTCTCCAGCCTCACCTACAGGCAGACTTTCTTTTCATTGGTTCCTTATGGGTAGATTCCATGCCTTCCCTCTGCAGTCTTAGGGCCAAAAGGCCGTGAACACCCAGTCCTGCCTTTGCAGCAAATGTCTCAGGGAGACGGGGTGGGCTGGTTCAATTCTGTATATCATGCAGAAGACGTGCTCAGGAAGTCACCGGTCTAACAGCTTATCTGCTCATCACTGTTGAGAAGTCCTGACTCAGAGGCCATCACGTAGCCATGGAAAGATCTTCCTCCCTGGCCGAGTGTCTCTGCATGTCCCCAGTCTGAGAGGCCCCTAGAAGCAGGGGATGGGGCTGTTACAAATGTTGACGCTCACAAAGCTGCCTTCGTAAGGGAAACTCCCTTCCAGCATATGACAAAGCACACGAAAAGGCGTGAGCAGGGGTCCGTGGGCCTTCCTGCATAGGCAGGCCTTCCGATACTTGTTCGATTTGGCAGGAGAGGGAACCCTCTGTCAATGTGGTCGGTTGGATCAGGGACATGAAGTCTGGTTTTTAAAAAATTAATTTATAAAGATTTTTAAAATAGGAACTACTGTAGACACCAAGGTAACAGGAAACCACTTGCCCAGTTTCATGCTGCAGAGGCAATGAGTGGTAGCGTTTCCCACCGTTTTTTGTGCCAGGATCACACCACGCACATTGCTTTGCAACTTGCTTCCTTCCCTCATCGGGAAGACCCTTCCATATTCATTTCCCGGACTGGGCCGCCTCTCCAGAATGGACAGACGCGCACCATTTACTTAGCCGTCTCCCTTACAGATGGGCATGTAGGTTGCTTCAGGTTTTCATGACTGCAAGCAGCTCTGGAAAAACCCCTTGCACTTACCTATAGACTTTCCTGCTAGTATTCTATAGATCTGCTTCCTAGGAATGGGGCCGTGGGTTCAAAGGGCAGGTGGATCTGACGTTCGAAGAAAAGATGTCAGCTTGCTCCCCACAAGGGTAGGAAGGAGGTAGAGCGAGAGGCTTTCTGCTGTGCACGATGAGCAGGTGGGGAGGAAGCGGTCCTCAGGGTGCAGAGCCTACTGAGCAGCAACGTCCCGCCCATGAGATTCCCTACTAATCTCCATTTGCCACCAACCAGGCCACAGATGGGGAAGTCACGGCCGTGGAGGAGGCACCGGTAAATGCATGTTCCCCTGGATTCAGGCCCTGGGTACACTTTTTTTTATTTTTCCTTTTTTTTGCATTTCTGTGTTTACTCGGCATTCATTTCAGAAAAGCTACAGCCTGCTTCTGGGGATTGCTTAAGCCCTCTGGGTGTCCTGGTCACTGGTTTGTCCCCCACTGATCAGTCCATCACAATGAACCCTGCTTTCTCTGCCGTGAGACCCACCATGTCATCGTCTGCGCTCCTCCACGAATCGCCCACCGTCACGTCTGATCACGCTCGGTGCAGTGTGTCTCTGTTTAAAGAGAAGGATGGACAGCTGTCTTCAGCCCTCCTGCTGACTCTCAGAGCCGCCACTTGCACATTTGGTTTCTGTTCGGAGGGAAAGCCAACTGCTGCTCCTTTCTGCCACTTAAAACACACCTTCTTTTCCAGGCCACGGCACTAAACCTTTCCCGGTGGAGCCTCTTGGGACTCACGGACATTCTGTCTCTCACTGTCTCACTTTCCCATGGGCGCTTCTGGGAATTTTACAAGCGAACTGCCTGGTGGTGGTCAGTGATTGGTCAACATGACTTCTCCGAGCCCTCGGGTTCGGTCTGGGCCCCCAGGGCCGGTTGGACAAAGCCCGCGCTACATGGGCCGCCACCTTCCCAAATCCTGGCTGCACTGGCTTGCAAAATTCCCAGCTGCTCTGCCCCCTGTAGCTTCACTAGCCCATGCTGTTGTCCACTTTGCCCAGTTGACCCCGGCTTCCTGTTTTTAGGTAACCGAAGAGGCCTATGTCCCAGTGAGTGACATGAACGGTCTGGGATTTAAACCTTTCGACTTGGTCATCCCATTTGCGGTCAGAAAAGGAGAGATCACCGGTAAGCACTGTCATGAAAGCTGTTTCATTCTCACTCACTCGCCTGGTCGGTGACGGGTGGTGGTCCCACCGGTCCCCCAGACCCTCGTTCCTGATCCCAGCATCCCTGGTTCTTGTGCTTGGGATGGGCCATGGGCCCCTGACCTTGCAGAGCGTGCTGTGTATCTACGTGTGCCTCTGAGGAGGTGGCCGTGTATAATTTTGCATTATGTCGTGGAGAGAGCTGGTGAACAACTACTGTGTTTAGATACTTCAACTGTTGGGTTCCTGCTCCCCCTTTTCCTGCCTCTCTGTCTCCCACTTTCCCAGGGCGGTGCAGACACAGGTCTGTGGTGCAGTCACTTTCTCTGCCAGCCGCCTCTGACTGCCGGCTTCTCTTTGGGTGGAGGCTCTGCTGACCCTCTCCTCACAGTCAAGTCCTGTTCAGGGTTCTAACGTGTCTTCAGGGTTCAGGAGTTGCTGCTGCATTTTGTGGGAGCAGAAGGAACAAAATAAAGAGGAAACAAGTCTGTTTTCCTGTTCTAGAACTTGGGGGTTTTAGGCAGCAGTGTGTGCTCTTGGATCTGAAAACCTGCACTAGGAAGGCCACCGGCGTGCCGGCTTCTCCGGGGGCAGTCGCTGGTGGCTCATGGCCTGTCTCTGTCTCTCTGTGTCCATAGGAGAGGTCCACATGCCCTCTGGGAAGACGGCCACCCCCGAGATCGTGGACAACAAGGACGGCACGGTCACCGTCAGATACGCCCCCACGGAGGTGGGGCTCCATGAGATGCACATCAAGTACATGGGCAGCCACATCCCCGGTGAGTCGGGCTCCGCGCACGCCCTGCGGGGCTCCGGGGCTCGGGAGCAGGGGCTTCTGGGAGGCTTACTGACTGGCAGGTTGAGGAATGTAGTGTCAGTGTCCCTGTGAAACCTAACAGCCTGTGACCCCAGCAGATGTAGCTAATTTCCAGGAGAAATGGTGCATCTAAGTGTCCGGGTCACAGTGCAGGCCCTCAGGGCTGTGATGGTTTGTGTTTGTCTCGATGCCGAGTGTGGCCAAAGGATGAGCTGGAAGGAAAATGTGAGGCGCGTGGAGGGACTTTCCAGCCTGGCCTGCAGAGCCAGTGTGTGTGTGTGGGGGGGGGGGGGGGGGGGCGGGTGTGGAGGAAGAGGTTGTGAGAAGAGGACAAGCTGCCTTCTTTATTTTTTTAAATGTATTTTTAATTGATTTCAGAGAGGAAGGGAGAGGGAGAGAGAGATAGAAACTTCAACAATGAGGGAGAGTTATTGATCAGCTGTCTCCTGCACTCCCCACAGTAGGGATTGAGCCCGCAGCCTAGGCATGTGCCTGACCGGGAATCGAACCGCAATGTCCAGGTTCATAGTTTGGCACTCACCCACTGAGCCACACTGGCCAGGCTAAGCTGCCCCCTTGTCACACTGCCCTTGACGAGGAAAACCAGCTCAGGTTTCCGTGTCCACCAACAAGCACTGTGTTATTCCTGCTCTTTTTCTTAAAAATTTCTTAAATGCATCTCCTTTTTTATTTATTTTTTAAAATATATTTTATGGATTTTTATAGAGAGGAAGGGAGAGAGATAGAGAGTTAGAAACATGGATGAGAGAGAAACATGGATCAGCTGCCTCTTGCAACACCCCCTACTGGGGATGTGCCCACAACCAAGGTACATGCCCTTGACCAGAATCGAACCTGGGACCTTTCAGTCCAGAGGGTGATGCACTATCCACTGAGCCAAACTGGTTAGGGCTCGTCTCCTTTTTCAAAATTTAATATTTTGAGTAGGCCACATACACGTCGTTTAGAAGATGATGTGGAGAAAGGTTTCCTTCCCACCCATCATAACCCTCACTTGCCCTCTGACTGTTAATTTTTTAGGTTGGATTTCAGAATATGTTGAAGACCCTGCAAGCAAACAGGAAAATAGATTTCTAATCCTGCCTCCTTTTTTTACATCAATAGTAGCATCCTCTACACATTATTGTGTCCTTTTTATCTAACAGTGTATGCAGGAGAGCTGTGCACGTCCAAATGATAGCGCACCTTCAGAGCGCCCACCCATTGGCTGGGCCGTGGCACGTTTAACCACTGCCCCCTTGGAGGACAGTTAGCCTCTTCCACCTTTTGCCACCGTGCATAGCCTTTCCCGTTCAGCACGTCACACCAGCGAAGGCGGACCTGTGAGGAGTGGTTCTGTGGGGCGGAATTTCTGGCCCCAGGGACAGGCATCCATCATGTTGCTAGAACTTGCCAAGTTCCCTTTCACTGGGGCTCTTTCGGTTCCCACGCGCACCGGCCATGGAGGAGAGGGCGCCTGCTTTTCCACAGATGGGCAAGTGGAGTATGCTACCCGGATTTTGGATCTTCGCCAAACTGATGGTTGCAAAAGCAGTATCTCAGTACTGCTTTATTGGCATTGCTCTTGTGAATGAGATTGAGCAGCTTTCTGTATGTGTACGTGCCGTTTGTATTTCTTTTTCTGTGAACTGAACGTTGGTATCCATGGCCTGGTTTCTCTGTTTGGTCTTTGGCCTTTGTGGTACCCGTTTCTGGGAGCAATTTCAGTCCTGGAGAGGTTAGCCGTTGGTGATAGGAATTGCAAATACTTCTCCCAGTTGGATGTTTGCTTAGTTTATGGGTATATCTGGGCATAATATTTGTTCAAAGCAACAATGTGTTATCTGCTTCTATTTAAATACCTCAGAGATGCAGATGTAGAGAAAGTAAAAAAAAGAAAAAAAAAAAAAGGCTTTCTCCCGCTTCCTCCTACCTCCCTGCTGGTCTCTGTGTGGATGTTTCTCTTGGTACCTACAAACATGCCTATAATTTTGTTGTTTTGTTTTTAAAGGAGTGGGATAATGATATTAATATTATGCAGCAAACTGCCCTTTTCTCTTTTTGCAACACATTGTGGACAATCTCTCAAGTTAGTGCGTACAGACAGACTCCCTCATTCTTTAGTGACCTGAGAGGAGAGCCCCCTATTGTTCGGCTCTGTGCTTTTCCGAATTTGCATCTGGCCACTGTGGTAATGGAAGTGCTTGCCTAGGGCTGGGGGGTGCGCGGTGGAGGGAGGGCGGGGGAGAGTAGGTAGAGAGGACCACAGTGGGATAAATTCCCATAGTGCGGGGTGGGCTTCTAGGGCCTTCCCTTTTGCCTTCCCAAAAGACCTTCCCAGCTGTGTCCCCTCTGGTAGTGCGTCATTTCTTCACGTGGTTGGCCGCTCCCTCCTAATTCAGGAGTGCGGAAGGCCCCGCCATGGCCCACGGAATCGTTTGGTCTGGCCCTCCCAAGGCATCAGGGGTGAGTTCATTAAGTGTTTGACCAAACAGAGCAGGCCGATTCTTTACGTTGATAGTTTTGTGTGGCCCTCAACTGGTGTTCTCGATATCCAAATGGCCCTCCGCAGAAAAAAGGCTCCCCACCCCTGTCCTGACCAGTCACCTGGAGCCAGACTCCCCTGGTTTACGTAGCGCCCCCTGTAGTCCGGAGCAGCCTTAGGATTGTTTTCCTTGTGTAACCTTGAAGGAGCAATAGGGAGTAGATGCCGTGGGTGTCCTAGGATGGTGATCTCCAGCAGAGGCTCGGTTCGCGTACTGCCTCTGCCTGGGTGATGCCACACCTGCCTGCCGTTAGAGGAAGGTAAACATCCCCCCGCACTGAGTCCGTTCTGTCTGTGTTCTTTTCACACCCAGAGAGCCCGCTCCAGTTCTACGTGAACTACCCCAACAGTGGGAGCGTGTCTGCTTACGGTCCAGGGCTGGTCTACGGCGTGGCCAACAAAACCGCCACCTTCACCATCGTCACCGAGGATGCAGGAGAAGGTACTGTGACATGCGTGCGTGCGTGCGTGCGGTGATATGCTCTTAGCTTTCCCTTTGAGAATCCAGGCCAGCTTTTAAAAAAGAAGGCTGCTGGGTAGTAGTATTTATCTTTTTTTTGTTGTTTGTTTCATGTAAATCTCAGGCACAGCTGCTCTGTCTTCCATCCAAAACAGGACTTTTTGAAGTTCCTGGGGTTCTGATTGAAATCAGATTCACGCTGTGAAACGTTTTATGTGATTTGCCTGAAATCTTAAGTGTTTTGGTTGATGACGTTTTTGGTTTTGTTCTTTTTTGCACATGTACTTGTGTCCACGGGACCACATGAGTTATTTGGCTCTGTGTGCGTGTGCATTGTCTTTGTGGAGACTTTAAAATCTGTGATTCTAATGGGATCTGCACATGGCCTCCAGTCCCAGCGTGGCCGTGTGAGTGACACTTCCATGTGTGCGGTTGACGTGCAGGGCTCCGGCCCTTTCTCGTACGCACATTCCGAAGAGCAGTGGCGGGAGACGGGGATTCCTGCAGTCCTTTCCAGGGCGACTTTGGGGCCAGCACCTGGTCCTCCCCTCACCAGGAGAAGTGAAGGATTCAGAGGCGGAGTATTGTGCCACAGTCCCTTAGTTCTGACCTACGCCCCTGGCCCGCGGCTCGCGTGGCCTGTGCCAGCCTGGCGCTCCCGACCTCAGGGCTGCCCCGGATGAGTTGCTGTCCCTGTGGAAACAAGCAAACACTCCCTGACAACCCTCCCTCCCCGCTCCCATTCTCAGGGGGTCTGGACTTGGCTATCGAGGGGCCCTCCAAGGCTGAAATCAGCTGCATTGACAACAAAGACGGGACGTGCACAGTGACCTACCTGCCCACCCTGCCGGGCGACTACAGCATTCTGGTCAAGTACAATGACAAGCACATCCCCGGCAGCCCCTTCACCGCCAAGATCACAGGTAGGGTTGTCTGACCTGCCGGGGGCTTCCTCCTGGGAGGCCTGGCCACCCCGGCAGCCTCTCTCCTCATCAGACCAGGGGCAACAAGCGAGGTGCCTGGGTTTTTAGGGTTCACAGAGACTCCCTGGGGAGAAACTGGGGTGCAAGGCTAATTCCCCCCTTAGCTGGTAATCCAGGGAAAAGCACTCACATGTGGAGGGCAATCACTTTGTCCAGTCTGACTCCTGCATGCACATGGAAGGCCCCCAGATAGAGACATTCAAATAACACTTACAGCACGAATAGGTGAGCTCACTGATGCCCTCTGCATCACTGCTGGACAATTATTCTGCCATTTTACAGATGGGAACGTGGAGGCGTGGAGAGACAGTGCTCAGCCAAGTTTCCATGTGGGTATTGTAGGGTGCAGGTTGAGGTTATCTGTCTCAAAGGCCTCTGCTCACCTGTGTGCTCGCTGTGCTGGGATCCTGCGCTCGGGGGGTCATACAGAAGATGCTCAGGACAAAGTTCTTGCCCTGAGCTGTTCAGGCCTATGCGGAGCAGGATGAGTGTTCACCTGGGAAATGCCCCAGGGGGTGGCAAGCAGGTGGCAGATGCCTTGCCCGGCAAAAGCTCCTTTAAGAAGTGGTCTGTGGAGACTCGGGCTCCAGCTCCTGCCAGCGTCTGGCCTTCCCTTCACCAGGCCCAAGCAGAAGTCATTCGTTGTGGATTAGGTCCATGAGGCGCGTTTTCTCACTTAACTCCGGGTAACTGCTTCGGGGTGTTCATCTGTAAAAAGCATGTGGGGTGAAGGCTCCCGAGAGCGGGTCCCCACGAGTGACGGGCCGTGCGTGGGGGGGTTTTCCCAGATGACAGCCGGCGGTGCTCTCAAGTGAAGCTGGGCTCTGCCGCCGACTTCCTGCTGGACATCAGCGAGACCGACCTCAGCACGCTGACGGCCAGCATCAAGGCCCCGTCCGGCCGCGACGAGCCCTGCCTCCTGAAGAGACTGCCCAACAACCACATCGGTGAGCCTGCTGTCTTCCCGCACTGAGCCGGGACCCTCTGGTGGGAGACGGGGATCCCTGGGTCCTTCCTGGGGAGGTCGGTAACGCCGCGGAGTGGGATCCGATGAACCTGCTGGGTCACATGAGTGCATTTCCGTGTTGCGAGATTGGCCACCCCGGCATACACTCTGGGGTAGCCTGGAAGTCTGGGAGCCATACTTCCATTCCTGCGAGTGTGTCTGCCTCCCCGCTGCCCTCCTTCCTCTCCTCTCCCTCCTCTTACTTACACACCCTGGTGTGTGCCCGGTCCAGGCATCTCCTTCATCCCCCGGGAGGTGGGGGAACACCTGGTCAGCATCAAGAAGAACGGCAACCACGTGGCCAACAGTCCCGTGTCCATCATGGTGGTCCAGTCCGAGATCGGGGACGCCCGCAGAGCCAAAGTCTACGGCCGAGGCCTGTCCGAAGGCCGCACTTTCGAGATGTCGGAGTTCATCGTGGACACGAGAGATGCAGGTCTGTGGCTGGCCCCAGGCGAAAGGCCCGGGGCTTTTTGCTCAAGCGTCTTCGTGTTTTCATCCTATCAGCCCCCTTTTCTTTCCGAGCATCCTTCAGACTGTCTGTTCTTCTACCTGCATTATCACGGAAGCCTCATGACCCCCGGGAAGGTGGGTGTTGTCTTCTAAATGAAGAACCTGAGGCTCACAGGGGTCAGCACCCCTCTGCTTCTGGCATTTGAACCCAGAGCCACTACAGCTCCCAGATCTCTCTCCCTCTTGTTATCAGTACTCCCAATCCTGCTCTCAGCTCCCTGGGTCTCCTCCCCAGCACAGGCTGGTGGGCCAGCTGGCCAGGGCCGCGTCCCGCTCACAGTGCTTTCGTGGAAATGATGAATCTCTTCCTGTTTCCTCTCTGAGGTGGTTTGAAGTAGTCCGGGCCTCCCCAACCCAGTGCCACAGCCAGCGCCTTCCTTCTCCGCCTTCTTGAGTGATGGCTGAATTGGTGACTTCTAGACGAAGCCATAGTCCTAGGGCAGTGGTTGGGAAACTCATTAGTCAACAGAGCCAAATATCAATGGTACAACGATTGAAATTTCTTTTGAGAGCCAATTTTTTTAAACTTCTTCTAAAGCCACTTCTTCAAAATAGACTGGCCGAGGCTGTCGTATTTTGTGGAAGAGCCACACTCAAGGGGCCAAAGAGCCGCATGTGGCTCGCGAGCCGCAGTTTGCTGGCCACGGTCCTGGAGGAAAGGGCTAGACAATGTCTGGTCCTAACGGGCAGATCCTCATGTTGTTCAGCCTTCATATCTGCTGTCTTCGTGGTCCCCTGGCTGGAGATCCAGGGCAGCTTGAAAATTCAAATGTTCTGGCCTGTGGCTGGCCAAGAGCCCTCGAGGCAGCGCATGCCCTTCTTAGAGGCGTGTGGGCAGTGTTTTCCCCAGTGGGCTCTGCAGGGCAGGTGCTCCGAGCAGCAGTAGGACATCACCCTCCAGGAAATGGTTCTGTGGTCAGAGTCCTGCTCAGCAGGCTGTTCCACTACAGGACTTCTCAGAGCCTTGCACCGGCTCCTCTGTCGGCGGCCTGTCTGTACCAGGGGTCACCCTGCTTTCTTTTTGCTCTCTGGAACTGGCAGTATGCGTTTCTGGGGTCAGATGTCCGTTCTGCATGCACCGAGCTCCCCTTCCCCACGAGTTGCTGTCCAAACAGCCCCCGGCTCCTGTGTTGCAGGTTATGGCGGCATTTCCCTGGCGGTGGAAGGCCCCAGCAAAGTAGACATCCAGACAGAGGACCTGGAGGACGGCACCTGCAAGGTCTCCTACTTCCCCACCGTGCCCGGGGTCTACATCGTCTCGACCAAGTTCGCCGACGAGCACGTGCCCGGTGCGCGCGGCCCGCTCCGTCCTGTCTGCCCTCGGCTCGAGTTCTCTGTGGGGGCTGTGCCTCGGGCTCCGGGTTGCTCACGGGAGCCCTCTCGGTTCTTGCAGGGAGCCCGTTCACCGTGAAGATCAGTGGGGAGGGGAGAGTGAAGGAGAGCATCACCCGCACCAGCCGAGCCCCGTCCGTGGCCACTGTCGGGAGCATCTGCGACCTGAACCTGAAAATCCCAGGTGAGCGTGGGGGGGGGGGCTCATGGGTCAGGGCAGCGGGGCCATTGGAAGTCAAGTCCACTGCGGGTGACTCGTTTTTTAAATTTCAGTTATAATAGTGTTTTTAATACGTGTTTTCACAGAAGCCCATTCAGGAAACATGAATCTGTTGACCCGCTATCTTTTTCTTCTTCCAAATGAAAGTGGTTTTGTGGCATCACCTGGGGGAGATAGAGACGCTCTTAGATTGTTCATGTAGTGTTTGCCGAATAGAATGACCCCAGGGAGCGATCTGGCCTTGCTGATGGCAGTGTCTGGGGGTTTTAGAGAGGTGTCGGCCCAGCAGCACCTTCTAATGCCCATTCATCTCCTTCGCTCTATCCACTGAGCCAAACCGGCCAGGGCTGTGTTCAGGTTCACTTTCCTGCTCGCCGGTAAAGGGACGTCTCCTTTGATTTAATGCCTCATTTTACACACGACCCGTGCCCCCCGCCTCTCGGCGTCTTGTCTCAGTGCGATGTGGACAGTTCCCTTTCTCTTCAGGCTTTTCTGGCTCCTGATGCTTCCTCTTACCCTTCCCAGTGACTTGGCCCCGGGGCGCTCGCTGAGACTCCCTTCCCCCCTCGGTGCCTAAATGATTCTCTCCTGTCGGTTAGAACGGAGGACGGCTCACCAGCTTCCAGGAGTCCTCGGACTCGGGCCGCGTGGGGGCACCCGGCCCTCAGCCTCCCTTCCTTTCTCTGTCCTCAGGGCTCACAGTCCTGCGCTGCTCGGACTCGGGCTGCGTGGGGGCACCCGGCCCTCAGCCTCCCTTCCTTTCTCTGTCCTCAGGGCTCACAGTCCTGCGCTGCTCGGCCCCGAGCCCGCAGGGCTGGAGGGGGCAGCTCCCGTGGCTCTAGGTGATGGCATTGCTCGGTCACCAGCAGGTGGCGTGCCCGGGTCCTCCCGCCGGTGCAGGCACCGCCTTGGGCGTGGCACGAGCCCCTCGGACGGAGCAGACGAGGTCCGCTTCGCCGGGTGGGTGAGCCAACGCGTGGCTGTTCTGCAGCGTGGCGCCTGGTCTCCGGTTTGCTCGGAGCCCTCCTCACGCGCGGCTCCCCCTTGGCTGCTGGGACCGACGCGTGCTCGTTCGCCTTTTCCTTCAAACGCATGTTGTCTTGTTGTCGAGAAGGGATGCCGAAGCTCCTTTCGAGGAAGGGATGGGGCACCGCTTGTGTTTTCTGCCCCCGTGAGCATGACGGTGGCCACGTGTCGCCTCAAGCTCAGAGTGAGGTGACCAGACGTCCCGCTTTTGGCGGGACAGCCCCGATTTTTACCAGTTTGTCCTGTGTCCCACAGCGTTTTAAAGTCAGGAAAGGTTCTTTCCAAAAATCAGGACTTTTTTAAAACACCGCAGGACGCGGGACAAATTGTTGAAAATCGGGACTGTCCCGCCAAAAGCGGGACGTCTGGTCACCTTAGCTTAGAGACATCTGAGCTGCTGTCGTTTTTACATGTAACTGTCCACTCAGGCCCTGGTTTGAAACTGATGTGTGGCTTTCACTCCAGCCAGGAAGGCTGTGCACGTGCCCACTGCCCCTAGAATGTTCTTGGCACTGGTGCCTGGAAGGGCCTGGCTCTTTCCCTGCTGGCCACCGTCCCCCAGGGACTTAGGGGAGACAGGAGGGCCGGCGTCCAGACTGCGCACCCAGCACCCCACGCAGCACCCGCCTTGCCCTCCGCTGCTCGCCCTGCACGTCCTGCTCTGCTGGGCCCGCACTCTGACCCTTCCCCGGCGTCCCCCCGCCTCTCGCTCCCTCCCAGAAATCAGCAGCAGCGACATGTCGGCCCACGTCACCAGCCCCTCCGGCCGTGTCACCGAGGCGGAGATTGTGCCCGTGGGGAAGAACTCGCACTGCGTCCGGTTCATGCCCCAGGAGATGGGCGTGCACACGGTCAGCGTCAAGTACCGCGGCCAGCATGTGACCGGCAGCCCCTTCCAGTTCACCGTGGGGCCGCTGGGCGAGGGCGGCGCCCACAAGGTCCGGGCAGGCGGCCCCGGCCTGGAGAGGGGAGAAGCGGGCGTCCCAGGTGAGCGATGGGCAGGCTTCTTCCTGGAGGACAGTCAGGGCTCGGCCGCTGGGGTGAGCACCCTGCTCTCCTCACCCTGTTCTCAGGAGAAGACGGTGTGTGTGAGAGTCTGATGGGTGGTCTCAAGGGGCATTCTTTTTTTCTTTTTAAAAAAAAATATATATTTTATTGATTTTTTTACAGAGAGGAAGAGAGAGGGATAGAGAGTTAGAAACAATGATGAGAGGGAAACATCAATCAGCTGCCTCTTGCACACCTCCTACTGGGGATGTGCCCGCAACCAAGGTACATGCCCTTGACCGGAATCGAACCTGGGACCTTTCAGTCCGCCGGCCGACGCTCTATCCACTGAGCCAAACCGGTTTCAGCTCAAGGGGCATTCTTGACAACAAGGCTTCTCTGGCTCAGTTCCTTCGGCCTCTGCTCGTTGGCCCCATGGGCAGCCTGTAAGGACAGGAGCCTGTAATCGGTGACTGTGTGTGGTGCGCCTTGGAGCTGAGGGGAGCAGAGAATGAGGCTGTTTGCCGAGCATCCTGCAGGGCTGATGCTCATGGAACACGCTAGGTTTATGCAAAACCTACCGTGAAGGTGCCTTCTCGTGGTGGATGCTGGCGGAGGGGCCTGTGGGGACGAAACTAAACTTCCTCCTCTCCCTCTGGCCTGGCGTGGGTGTATCCACAAGACGCCCACGGACTTTGTGTGATCGTGGGTGGGACCTAGGAAACACGCGGCGCCTCTGCTTGGGTGCTGCTGGGGTCGGGGAGAGAAAAGGCCTGGAGTAAGAGTGACCAGCATGGCAGGGTTGGGCAGGAGGGGCCTCGGCCACACGCTGCCACTCACCAGGTGTTCCTCTGTCTCAGCCGAGTTCAGCATCTGGACCCGGGAGGCAGGCGCGGGGGGCCTCTCCATCGCCGTGGAAGGCCCCAGCAAGGCTGAGATTACCTTCGATGACCACAAAAACGGGTCGTGCGGTGTGTCTTACATTGCCCAAGAGCCTGGTATGTATTCAGGAGCTGACTCCAGACTTCTCTTTGGTTGGGGGTGGCTCGGGGGTGAGGAACAGAAACCCATGGAGCGAGCTCAAGTGGAAGGAATTGATCCCTACGGGCCCGTGGGGCGCTGCCTAGAGATCCAGGGCAGGAAATGCAGCCAGGCCTCCCGGAGGCAGGAATTCTATGATAGTTCTCATTGTCTGTCTGCCTCCGTCAGCCTGTCTGCTTCGGGCTTCACTCAGCTACTTCATTCTTCCCATTGACCAGCCTCTGTGCCCAACCTCAGCCACTGGCTTTTGGGACTGCCCAGAAGAGGGATTTTACCTTGTATGTGCCCTCTCTGGAGCAGGGTCCTCTGCATTTTGTACCAGGAACCCCTCTGGCATCTAAAGCCTATGGGGACATCGTTTTAAAACACATAATACAAATTACATATTATATATAAAAGGCTAAGCTACCATCCAGCAGGCCGGCCAGTAGCAATGACCACCAGGGGCAGACGCTCTGACTGGTAGCTGTGATTCGCACTGACCACCAGGGGCCAGACATTCAATGCAGGAGCTGCCGAGCTGTGGTGACTTGGCAGCCACAGTTGTTAGCTGACACACCTGGAACCAGAGAGGAGGGAGCCTGATTCTGGGGTGCCTCACCTGAGAACCGCCCTCTCGCAATCCGGGAGCCCTCGGGGGGTGTCGGAGAGCCGGTTTTGGCCTGATCCCCGCAGGCCAGGCTGAGGAACCCCACCTGCTGGTGGGACCCCACTTACTCCACAGACACCCTTTGAGCTGCAGGAGGTTGGCTCCAGTTCATGTCTGGCCCTTCTTGCCCAGTCCTTACCTGCCAACCACCTTCTAACTAATTTCCTTTGAATGTGCACAAATCCGTGCACCAGGGCACTAGTTGGATTATAATAAAAAGCAATTATATCAAAATGCAGTTACCGAAGCTGGTTTGGCTCAGTGGTAGAGCGTCGGTCTGCGGACTGAAAGGTCCCAGATTCGATTTCGGTCAAGGGCATGTACTGTGGTTGTGGGCACATCCCCGGTAGGGGGTGTGCAAGAGGCAGCTGGTCAATGTTTCTCTCTCATCGACGTTTCTAGCTCTCTATCTCTCTCCCTTTCTCTCTGTTAAAAATCAATAAAATATATTTTTTTTAAAAATCAAAATTCAGTTATCAGAATCTTACAGGAACAAATATGTCATGTATCAAGGTATGCATGTCTTCATTGATACATTAAACCTAAAATTGGGTGACTACCCTAATTTCAAAAAAAAATTGGGTGACTACCTTAAATTTCAAAATGGTGATGAGTATAAATGAGGTGTCAAGGTATATGTAAAACTGTAAAATGATATGAAAGTATCTGTGAACTTTGTGTGACAAAGTCACAAGTGCTTTTTAAAATATATGTATATTTTTATTGATTTCAAAGAAGAGAAAGGTGGAAACATCAATGATGGGAGGGAATCATTGATCAGCTGCCTCCTGCATGCCCCCCCACTGGGAATTGAGCCCACAATCTGGGCATGTGCCCTGCTCAGGAATCGATTCGTGACCTCCTGGTTTATAGGTTGACGCTCACCACTGAGCCACGCAGCTGGGTGTCACAGGTACTTTTAATACACTGTGGTTTCCTGGCAGCAGGAAAGGAACTGCCAAATATCAGCTAGCGCCGTGGTCGGCAAACTGCGGCTCACGAGCCACATGCGGCTCTTTGGCCCCTTGAGTGTTGCTCTTCCACAAAATACCACGGCCTGGGTGAGTCTATTTTGAAGAAGTGGCTTTAGAAGAAGTTTAAGTTTAAAAAAAAAAAAAATTGGCTCTCAAAAGAAATTCCAATCGTTGTCCTGTTGATATTTGTCTCTGTTGACTAACAAGTTTGCCGACCCCTGAGCTAGAGGTTTAGTGAAAGATGTAATTTTTTCCCCCTTTCAAGTCTTTATGGATCTCCTGCGTTCTATACAGAGGCCCTTTGGGGGTCCCTGAGGACTCACGTTCAGAATCTCTGCCCTTTCCCAATTATAAGAAAATCACGTTCGCCCTGCCTGAGCCAGGCAGCCGAGGGGCGAGGCATGGAGGAGGGCGGGGTCTCCTGGAGGCATTGTCACAGGAAACCTCCCTGCGCCCGCCTTCCTGAATCTCTGCGACGATGGGACTTTCTTGTCCCCACAGGTAACTACGAGGTGTCTATCAAGTTCAACGACGAGCACATCCCCGAGAGCCCCTACCTGGTGCCGGTCATCGCGCCCTCGGACGACGCCCGCCGCCTCACTGTTATGAGCCTTCAGGTGAGACGCAAGGAAGCATCCATGTCCTTGGCCACAGGCCAGCCGGTGGGACCCTGGGCTCCTGAGGCCGCTTCAATCCCCTCGGTGTGAGGATCCCGGATGTTCCCCGTCGCAGGGAGGCCTTCTCGTGGCAGAGTCAGCTTCCCCCCAGGGTTAGGGCAGGAGACAGTTGAGGGAACAAAACAGAGCCACAGTCCGTAAAGCACCTCAGGGCTTGGGGACAAGTTTGTTTTTTAAATATTTATTCAAGAGAAACAAAGGAGGCCCCGTTTATAGCTGGTTGAGGGCTAAGGAGAGCTTTACAAAGCTAACCGTCCAGTGATGTGTAGGCTTCTTTTTCCTCAAGGAAGTCAGTTGTGTTTTATTTTATTACGATGGTTCATTTATAATAAGTGTGATAGGCACTTTGCTAAAAACTTGGTCAGTGTTACCTTACAACACCTGGTGAGTGGGCTTCTCTCGGCCCCATTTTAAAGACAGAAAAACTGAGGTACAGAGAGCTTATGGCTACCAGAAATCAGCTACATGGTTCTAGCACATGTGGTGTTAACGGTGGCCTCCTCAATTGCATTGTGGCCGGTGGCTGCATAGTCCAACCTATTGCACTGCCAGGAGATGCAACTTTCCTCCTGTCTAAACAGGTCCCTGAATTCAAGGTTGCATAGAGGCTCCCAGCCAAACAAAGAACCATTGGGAGATGCTTTGCATCTCTGCTCAGGACCCTGGAAAATAATCAGGTGCCTGAACCCGGAGTAGCAGTTCCATTGTGCAGTAGCATCAGAATCTCCAAGTATGATTTCTGGCTACGGGGCCTTCTAAATAGCCTTCCTTCCACATCCCCCTAGTTCTTGAAAATCCTGGGTCGACTAAAACCCAGACTCAGATGGGCAATATCACAAGACCCAGTTCCCGCACTCGGTTTACTTTTGAGATTCCCACCTCCTCCCGAGGGGACGTGGCACTGCTAGCTGCTCCCCCGCAGCCAGGACCGCCGTCCGCAGATTGAAGAGGCCTCACTGGGGAGCTCCGGGGCGCCCACTGGCCGCCATGGTGCAGATGTTTTTCTTGTGTTTCATCTAAAGGCTTCTTAACAGACGTTCCTTTGGTGCCGTCGCAGCTGAAGCCTCGGGAGGGAGGTAAACCCAGCGCTTGTTGAGGGCAGACAGCTGCCTTCGTGCCCCTGGAAGACTTCTTTCGGATCTTCCGAGGCGTTTATCTCCCTCTTGAGGGTTTAGCGGCAGGCGGATTCAGGTAACGTAACTGCTTCTGTCCGAAGGGAGCTGATGTGCAGAAATCCTCTCCCGCCAGCTCCTCTGTGGAGTCCTCTCATCACCGTTGGGTCGTAAACATTTAAATAAGTTCGCAGCAGGCTGTGTATCCGGCCGGCGGGGGCCACGGGTGGGCGGGTCAGCTTCGTCCCTGTTCCTCCCGGGTCACTTGATGCCCGAGCGATACGTAAATTATTTATCGGAGATTTACTGGAGGCCTGCACAGCAACATCTGGGGCTGGTTAGGGGAGGGAGAGAGGCACGTATTGTTTTGTCTTGCTTTGGAGGCTTTTTAGAAAATTGGAGTCGGCTGGCATTTTGTGCAGGAGGCGGGGGGTGGAGGGATGGGGCTGGCCTGGCGATCAAAGACTCCGTAATTGTGAGTTTGGTCTATAACCGCCGTCTGTGAACTGTGAGGGCTGTGCAGTCTAATAGAGCTCTCTGAAACAGTGGAAATGCCTCATCTTCTCTGTGCCACTAGCTAGTATAACTGAGGAACTGCATTGTACTTATTTAATTTTAATTAATTTAAATCTAAATATGCAGTGATGTAGCCACATGTGGCCAGTGCCTACTGAATGAGGCAGCCCAGTTTTAGAGCCTCTCGTCTAAGACGCGGGCCCCGGACCTACAGCCTCAGCATCGCCTGGGAACTTATCAGAATCCTAGGAGCCCAGGCCCCACCCCAGGCCCGGAATCAGGATGTGCCTTTTAACAAGGCCCCGGGTGCTTGGGCTGCACATTAAGTGTGAACCCTGCTGCTTTAGAGTCACCTGGGCAGTGGCTGCCCAACCGAGTTTATGTCAAAGCTGCTGACTTGTAAAATGTTGCTGTTCAGGATTGGCTGATCTTAAAATACTGTAAGCACCTAAACTTCTAATCCCTTCCTCCCAGAGAGACTATAATTCCCCAGACAAAGCATGGAGAGTGAAATGGACCCAGTGACTAGCACCAGTTATACTTGTGTGTCAGTCTGTCTGTCTGTCTCTCTCTCGCTCTCTTTCTCTCTCTTTTTTTAAGGGAATATACAACTTCAATATGCATATTTTTTAAACATTTTTGTTGTTGGTAGTATTATAGATATCTCCCAGCACCCCCCTTGTCCCTCCCTTCCCAGCCCCATCTCCACTACCCTATTGTCTGTGTCCATGGGCTATGCATATAAGTATGTACGTTCTTTGGTTTATCTCTTCTCGTCCTCCATCCCCACAGCGAGCTATGTTAGTCTGTTCCAGGCCTGCCTGCTTTGGGTCTTCGTTGGTCAGTTCATTTTGAAAAAATGCATATTGATAGTCAATAACCTGACATTTTTTAGCCTTTCTGTAAGGGGGAAGCATTATGCTGAGGGCTTGGAATGCGTAACTTCATTTCATCCTCACGGCAGCTCTCTCAGACGGATCTGATTATGACGCACATTTTACACGAGAGGTGACTGAGGCTAAACGAGGTTAGAGGTTAAACGCTGTAGTTATACGTCCGGGAAATGGGAGCGGCCCAGGTTCTGCTATTGGGTCCCTGTGTGGTGCTGAAGGCCTCGCTTACACATTTACAAGTTTATTAAAAGTCCCTCCATGCCCACCTTCCAGATGAAAAATAGCAGCGACATAAAACGTTGTTCGCATTACTGTCTGGTTTTGTCAGCCATCAGGCTCCTCTTAAAAGGTGGGCCTTTGTTTTTAGTCTTTTTTTATTTATTTATTATTTTTTTTTTTTGACGACCCCTTTGGGATGCTGAAACAACGGTCCTGTTGATCAGGATGTCTCAAGTCTTCAAACCCGTAACCTCTTCCAGATGGTTTGGGCGCCAGACCCACGCCGCCGTCCGACTCTGCTCTCTTACAGTCAGCGCTGGAAATGTGGGCCACGCCACCCGCTGCTGTGGGATGTGGCTCATATGCGGGGCCTGTTTGCAGAAGCCCTGTCCCCAGAGTCCCCGTCCGGGTCAGTGTGAGCCGCTAAACAAGGGAGCCGAGAGCCGTAATGTTGTCTGATATGTTAAATTCTCAGGAATCGGGATTAAAGGTTAACCAGCCAGCCTCCTTTGCTATAAGGCTGAATGGGGCAAAAGGAAAGATCGATGCAAAGGTGCACAGCCCCTCTGGAGCCGTGGAGGAATGCCACGTGTCTGAGCTGGAGCCAGGTAAGCAGTGGGCGGGGTGTGCGGACCCAGCACCAGCATCCTCCCTCCCCCCACCCCCCGACCCAGCACGCACCCTGATGGAGGGCCAGCCGGCCTCACCAAGGCCAATGAGCCCGCACATTCCCTTTGCTGTTCTTGCCAGACACTGCTTGTAAATTAGGGTGTAAACATTGCCAAGGACAGACGAGGATGCTTGGAGATTCAATATCCTCCCTTTTATTCTTGTTTTTGTTCCTGTTCCTTTTCCTCTCTCCCTCCGCCCCCTTTTCCCTCCTCTTTCTCTCTTCCTCTCCCTCTTTTTCTTAAACAAGTATTGCTTTATTTTGTTTATCATATTCTTTTCACATTACGGTCATTGTAATTTTCTCTCATAGTTTAACAAAACCTTACAGATTTTATTATATTGTTGAACTTATGAATAAGTTCACGTGGACCTGACTTCACTCTGAGGAAAAGGTCAATGATGTTCATCTTGAAATTTAAAAGAGAATCTGGTGGTTCAGTACATAGATCTTGTAGCGTAGGAACCAACACCTGAAACCTGTAGGTTCATGTTGACCGATGTCACCCCAATAAATTTAATAAAAAATATTAGAGAGGGGAAAAAAAGAGAGAGAATCTGGGTCTCCAGGATGCTTCACAGGAGGCCCAGGATGCTTACTCGCCCAAGATCTTGCCTGCTGCCTTGATGCGTGGAATTCCAGCGTTTTTTTAAGTCACTTTAATGAGACGTTTGCCAGTGAGCATTCATTGAGTGTCAGACTTGGCAAGACGTGACTCTTGCTCACAAAGAGGAGCTCAGGGTCAGTAAGGACCTGGCCACAGCCTGCAGAGCACGTGAGGACTGTGTGGTCACCGCTAGCACAGGAGGACTGAGAACCAACTGGTGAAGTTGGTTAGAGCAGGAAAGGGAAGTGCGGTGCCTTGCCAAGGTCAGGAGGGCTCCTCAGAGGAAGTGAACTGACCGTGGGCCCTGATGCATGAGGAAGGACTCTTTGTCGCCGCCCCGATGGGGCATTTGCTGTGGCTCTGCCACGTTACACTGAGGGCAGAGAACAAGGACCCGGTTTAGCATGTAGACGTCTTTCTCCCTCTGGGCAGAATGGGACAGGGCTGCAAGGAGTCTTAGAAGACACAGTGTGTCTGTGTGTGTGTGTGGGGGGGGGGGGGGTGCCTGGTCAGATCTCGGTTTAAGCCTGGCCACATCCTAGAGAACGTGTTGAGATGTCTGAAAGGCAGAATGGTTTGTTTGAGAAAACAACGTTCATCAGCAGCGTTGGAATGGAGAGGGGGACTTGAGGCCGGAGAACTCTAACCTCGGTGGCCAGTTTGGCCATAGGGAATGCATGCGAATCAGAAAGGTTGCATGTCGCTTGGTGATGGGGTGGAAATAGGGTGCAGCCATGGGTGGGTGAGGCCTTCCTGGGAATTTTGAAGTGTCCCCAAAACATCCAGATAAGGAAGCTCAGATTGCTAGAGCCATTGGGATTTGGCCAACAAGTGGAGTTAGGTATCTGAGATGGTCAGCATGCCAGTCAGGATGCTATTGTTTGCAAATTACAGAACACCCAGCTGAAGCCAGCACACCCAATAGAGGGGTCTGTTCACTCACATAACTGGAAAATGCAGGGTCCAAGGTGCAACAGTTTAATTCCGCCGTGCAGCTACGTCCTCCAAACCCCCACATAGCTTTGCTCTCTCTTCTACTTTGTGGGCCTCACTCATCCCCCTATTGTGGTGACCTTCCTCTTGGTGACAAGATGGCTGCAGAGCCCAGATTTCCCAACCTCACCCCACAGCAGCCATCTCTCCTGAAGAGTCTTTCTCAGAAATCCAAGACACTCCTTTTCCAGAGTCTCCAGCCAACTTCCCTCCTGTCTCACCAAACACTGAACACACATGCCAGGTGCTAATTGATGGCTTGGAGAAAGAGGGAACCCTCCCCGAGTCAAAGATCATACCTGATGTGGGGGTGGGACCACCTCCTCTGGAAGCACATTTGCTTTACGGGTGGAGAGGTGGGTACCAGTGAGAGGCTGTCGGGGAAATGCCGTGTGGAAGGGTGGGAATGGGCAGCTGCATGTAGACGTCCATCAGAGGAGAAGCGAAAAGGGCTTGGGTGGAGCTTTGGGGGACAGACATGCTGAAGGGGTGAAGGGTGAGTAGAGGGAGAAAACAGACTGCCTGCATCCCGGGCGAGTGCTTCCAGGAGGAAGGGGGGGTCAGGGGATGCACGATAGCGAGGGGGGTGTTCCGGGTGTCCATTCAGGGGACGGTTACCGTGCCCCATGCTGTGACCCAAGCTCCCAGTGAAAAACCTGGCTGTTATTGGGGGGGCGGGAGGAGGGTGAGTAGTGGTGTGGGGAAGGCAGTCGCCAGCTTGGAGCTTACCTGCAGAGGATTGGCCCCAGTTGGGACCACACTTTCCCCTTCAAGTGGCCAAGCAGAGAAACTCTGCACGAAGGGAGCTTTCGTAAAGGCCGTGTTCTCCTGAGGCAGAGGCCGCCGAGGAGGAGACAGAACCTGAGATTTGGATGCATCTCCCCGAGGGCTGGCTGAGGACACACAGGCAGGCACATCTGGCTTTGAAATCCAGCCTCCTGGGCGCCAGGCCGTCAGGACAACCATTGTCTCAGGAGAGACATAACATTGGCCGTCCCGGGCTACTTCCCGGCCCGGGCCCTCGCCACCTCAGTGGTGCCCGTGCGCCCACTCTCACCCGGTGCCTTCACTCTCTCTCCCCCAGATAAGTACGCGGTTCGCTTCATCCCCCACGAGAACGGCGTCCACACCATCGACGTCAAGTTCAACGGGAGCCACGTGGTCGGAAGTCCCTTCAAAGTGCGCGTCGGGGAGCCTGGACAGGCGGGGAACCCGGCCCTGGTGTCCGCCTACGGCGCAGGGCTCGAGGGGGGCGTCACAGGTAACACCCGCCTCCCCCTCTCTGTCTCCCAAGGGGACAGAGCCGGGTGGCAGCTTCCAGGCGGGGCCCCTGTCCCCAGGGACGCTGGAATGAGGTGCACTTCGGAGGCTTGCGAGCTCATGGCCGTGTGCTGTGCCCCCGCCGGCTTCCTCTGCCAAGTTCCCGGGCTGTGGGGCCAGAATGCTGACGAAGGGGGATACGGCCCAGCACCGTTCACTCTGAGGGTTCCTTTGCCCGCGCAGAGTTCATGATGCATGTAACGGGCCCCCTGGGCAGTCCCTCCCCATTCGTGCCCCTTGTGGTCCCCAGGCGCCCAGAAACGCTTTGATTGGCGGTAATGCCTGACCCGGTCTGTCTCCTCTTCGGATCCTCATGGAGGAGGAGGAAAGTCTGAAACAGTGGAGGAACTCTGAAGCTTTTGGACTTGCTATGATTTATTTCTAACCTTTGCTGCAGATGGAACACTTTTGATTGTGAAGAGCTTAGGCAGCGACAAGGTGTGTGTGTGTGTGTGTGTGTGTGTGTGTGTGTGTATATATATATATATATATATATATATATATATATATAATGCATAATAACCTGGCCACTCAGTGTCTATCCTATATAATAAAAGGCTAATATGCAAATTGTCCCCTTGACCAGGAGTTTGACCAGCAGGCAGTCCGGCCAACCGCCCATGTCCCCTCCCCCTGGCCAGGCTGGCCAGACCCCACCCATGCATGAATTCATGCACCGGGCCTCTAATATATATGTGTATACACACACACACACACACACACATTGGGATATATATATATATATATATATATATATATATATATCACACACACACACACATATACTGTGCTATACATATATATATCACACACACACACACACACAAAGTGGCCAGATTATTATGTGTTCAGCGATCACAATAATCTGGCCACTCAGTGTAGAGTGAAACTTCGGCCATCTCTCTGCGTCTCCTTCCTCCCTCCCTTGCGTTGTCTGTCAGGCTTCATTCTTGGTCACTTGGTTGCTTAGCTGCTGGTTCACCAGAAAGGTAGATACATACTGAGGTTTTGCTTTTATTTTACAGAAGCAATCTTAATGCACATGTTGTTGTACCGCTTGCTTTTTGCTCTTGGCATCCTAAAGAACTGTCCATGTTAAAACATACCCCTCGCCCTCCCCAGTAATGGCTGCAGTTGGTGTTCAGATGGTGACCCCAGAGGTGGGCATCGGGGGTGTCCAGTGTGTGCCCTTACGGAGAGGCAGGATGGGAGCGTGTCCAGCTATGCTTCTATGCAGGGAACGTCCAGGCATGGCTCTTGGGACACACTCTGGATGTGGGTGTGATTTGGGCCCCAGGAAGGCCGCTCGGTCCCAGTTTCTGGAATCCCTCGTATGTGGGCACTGCGCTTCGTGTCCCCCGATGGGGTGAGTGGGACAGAGCAGACCCGCCTCCCCACGGCGAGGGCATGGGTGGCCCTGGTTACTGGGGAGTGAGAGTCCTAAGTGGCCCAGGCGCCTGCTTAAGGGCAGGAGAGAGTTGGCCCAAGCTGATGTCCCATCTGGGACTCTGGCCAAACAGTGGCCTCAGCAGAACCACCCGTGGGGGTGGCACAGGTGCCCCTGGACGCCCCAGGCCCCTCTGGCTCCACACTGAACGCTGGTCCAGCAGCGTGTCCTTTGTGAAAGGCGTGGTATGGTTTCACCCTAAGCCGTCCATTTCACAGATGACCCGGAAGGTTGAGTCACTCCCCAAAGCTTACTTAGCGGCGGAGGCCAGAACGAACCAGTACTTTCCCCCAGATGTCCGGCTCTTCCAGGGGCAGAGACTGCACCTGGGCCCACTCAGCGGCGGTGGTGGTGGGGTCCTAAGCCGGCCCCCATCCTCCTCGCTGCCGCGGAATGTTTCCAGGCAGCAGTGGATGCATTTGGCCCCTGCAAGCCACCACCCACCATCGGAGCCCAGGTTGGGTCCTCCTGGTACTCGGAGCCACAGCAGGCCTTGGCCCAGGCCCCACAGCAGCCACTGAGGTCTCCTGCAGCCGCTGGCAGCCACCTCTGCCTCCTGCTGGGTCACACCTGCTGTGCCGGGGCCCGTGGGCTTCCTCTTGGCTGTTCACGGGCCCGCTCGGGAGCTCTGGTTTCAGGCTGTGTTTTGCGAGCGCTGGATGCCGCTGAGAGGAGCTGGTCTAGGGAGACTCCCGACCAGGCGGGAGAGGCACAGAGCACGCCTGTTCCAAACCCTGAGTAAATATTGCTCTTGTCCGGGGGAAGGCGTCTTGTTTTTCTAGCCCTCCTGCCCCCCAGCCTTTCCCCGCACCCCCTCCCAGGGTCACACAGCTGCAGTGTGCAGGGAATGAAAAGGTGACTGTGCTCGCCGCCCGCGGGCCTGGCAGCCTCACCTTCGGGACCAAGCAAACGTCCCTGTGCATTTACGGGTGGACTCGCTGTATCTTTTGGCTCGAACTTTACATGGCCCGTTCTGCAGGTTTGGGAGCGGGGCGTGGGAGGATTGGGGAGGGACTGGGCTGCAGAGGGTGGAGGAGCTGGGAGGTAGACCGAGCGGTCTGGGCTGTCTGGGCTGGGAGCGCCGTCTCCCGAGGAAATGCTCCAGGAACCCCCGTGTGCGGGAACGGAGAGCCCCTCCCCCCCTCGCCCGCCTTGAAGATGCTTTGCACACGCGTGACAGTCACAGGAGCTCAGCCGTGCGTGCGTGTGGGCTGCCGGGATGTTCAGGGTGCCCATGGTCAGCTGGAGGTGGTGGTGAGGGGGACGCCTGCATGTGGATCCTTTCTCCAGTCTTCTCTCCACTTCCTGTTGGGGTTTAAATCTCCTTTGTGCCATTTTCTAGCTGTGTGACTCGCGGAGCCTCCCCTTCCTTCCTACAAAATGGGAATGATGAGGGAGCCCCCAGACAGGCTGTCCCAGGTACCACTGGTCCTGACTCCTTATTTCCCCTTCCCACCGCGTCTTCCCTGCCCCCTGTCCTCGGCCTCACAGCCAGGAGGAGCTGAGTTTTCGGGAATGGAGCCGCTTGTTGAAAAGGGCGGGGCTTCTTCCCATTAGCCAGGCCTTCTCCAAGCTGAGTATCTCTCAGAGTCTTGCAGCTCCTTCCTAGGATGCTGCCTGAGGGGCTTCGAGGCTGCGCAGTTTAGATACGGTGTTGAAGTGGGGGGCGGGGTGCTGGGTGTGGGAGTGCTGGGACCAGAGCCTCCAGAGCTTCCAGAAACAGCTGGGTTGTGTTTGGGAGTTGCATGATAGCAGCTCCTTTGTTTTATTGATAACCAGAACAATCATTCTTTCTCTGGCCTAGGAGCTATAATTAAACCAAAATAGTTCCCAGCTGGGACTCGTCCAGGGCTCTGGAGAAAGCACAGCCCTGCCTGGGGCTGCTATGCCGGGGACGGCCCAGGGAGGGCACTGTGGCAGGCGCACAGCTGGTGCCTGGGCCCCCAAGTGGCCCTCACGGAGCAGCTCATCCCCTCTGGACTGGAAAGAGGCCTGGGGCGGGGTGGGGGTGGGGGTGGGGATGCTTCTGCTGGGCCCTGGGCTCAGGCGGGGATGCTGCCATCGCCATCGGTGGCGCTCCTGCCCAGCTTGCCTTCTGTTGTGCCCGTCTGTGCAGGAGACCCTCAGGGCCCTGGCAAGCGGTAGAGGGTCCTAGGGCTGCACCAGGGCATCCAAGGCAGCCACACTGTCCACCCAGTGGCCAAGAGCTGGGCCTGGGCTCGGAGCTGCGCAGACTGCTCAGATGCCCCTCTCGGGAGCTCTGACTGGCAGGGGCTGTCCTGTTGGCACCTGCACTGCCATGGGGCTCAGTGAGCCGCGGCTGCTGTGCTGGTCCGTTCCCGTTGCCAGTATTATTCGTGGCGGCAGATCCCGCGGGCTGCTTCGGTCTCCAGGGTGGAGTCTGGGTCAGGGAGCCTGAGAGGAAGGAGGAGGCGCTGACTCCCTGGCTTCTCGGAGTCACACAGGAGGCAGGGAAGGTCAGGGGCCCACGCCTCCCCTCGCCCTGGCGCAGAGCGGGGGCAGCACGTCAGGCTCACGGTGACCCTCGGACCTCCCGCCCATCGCCGCTCTCGTGCCCAGAGGAGAGGACAGGGTGTGCTGGTGGGCGAAATGTCAGCCCCACCCCTGCCTGCAGTTACCGGCCCCAGGGCCCGTGGTGCACTGTGCCAGGAGTTCAAAGCTGGTGGTGGTGGGTTCCCTACTTTGAGGGATCCTGTGTGTGCCTCTGCCACTGCTTCAGCACCCCTGGGAGCGCTCCCCAAACCCTACCCCACCATCCCTCCAAACCATCCACATGATATTTACTCCCACTTCCTTTCTCCCAGGGATCCAGTCTGAATTCTACATCAACACCACCAGGGCGGGGCCCGGCACGCTATCGGTCACCATCGAAGGCCCGTCCAAGGTTAAAATGGATTGCCAGGAAAGCCCAGAAGGGTATAAAGTCATGTACACCCCCATGGCCCCCGGAAACTACCTGATCGGCGTCAAATACGGCGGGCCCAACCACATCGTGGGCAGTCCCTTCAAGGCCAAGGTGACAGGTAACCAAATACCTTTGAAATTATACCCCTCCCCCCAATCCTTTGTCAAAATATCAACGGAGCTGCTCGATCGCAGAAACCGTGGATGATTTTAAATACGTTGAATCTACTTTGAATCCTGATTGTACGGAAGTGGTAGGGCCCTGTGTGGCTCAGTTGGTGGTCGATTCCCAATCAGGGCTCATACCCAGGTCGTAGATTCAATCCCCAGTTGGGCCACGTGCCAGAGGCAACTGATTAACTTATCTCTCCCTCTCACTCCTTTCCTCTCTCTGAAAATCAGTTTTAAAAAAGAAATGGTAGGACAGGTAGAGGGGGGTGCATGTTTGAAACTTGCAAAATAACTACCCTGTTTCCCCGAAAATAAGACAGTGTCTTATATTAATTTTTTCTCCCAAAGTTGTGCTAGGTCTTATTTTCAGGGGATGTCTTATCTTTCCATGCGCTAGGTCTCATTTTCCGAGGGCTTCTTATTTTCGGGGAAACACGGTAGGTAGAATGGGAGGGCAGAAGTTTAAAAAGGTTGTTAGGTGTATTCTGCCTCTCACAGAAAAAATAAATTTTACATATTTGAAATCTTATGTATTTGTTTAAATCAGAGTTTTAAAAAATCACTCCAATCAATTCACTTTAAAAATAATTAGAAGTCTTTATTAAACTTATAAAAATGTGCTTCCTTCAGAACACTGGGAAAAATACCAAACAGTAAAATCACCTCACAGCCTCCATCCAGGTAACCACCATAAGCCTTGTGGTAAATTCCTCCCACGTGTCTCTCTCTTTCTCCGTCCCCTGCTATATAAACAGCATAGGGTTCGTGCAGAAAAACTAAAGATTCAGACAGGAGAACCATCTTCCGTGCAGAGAGAATCCCTTGTGATATTTCATTTGTCCTTGCAGACTTCTACACTGCGTATCCCTGTAAGCTCTACAGTATAGAGTCCACACTGCTACACTGCAGTGTAAGTCTGCAGCGTGAGCTTACAGGGATACGCAGTGTAGTGTCTGTACTGCTGACACGCAGAGTGCTTTATGTAAATGGAAACCTATGGCTTCTACGGGGGGCACGTGGTTCTGTGGGAGGGGTCTACAGGCTGGAACCTAGGTAGTTGTGTTGGACATGACAAGGGGCGAAGTAAGAATACATTATGGGTGTGAGACGGGGAAGTGGTGGCTTTTGGATCAGATGTTGGGGTGCGGGGACACTTTCCTCCTCTGGCCGAGAGACCCTCTTGATCCGGTCATTCATGCCCTCCTCCCTCCCTCCCATGTCATTCACGCCCTCCTCCCTCCCTCCCATGTCTTAGGCCAGCGTCTGGTCAGCCCCGGCTTGGCCAATGAGACCTCGTCCATCCTGGTGGAGTCGGTGACCAGGTCCTCAACAGAGACCTGCTACAGCGCCATCCCCAAGGCATCCTCGGACGCCAGCAAGGTCACCTCCAAGGGGGCAGGGCTGTCGAAGGCCTTTGTGGGCCAGAAGAGCTCCTTCCTGGTGGACTGCAGCAAAGCCGGTAGGCAGCCTGGCCTGCTCCGGGGGGTGGGGGCGGCTGGGCACCCGCCTCCGCTTTGGTCTTCCCTGCTCCAGGCTGCAGTGCCCCGCTCCCGTGGAGCCCAGCCATGTGCAGGTCACCGTGTTCATTACCTTATTCTTACACTTTTCCTCTGATTTTTTTTTCTGCCCCTGATTGCTTCACACTTAATAGTAATTTGGACCTGGGGTATTTGTCCGGGTGTCAGTAGTGAATTGGCTGGGCTCTGGCGTCTAGCACATCTGGCCTGGAAACCTGGCTGGTTCCACCACTCATCCCTTCCTCCTCTCCTCCTTCCCTCCCTTCCTCTCTTCCTTCCCTAAATGCCGTGTGGCCTTGGGAAAAGCACTAAGTCTCTTTCTAAAAGTCAGTTTTCTCTTCTCTAACACAGGAAGAATAGTGCCTTCCATAAAGTTCTCATGAGAATAACAGAACAATTACACCTCCAGGGAGAGAGAGAGAGGCCTTATCCTGCGCCGAGGGCTTCCCAGAGCCCTCCTCCCGGCGAGGCTGGTGCCAGCGCTCCCCTGTTTACGGACGGGGAAGCTGAGACAGGGAGAGGTGGCGTTCCGTGTCCAAGGTCACCCGTCCAGGAAGTGGCAGGGCCGGGATTTGAACCCACAAGTGTTGGGCTCTATGAGGCGGCTCAGAATCCCACACTCCCCCCTCTCAGACCCCAACATCATCATAGGAGCTCAGCCGGTGGTGACTGGCACCGTTCCGTCGGCTCCCCTCTGGTGCTCTGCCGCCTGGGACTCGGCCTCTTGGTAACCACCTCCCTCTGCCGCTCAGGTTCCAACATGCTGCTGATCGGGGTCCACGGGCCCACCACGCCCTGCGAAGAGGTCTCCATGAAGCACGTGGGCAACCAGCAGTACAACGTCACCTACGTCGTGAAGGAGCGGGGGGAGTACGTCCTGGCCGTGAAGTGGGGGGAGGAGCACATCCCCGGCAGCCCCTTCCACATCACCGTGCCTTAGGTGCCTGTCGTCAGATCCCGGGAGGTGCCTCTGGTGGTTGCTTTTGTTGCTTGTTTGTAACTCGTTTTTTGTTTTTGTTTTTGTTTTTGTTTTGTTTTTTTTACACAAAGTCCTCCGGCTTGTGTGTGGGGGTCTGAAACCCCATCCCGAAAACATTGCCATTCTAAAGTGCCTTCAGAACGAAATCCTAGACTTGACTCCTTGGGGACGCGTTGGGGGACACTGGGGAAATGCAAGCTCGTATGGTGGGCTGGGCAACGCTGACCTCTGGCGGCTCAGATGGTCCCCTGCAGGCAGACCGAGAACACAGGCAAGGCTGGTGTTAGAAATGGCACCGGGTACCAGCTTAGGAAACCAGACAGGGATGAGGGGCAGGGGAAAAGAGGCTTCTCGCTTAGGTGATTGTTTAGGGAAGTGGATGGCTTACCACCAGCGTCCTCTCCTCCGGTGCCCACAGCACGTGAGAAAAGGCTGCTAACGTGGGCACGTTGTTTTGACCACTCGTTCCCACCCCACGCTGCTCTGTAGCCTTTTTACCACATGACAGCCGGCGGCCTGGAGGGCTCTCGGCCGCCTCTCCCTCACCGGCTGGTAATTGCCCTGCAAAGTCCGACCGTGTGACCATCTTGGCAGCCATGTGTCTGTTCTTGCTCTTAAAGTCTGGTCAGTCTTGGTCTGGAGGAAGGTCTGCAGCGGCCAGCAGCCCTTCCCCCACCCCCCACTTGCCAAAGATCCCTTTTTGTAACCAACGCACTAGCCCCTGTGCCTCACACACACTCCAGCCGCGTGCCCGTCATGAGCTCTCCCAGCACGCTCTCCGTGGCAGGGAGGGGTCCCCGTGTCAGCAGCAGTCTTCGCGCGACACAGCCCTCCACACCCAGCCCGGGCTGTCTCGGGGGCCACTTTTTCTGGAAAATAGTTATAGGTAGGAAAGAAGGAAGGTCCTGCCAACTTCTGGTCTGATCAGGGACCGTGGAGGGGGTGGACCGCAGCTCCTCGGTGCTCCTTCGCTGTTTGGCAAAAATAGCAAAAGCTGCGTGCCCGGTGGTGGCTGTGTCTTTGGCCCTGACCCCCTATCATCCAGACGGTGTTTGGAAAGCAACAGGCAGGTGCAAGAGTCTACAAACGGGGTGCAAGGCCTTGTGCCCCCCTTCCTGCACCCCTGCTTGGGACTAAAGCTAGAGCGTCGGGCTGGCTGGCTGCAGGGCCCGCCGTGGAGTGTGGTCAGGGCAGGCTGCGGCTGCCGTGCCTCTGTGGGCGGGCGGGGCCCAGGTGGGGGGCCTGCAGCGAGGGGCGGCAGCTGGGGCCAGTGTTGGCACACGCCCAACGTTCGAAACTGGAGCGGCCAGAAGCCTCAGGTGAAGGGACCACAGGCCTCGGAAACTGGGACAAGGAAGCGAAACTGGAATCAAATGCTGACTGTAAATTGTACCTTATAACTTATTAAATAAAACATTTGCTCCTTAAAGCGCAGTCTGGTCAATGGCCTGAGTCTGGCCTGCTCCTCCGATCGCTGGCCGGCAGCACACAGGGGAGCCGCTTGTCCTGACCAGGGGCCTGGCCGCCGCTGGCAGGGGGAGGCCCAGCTCCTCCCTGAGCCCCGGTGGGGATTCACCCAGACGGCCCGCCTGAGCGTGCGGGGCACCGGAAAGGGGGGGCCTGACCCCCACGCAGCTGCCTGGAGAGGTTTGCGGGGGCCTTGCCGTGAGGAAGAGCCCCACATAGGAAACCCACCGAGGTGGAGGCTGTGGTTTTAAAAAAGAGCGAGAAGAAAGCCTCTCCTACATATACAAGAAGTCCCCTTGGAGGGAATTTATTCAAACAGAAAAGTGTCACCTGCCCTCCTACGGCCTGTGGACAGACAGCAGGGCCCGCCCCTCTCGCTCTCTCCCTCCCGGCTCCTTCCCGCTGCAGATGTCCCCAGCTCCAGGCCTCCCCTCCCCTTACCGCAGTCTGGTGACACCGTTTTACAGCGACAGCACCAGCTCAGGGGCTGCGCTCTCAAAGTTCACTTGAGGCGGACCCTGGGTCCCCACCCGTTTGTCCTCCCTGGTTACACCTGCGGGAGCAGTTGCCATGGTGATGGGAAGTCCTAGCTGCCTCCCACCCCATCCCTCACCTCCACTGGAGTTGAGGGGTGAAAGGAAAGGTGGGGAGACAAGACTCTGGATCCTTCCCTCTGTCTCTTCCTGACACCCCTTTGTTGGTCAGGGTGGCGATTGGTTGGCCTCTGGTGGGTGGGAGGGAGGGAGGGGGTGTCCTGCCCCTTCTGGAGGGAGCAGCCTCGTCTGTGGGCCTGGACTCCCACAAGGCCTGTGGCCTGAGAGGGGTGCGGGCATTGCCCGGGGGTCTGGGCAGGCCACCGAAGGCCGAGTTTGTCCCCAGAGGAGCGCAAGGCCGGAGCCACTGGTTTCTATCCCTCGCCGGAGCCTGGCGGGCGTTCGTGGATCAGGTAGCAGGGTGGGCTTTGGCATCAGGCACCTTAGGCGTGAACTCTCAGAGGGCGCCGCCCTCGGCGGTTGGGGTCTGGTCACGTGGGGCTGTCTGCCTACACGGCTGGGCCTGGCGGGGCCCTGCCGGTTACTTCAAAGACCTCACGGGGCGGTCTGTGCACTTCCGGGCAGCAGCGAGCGCCACGGGCCAGCTCTTATCTGCACTTGGGCTGGCTGCTATGGAAACCGGCTGTTCTTTGTCCAAACACCTTGAAAACTGCACCTTAACCCTGGACGGGCCGAGGCCAGACCTTTTCGGGCTCCCTGGTCCCCTGGGCCCTTGGCTGCCAGGACCATCACTCTTCAGGGGCGAAGGAGGTGAGGCCTATGCCAGCCGCCCTGCAGAGATCCTCAACCCCGGTGGACCCTGCCCTGTCCCGCCCAGATGCCTGCCTCTTCCTCATCCCGTTTCCTCTGAAACCCAGGGCCTCGCTCATCAGCAACGCTGCCAAGAAGGAAACATTCAATTAACGTGTCTCTCCGATGCGCTTATAAACCACACGTCTAGTCTTAAGACTTCAAAGGGGCCTGGAAAGCCACATTTTGATGAGTTTGGTGTAAAAGGAATCCGGAGCATAGGGATTTAATTTCCCTTGAAAATTGCACAGCCTGAAAAATTAGCAAAACCATGGTTAATGGCAAAAATGAGTGCTCAATCCTGTCAATCCCCCAAGTTTGTATTTTGACATGGGGAACAAGATCGTTAATTTCAGTGCCCCTTGGCCTTCGTGGGGCGGGGATGAAAAGCAGGGGGTTCTGGGAAAGGAGTGGCATCGGTCCAGGTCTCCCTTAAGGTGGAGGGGAGGGGCTTTGGAATCAGAGGAGACCACTCATGAAAACTCCCCAGAACACATCTTGTTTAGCTCATTTGTTTGCTCCTCACAATAGCAAATCACAACTCTCAGAGGGAGTAAAAATGTCACATCGCTCAAGGCAAGCTGGAATTTGATCCCCCCCCCCCCTGGCTCTGTCCCAAGGATGCTGCCCAAACCCATGGTGGGAGAAATCTTTTTGAACAAAGGGATCCTTTTGCTTGTGATAAGGCTTTTGTCTGGACCCCTGAGCACACAGGGAACTAGCGGTTGTGCTAGGAATTTAGGGTGGCCACCCACACCCCTTCTCTCTTCCTCAGGAGTCCCAGCAGCGGGCGGAGATGGGGGATTTACAAGCCTGACTCACTCGGCTCCCAGCCAGGGGTGTTTCGCATGTTGGACTTGCTTATCTCCCCGGAAAAAGCTGAGACAGAAAGAATCCGTGAGCCTCTTACTGCCCACGTTACACCCTCTGCCATGCCCACCGCCTTCCCAGGGCACCAGACGCTTCTCCCTATTGGTGTGGACATTCTTAGGACAAAACTGGCAGGTGATCTCAGAGAAGGAAACCCTGGCAGAGGTGCCAAGCCCCGGAAATGCCAGCTTCCGGCCCAGCTACAAGCAGCCAGTGCACCTAGCAGCAGAAAAAGCCGGTGCCTGAGAAACGCTCAGAAAGCACGGGGTCGAATGCTGCAGGTTCACTTCTGGATCCCAGGCCCAGCTCTGCCGCCAGCCTGGTGGCTCCGTGCCCTCATCCATCCAATGGAAAAGGAATGGGAAACTTACAGTCTAAGGCACATGTGTCAAACACAAGGCCCACGGGCCAAATCCGTCCCGCCAGGCCTTGCAATGTGGCCCGCACCGCGCTGTCATCACTGCACTCCGCTGCGTTTCCATCACAATGACAGTTTATGACTGTTCAGTAAACCATTCGGCCCGAGATTTAGGCTGGATTTTAGATTTTGGCCCCTTCTCTGATTGAGTTTGACACCCCTAGTCTAAGGTAAGGTGACCAGACGTCCTGCTTTTGGAGGGACGGTCCCAATTTTTAACAATTTGTTCCGCGTCACGTTTTTAAAAAGTCCTGATTTAAACATCGGGACTTTTTTAAAACGCCGCGGGACGCAAGACAAATTGTTAAAAATTGGGACTTCTGGCCACCTTAGTCTAAGGCACATGTGTCAAACACAAGGCCCGCGGGCCAAATCTGTCCCGCCAGGCCTTGCAGTGTGGCCCGCACCGCGCTGTCATCACTGCACTCCACTGCGTTTCCATCACAATGACAGTTTATGACTGTTCAGTAAACCATTTGGCCCGCGATTTTGGCTGGATTTTAGATTTTGGCCCCTTCTCTGATTGAGTTCGACACCCCTAGTCTAAGGTCAACCTCTAGAAAGATCCTACCATCCCACCACACATACCCCCACTGGCTGGGCAAACCACTCCCCATCCAGAGCCGCTGGGAGAGGGGCTGCCTGAGTATCGGGGAGACTCAGCTCCCCAAGACAGAGTGGAAGGGGGGCCCCAGGAGGGGTGGGGGCTTGTAGGGAAGCCATTTAGCACGGCGGTTACAAGCATGGGCCCTGCCCCAGCCTCCAGCAGATCGCTGACCCTCACAGAAAACAGCGCCTGGTTCTCCCCAGTAAACCGGGCAATGGGACTGACGGCTCCGTGGAGTGTCTGAGGATGGAGACAAAGGCAGGTGTGTGAAGAGCACAGCGTCCGTCCTGTACGTGGTCAGGTCCCAAAATCACAACTCCGCATGGACGGGGCCTGAGAGGGGTGTCCCCACCGAGAGCTTAACCCCGGAGGGGCTGTGAGGGACAGAGGGCTGCGTCCTGGAGGCCGGCGACAGCCCCAGGCTGGGGTTGGGGTGCAGCCTTATCCGTGAGCCCCCGCCAATGACAGAACTGCAGGAGGGTGCCCCAGGCTCCCTGGTGCCCCAGGTTCAGCTCCTGTTTCCTCAGCACAGGCGGGGGCCAGAGACAGGCCTGGGGCGGACCCCTCCGCTTCCCAGGGGTTGTTGCGTGGGCTTCACATGGGTTAGCAAAGAAAATCATCGTGGCTAATAACATTAACACTAGGCACTCAGGATTGTCTTTATTTTACGAGGGAGTTTGCAGGAGCCTGACATCACCCGGGCGGTAACCACCGAGGTTGTGTGTGATAACACCCGGGGGCCTAGCTGTGGGAGGCGGCCATGAACTGCAGCAGGGTCTGCACAGGGTGGGGCCCAGCATCTGAAGGCGCAGCTCTCCCTGGGGTATGGGGGCTGTCCTTGGGCCCGTTGGAAGGCAGCACTTTAGGGGCGCTCCTCTGCTCCCTCCACTCCCCTCCCCTCCTGGGGAGCCTGGCCATCCTGCAGGGGAGCCGGTGGACCCCTGCCTGCTCTGTCTGGTTGTCCTCCTGGTGGGCAGTCGTTGCCATGGTGACCGCCAGGGGTCGCCTTGGACACGCAAATTGCTGCACGGAGGGCAGCTACTGGGGCCGAAGGCGCAAGGTCACCCAAGCCCAGAGGAGGGGACACCCACTTCTGCCTTCAGTCTGGACCTCTGGCACCTAGACTTACCATCCTGGGGGTGGGGGCAGTCTGGGTCAGGGAGGCTTCTAGAGTTCAGAGGTCGGACCCTGCCCCCAGGTCCTGCCTCCCCTCAGCCCCGCAATACTGACTTTCTCCCTCCGTCCTTCCCTGTCCACCCAGCTGCCACCGAGCTAAGGTGAAAGCCCAGCTCATCCTGAGCCTTTTTCTAAGCACCTGCCGAGTGCCAGGCAATATTCCCTGGAGGTACGCACGCGGCGTAGAGGAAGGCGGGCACAGAGGAGCCAGCTCCCCAAGGCGAGGCGTTTTGTGGTTTTGTTCACTCGCAGCTCCTGGCACACAGAAGGCCTTCCGTCTGCAAAGAAGAGTGCTCATGGCCCGATTTTTAAAGCCTGGATTATAACGGTGTTTGCACAATTAATTAGTGACCACTCACATGCTCCAGAGGAGGCACACAGACCCAGGTTGTCCCGTTTAACCAGCTGGCTCTCGGTTTCCCAAACTTCCTCAGAGCCCTCATTGTTTCTGGGGACAGTCCGTGCAGCTGTGTCCTTTGTGCCTTTCAGAGGTGAGGCCCGCTCTGTAAGTCTCCTCCCACTCTGCCTGGCTCACTCCTGTCCATAGTTCAGGTCTCAAAGACGCTTCCTCCAGGAAGCCTGCCCTGACCACCACCTCCCCTTCCCCGCCTCCCCTTCCACCCACGGGGTTCTGAGTCTCTCTCCCCTTCTGGACTGTGAAGGCCTGAGGACAGGGAGCCTGCGGACTCGGTCCCTCCTCATTTACCTCTGGTACCTGGCTCTGTGCCTGCCACAGGCTCAAAAGCAAAGGAATGTTTGTTGAAGGAACAGATGAGAGCTCAGCCTGCAGAGTGAAAAGGCGAATGTTGCCTCCTCCCTGGCTTTCCCCCTGGCTTTCAGGGGGAGGGAGCAGGTGCTGCAGAGTCCTGGTGGGGTTCCTCTGCTCCACCCTGCCGGTGCCTCTCTCATGGTGCTTGCCACACTCCATGGTAGAGTTTTGTGTTTGGAATATATGACATGGGTTTTGGAGCCAATCCCAGAGTGAGCATTTAATGTCGCTGAGCTCAGTTTCCTCATCTGGAAAAGTGAGTTAAGAGGCCTGGCAGCGAATTGCTGTGAGGATTCAGTGAAATCCCTCAGGAAAACCCCAGCTCAGGGCCTGGCATGGAGGTACCACCACATACCAACCACATGCCCTGGAGCATGCACATCCTCTCCCTCAGCCTCCATTTCCCCATCTGAAAAGGAGATTCTGAAAGCCCCATAATCGAGGGGCGAATTAAAGCATATGGCGCACAGCGGGTGCCAGGCAGGTACCTGCTAGACAGCCGCTGACAGGCATGGAGGGCTGCTCTGTGTCAGGCCCTGCCCACGCTGTGACACGCTGGCCTAATGCCATCCTCTCAATGCTAAGGGTGCTTTTCGCGATCATCTGATTGTGCCGATGAGGCCACGCAGCTGTCGAATGGCAGAGCTGTGTCTAGGAGTTGGCATCCAGAGTTGCCATGGCAACCCCCAGCCCCAGCCCCATGTCCAGAGCATCCTTTAGGACAGGGGTGTCGAACTCAATCAGAGAAGGGGCCAAAATCTAAAATCCAGCCTAAATCGTGGGCCGAATGGTTTACTGAACAGTCATAAATTGTCATTGTGATGGAAACGCAGCGGAGTGCAGTGATGACAGCACGGTGTGGGCCACATTGCAAGGCCTGGCGGGACGGATTTGGCCCGAGGGCCTTCTGTTTGACACATGTGCTTTAGGAGGAGACCAGGCCTCTGTTTGGACCCCCTTGGATGCCTGGTGGACAGCAGGTGTACACTGAGGTTTGCTAAATGGAATCGAGGCAATGGCACCCCCTGCATCTCCCCAAGACCCCTGAGCCCTGAATCCCTCCGGGGCAAGCACCTGGGCGGGTGGTGGTGGCTTCCCTCCCTTTTCCAGCCCGGTCTCTCCTACAGCCTACCAACAGGCCCGTCCTCCCTGCCCTCTGCCCCTCCCCTCCGGCAGGACCTTAGCAACCCAGCCCTCATTGGCTGCACGTATCCTTGGAGACAAGACACCAACAGTGCAAACACAGGCCAGAGAACTGCGGGCAGAATGTTTCCGACCTCGCTGCCACCCCCCTCCCTGGCATGAAGGACCTGCTCACCGCCCAGGGCCAAGCCTGCTGGAAGGAGCGCATCAGGAAGGAGACTGTCGCCCGCGCCACCTGGACCGTCACCCATGGCCACAAGTACGCCAAGGAGAGGTCCCGGCCCGGGAAGCGGCCCCAGCAGGCCGTCTTCCACCCAGCCCTGGGAGGGGGGTCCCTGCCTGCCCCCGGCTCCCCTGACGGAAGGACCGGAAGGACCGGAAGGACCGGACTGCCAGAGACGGAGAGGGTCGGAGCCCAGCCGCCCGGGGGAATGGGAGACCAGGAGGCCCAAAGAGCAGCGCGGGCGCCCGCAGGCCAGACCAAACCGGAGACCTTAGAAATGAGGCCGGTGCCTCTGCACACCCTGCAGCTGCTCTTCCACGGTGTCTCCCACGACGGCCAGGGCCGGGCCTCGTACCTCCGGGAGCGGAGCCGGCAGAAGCCCGCAGACAAGTTTCAGTACCCCATCTTGTCCTCCTGGGAGTACGGCTGGCACCTGGGTAAGGAAAGGCCTCTGCAGGCAGCCTGCCCTCCCCCTGCCTCTCCCCAGCCTCGGGCTTCATCACCCCTCGCTCACCAGCTCACCCTCCTGGCTCCCTCTCTCTGGGCGGCAGGCACCCTCTCTCACCCAGGCCTTTGGTGTGTCTGCCTGAAATGTTCCTCCTGCCCCTCCCTCTGCCGGCTAACTTCCGTATGTCACCACCTCTGGGAAGCCTTCTGAGAGTCCTCCAGGCAGCCTTTTGAGTCTGCAAACGCCCCAGGCCCGCTGTGTCACCATTGCTTGAATAGGCATCTGGTCTGGTGAGGACTTCGTAGGGAACTGTGTTAATGCCCTCCCAGTTCCCAGTTCCCAGCTTGGGGCTGGTACTCAGTGACATTGGAACGCATGATCAAATGAATAAATATATAGCCTAGGGAAGGAGGGCTCCGTTGGAATCAGGAAGTGTGAGTACAAGTCTTGGCTATAATACCGCTTCCAAGTTGTGTGAGCTCCAGCAAGAATCTGGACTTTCTCAGGCCTCAGTTTCCACATCTGAAAAATGGGAATAACACAGCATTTGCCTTCCTGCGTCACAGAGTTTTGGGGAAATCAGGTGGGAAACACAGTGAACAGGAATTATCTTCACAAAAGCCCCAGGAGGTGGGTAGGACAGACATTCATTCATTGAACACGTGATCTCGTTCGGAATCCCAGCCCTGCCCCAAGTGCTCAGAAGAGTGGCATAGTTTGAAATTAGGATGTCTGGGTTTGAATTCTGGTTCGTTCATTCATTCATTCCTTCATTCATTCCTGAGCACCTGCTATGTGCCAGGACTTTTTGTCCCTTGACCACTGCAGACAACAAGACAGGGTCCCGGCAACAGATGTGTCCCTACTACAGAGCAGAGCTTTTTAATCTTGTTAAAACACAGGTTCTTATCTGGCAGGCAAGGACTGGATGGATGAGATTCTGCATTTCTGAATAGCTCCCCAGTGGCGCTGATGCTGCAGGTCCGTGGACCATGCATGAGAGTCAGGCTCTAAAAAGAGAGAAACCAGGAGAAGGAGCTGGAGGCGGAGGAGCTATGGTAGACAGGGAGGTCAGGAAGGCCCGCCGGGGAGGGGGCATTTGAGCAGCATCCTGAGTCCTATCTCCCATCCGGTTCTTCTGAACACAGCCCCCACAGAGCGAGTCTCCCTTTAGGGCCCTACGGGTCCTCCCTGTTCCCCCTCCTGCCTGGCCCACCATCCTTGCCCCCTGCCCCTTAGGCCGCTGCCAGGCCTGCGGCCACCAGATGGAGCAAATGTAAACACAGGCTGCCCAGTCAGTCAGAGTTGCAGGAGAACAATTTCTTAGCACAGGTATGTTCCGAATACTGCATGGGCTACTCTGACCCTGAAGATCACTTCTTCTTCATCTGAAACGCAAACGCACCTGGGCTTCCCGTGACCCCGACATGGGAGCCGGGAAGCTGATTCTGACTCTGGAACCGCCTGGGTGCCAGGGCCATGCTGGGCTCAGGGCAGACAGGAGCCTTGCCTCCACAGGGGTTGGGCTTAAGCTCACAGTTGCTCAGAAACCTCGGGTAAGCTCTGGCCTCGTGGCCCTAACAGTGAGTAACCCAGCCGGTGCAGGGGCCAGATGGAGAAGAGATGACAGACCCTCTGCCGACCCCTTCACCAGCCTCCCCACACAGTGACAGTCAGAGCTGTGTCACCAGGGAGAGCAAAGAGCCTGGGAAACGGGGGTTAAAGGCATTGAACCCAGGGCCAAGGGGGTCAGCCCCAGTGCTCTGTACACAGAGAAAGCAGCAGTCTAGTGCCTGGCACAAGGTAAGTGCTCAACAAATTAATGTAGTTGTAAAATATAATTCGTTTTTAATATTGTTTTTAGAGAGAGAGGAAGGTAGAGGGATAGAGAGAGAGAAACACTGATGAGATGTTATCATTATGATATTATTATTATTATTATTATTATTATTTAAACAGGCAGGTTTTGCAGCCTATGGGCATTGGGGGCGGTGGTCCAGCCTTGGGCAGATCCTGGAGGTGCTCACCAGGGAGCACTGGCCAGTGGGGTGCCTCTAGACTGGGGAGCAATGTGATGAGGGGTGAGTGAGTGTGGGGTAGGGATGGGGATAAAGTAGGTAAGTAACAATTGGGATGGCCTGTCGAAACCGGCTTGGCTCAGTGGTAGAGCGTCGGCCTGCGGACTGAAAGGTCCCGGGTTCGATTCCGGTCAAGGGCATGTACCTTGGTTGTGGGCACATCCCCGGTAGGGAGTGTGCAAGAGGCAGCTGATGGATGTTTCTCTCTCATCAATGTTTCTAGCTCTCTATCCCTCTCTCTTCCTCTCTGTAAAAAAAAAAAAAAATCAATAAAATATATTTAAAAAAAACAAAACAAAACAAAAAAACATTGGGATGGCCTGCAAGCCGTCCATCAGGCAGTCCTGGCACTTGAGCCAAAGCAGGGTCTGCAGGTGGCCATGCTGGGCCAGGCGTGCCCGTTGCTCCTAGGGAGGAGCGGGGTCCTGGGAGAGGCAGCGGCGGCTGCGAGCTGCGCGGAGGCCTGACCTCAGCCCAGGGCAGGGGCAGCAGAGGGTGCCTGCCGGCCCGGGGGCCTCTGGGCTGGGCGAGGGCCGGCCGGAGGCGTGTGCCCAGCTCAGCCGGGCCTCTCTGTGTTCCAGGGGATGTTGTGAAGAACTCCAGGACTTCGATATATGCCAAGTGCCAGTCCATCGCAACCACCTTTCAGAGCAAAAACGGCGTCTTCTATTTCCCCCAGCGAACAGACCAGCTGATGTGAACTCCGCGGGGTTCTGAAGTGGCTCCTTTCTGTGCCCTCGTCCAGCTGGACCCCGCGGCGGGGAGATGCTGCGCCCCCTGCCGAGCACGATGGCTAGTGCTGCCCCAGGACTCACATCCGCCCCGGGACTCACTGCAGCTCCTCACGGAGCCCCCACCGCCACCCCCAGCCTGGGCCGCCACAGGGTCAACCCCGAGACCCGAGTGAGTGGCCCGACCCAGCCAGACCCCCCCCCCTCGGTGCACAGGACGGCGCTCCCACCGCCGGAGCCACACCGGCCAGGGCTGTGTGGGCATCCGGTCTGAACTGCAAAACCGCTCAGCGCCGCCGAGGTAGTGCGAAAAGCAGTGCGGACAGACCTTAACTAAGTTCCGATAAAACTTTATTTAAAAAAAACTGGTGGTGGGCTAGCTTTGGCCATAGTAGTAGTTGGCTGAACCCGAGTTTAAATGAACTATATTATTAAAATTAATTTTACTTTTTTGTGTGTGTGTTGTTTCTTTATTTTAAAGGAACTACTAGAAAACTATAAATTGGCTCATGCGGGATCCCTATTGGATCTAAGCACTTTGCAAACCCTGAGGGATATTTTGTTTGCCCGGGGAGAAGTATGTGTGTGTGTGTGTGTGTGTGTGTGTGTGTGTGTGTGTGTGTGTGTGTGAGTGACTGTGTGCATGTGTGTGCGTGTGTGCGCGCGCATGTGTGTGTGTGTGTGCGCGCGCGCGCATAGGGGTGATGTGTGAACTCCAGTGATAACCTAACCAGAGCCTGTGGCTCCTTTGCTTGGTTTTCTGAGAGGGAAGCCCAAGGGCAGACTGGCTGGCAGCTGCTTTCAGGGGGTGTTTGAACCTGAACCCGCTCTAGGCTCATCCTTTCACTAAAGGGCAGTTACCCAAAATGCCACCAGGTGGTGCTGTCCGCCTGCCGGGCATGGTGGTTGGACCGGGGAACCGGCATTCTCCGCTGGGCTCTGTCTCCTCTCTGCCGGGTAGCCTTGGACTTCCATGTCCTCGGCTGTGACATGGGGTGATACTGGACCGTGAAAAGATGTGCTTTGGAGGCAGGCTGACCTGATCTAACTCCTGCCTGCACTAGGGTCTCAGGCACCTTTGACTTCATGAATCCCTTCTTATATTACAAAAGGTAATCAGAGCTATATTTCACATGGAGCTGGTGCGGCTTAGTGGTGGAGTGTTGATCCGTGAACCAAGAGGTCCCCGAGTGCCTGGGTTTCGGGCGTGATCCCCATTAGGGAAGATGCAGGAGTCAGCCGATAGGTGTTTCTCTCTCTCTATCCCTCTACCTTCCTCTCTCTCTAAAAACAATATTAAAAATGAATCCTATTTTACAATTACATTAATTAAAAGAAAATATATTAATACTACACATTAACATTTTTCTTCAACCTAAAGTTTTATTTTTTTTCCTTCTTATTCTCAAAGAAATCAAACCTCTTCCTTGGCCCTAAAAGTCTCACGGGCCCTGGACCCTCCGCCTATGATGCCTCACAGAGGAGTCGCCTGGGCTCCCCTCACCGGCTATGTGACCGTGGGCAAGTTGTTTACCTTCTCTGGGCCTCAGTTTCCCCATCCATAAAATGGAGACAACTAACTCTATCTTTTCAGTGCTGTGGTTGGAATTTAGTGAGAGTGTATACCGCTGTGCCTTCTTAGAACACAGCCTGGCACAGAGCAAGCCTTGGCAAATGGCAGTTGTTACTATTATCATTATTACCATCTTCAAAGATATTTTCAGCTCCAGCTTCTATGAAACTATTAAAAATTCTCAAGCATGCCGAAATCAGTTTGGCTCAAAGGTTCAATTCTGGTGGGAGATGTGCAGAAGGCAGCTGGTCGATATTTCTCTCTTATCGATGTTTCTGGCTCTCTATCCCTCTCCCTTCCTTTCTGTAAAAAATCAATAAAATATATATATTTTTAAAAATCTCAAGCAGAAATCTCAAAATAACTAAGTCAGGAAAATGAAATGAAACACCCAGGGTATTTGATAAGAGAAATACGAGTTTCCTGAAGCAGAGAGGGTCAGGAGGAGTGTTTACAAATGACCAATACATTTCCTCCTGCCATCAGGGAACTCACAGAGGTAGGAACCTGGGCTAGCTCCAATCAGCCCGAACCTGGGTCCCCTGGGGGATACGTGCCAGCTGGGCCGACCCTGGGAAAGGTGTGTGTGTGTGTGTGTGTGTGTGTGTGTGTGTACACACGTCCTTGTTTCCTTGAAATTCCCTTAGTGTCCCTTTATTTCAGTAGCTTCTCCAATTTCTAAGGTTTGGAGCTGCTGGGGCCCAGGGCCTGAGGCCCAGAGTGACCCCCTCTCCTTCAAGATGTGACTGCGGCCAAGACTCTGACCTCCGCCTTCAGGGCCTCCCGGTGGCAGCTCTGAGGGGGACACGCGGCAGCGGTGCAGGTGTGACCCCCTGCCCCGCGCTGCCCTCCCACACGCCCACCTGGCTGGGGAGAGGGATGCGGGTGGCACTTCCTCTCCTGGTGTGGAGCTGCCTTCGCTTCCCGCTCCAACCCAAGGGACAGGAGCTGCTCCTTCACCCTCACCCCCATCCCCACAGGGACGGTGAAGGGCGCGGGCGGGGGAGGCAGGAAAGGGGTGCTGGTGAGGAAGAGAAAATAACAAGGACTGGAAGTAGGGGCGTCTCCATTTCTCGGGGCTCACTTGCCCAAATGCTTGCTGAGCTGAGTGATGAAGTGTGTGGGGAAAACTCATTCCCAATCACTAAACGAGATCCACATGCCTCCAAACTCAAAGCGGCCCAGCCTTCCACGGAGCAAGTCCTGCTCATGCAAAGCAGCCTCCACCTGCGGAGGGCTGACTCGATGTCAGGCTCCTGGCGTTCTACCTGCGTTATCTTATCTAAACGTCACTTGTGAGGCTGGTGCTCGGGGGCCCCACTGGGGCCAAGGACACGGAAGGTAAGTGGCCTGCTCCATGTCCCGCGGCCCGGATGGCTCCAAAGTGAGCTGGCCTCCACCTGCTGGGCCTCTTCTTGCCCTCAGAGTGCGTTTCAAATCTGGTCCTCGGTGAACAACTCAGGAAAGAAAGCCTGGCCTGCGGCCACGGGGGCTTGTTAAGGCTCCCGGGCAGGTGCAGACCCTCCTGGGCAGGTGCAGGCCTCCTGAGACGGACTCGGGGCGGGGCTGGGGGTTCCCGTGGCAACAGGCGCGTAGTTTCAAACCCTCCGAACCAAGCTGACGCCGAGAGAGGGTCTAGGGCCAGGCGGGCCCCCCAAAGGGCCATGGGACCGTCCAGGCAGGTGACCCAGGGCAACAGGCGGGTGAGGGGAGAGGCTGCAGCTGCTTCAGGCTGTGGCCAGTGAGAAACGCCACTCTGTGCCCCCCTCCCCCACCCCCGTGCCCAGCAGTTTGCCCGGACTGAGAGATGGCAGATGCTGTGGCTCCTGTAACCTGCTGTGTGCAGGGACACAGGGACAGAGGGATGGCTAGTCACCGAGGAGGCCGCAGGGTGGTGGGGCCAGGTCAGGGCCTCGGGCACCCTCTCTTAGGGTCTGGTCCGCTTTCCCTGCTCCCCTTCCCCCATCACCACCATCACACCCACCAGCACAGGACTCCCGTCCCAGCCCGGCTGTGACGCCAGCCCATGGGCACAAGGACGCTCTTGAGCTCGTTTGTGAAGTGCCGGCCTGACCGTTTGGACCTCGGAAACTGCACGTGTTCTGGGGCGGCCCCGCTCAGAAGAGGGGGCGACAGAAGCCTGGCAGCCTCACCACCCCCCTGCCTGCGCCCGCGCGGCCTCTGAGGTTAGTCGCACGTTTGGAGAAACGGTTTTCCCCATGTAAGCAGAGCCTTTTGATTTCATTCCCTCGGATGTTACCTAATTTCAAAAACCAAGCTTGTGGTCCGTTTTCTTATACGAAAAGCCGCATCGTCCCTAATACGTTCGGGGAAATAAGCAGAGTGGGACCACGCCAATAGTGTGCATTCTCTGTATTTTCAAGCTTACACAGGTGCTCATTGTGTACAGGCTGGCAGAATGCATAGCTGGGAAGAGGGGTTGCTTCGGAGACAGGAGGGAGGGGGGGGTGGAGGGATGGGGGCGGCATCCTTTGTGCCTGTGTTTCCTCTGGTGCTGCCCGTGCAGGCAGCCATGTCCTGTGCTGCCTGAACCAGGAAGTGATGTGAGGAAAACAGCAAAGCCAGCAAGGGCGGCCGCCGGTCAGGGCGCAGGTGGCCTGGGCCCTGCCGCTGGGGCCCCTGCAGCTCTTTGGCTAGAGAAACGGGATGAAATCCTCGCGTCTCTGCGGGTCACCTGGGCCTCTGATCCACTGGTCCCCCACGGAGCGCCAGCAGTGGCCTGGGTGCCAATGCAATGCGGTGAATGTGACCGGGGGATGCAGCCGACATGGGGCCGGGACACTGGGATGGGATGGGACAGGGCACGCGGGCACAGGGAGGAGGCGGCCAGGTGGGACGAAGGGGAGAGTCTGACATGACGCCCCTGATATAGAGACCTTCGCGGTGTCCAGACCCTCTGAGCTCTCTCCAAATTGGGGGGGGAGAGGGAGGAGAACAAGGGTGGCCTGTGGTCAGAATGACATTTCGAAGGAGGACACTGGCGGTCCCGGGGCTGGCTGAGTTGGAGGATGATTCAGAGGCAGGAAGGTCAGGAGGGAGAAGCCTTCATCCTTCATCCCGGTGAGATGTGATGGTGGCCGACCTCAGACAAGGGGCCAGATCCCCCAAACAGTGAACTGCCCGAATCCTGGGGTGCCGTGGGGGCCTAGGCATTTCTGGTCATTTCTGGTGGCACAGGCTCCCTCGTGAGGCTAGAAGCAGATCATCTTCCTCCTGCGGCCGCTTCTCCGGGGCCAGGCTGGGCAGCGGCCGAGCTGGCGACAGGACTCTGGTTCAGGGTGTGAAAACCCTTCTTTTGGCTGCACAAGCCCCGCTTCCTCCTGGGCAGTTCAGGGGAGGCACCAGCCATGGGGCTAATGGAAGCGTCTCCTCTCAGTTCGGGTCAAGTTGGATTAAATCCAAGTTGGACAATGAGGGCAGCGGGGCCAGTCTTGTTTCCTGGCCGCAGGGAGCAGTTTGCGCTGTGAGAGCTGTTTGTTTAGAGGCAGGAAGCGGTTAATAAAGCGGTGCCCTGGCATTAGAAGCGGCGGGCCCTGGTTCTCCTCCGGTAAGAGAAAGATCTTTTCCTGCTGGTGGAGTCCTTTGAATATTGTAGTTTGAATTCAACTGGAAAGTGGTCACTGACCTCCAGGGCCTGTGGGGAGGAAGGGGAGATGCACTTGAGAATGAGGAGGCACTCTGACGTTCGTGATGAGCAAATTCAGGCTTTGGAGAGAAGGTGGAATGCCCACCGTCACCCCACAGAGCACACCCTGCTGAGCATCACACCAGGCTGCTCAGTCAACTTCAGAGGTCAAACCAAGGTCCACGTGTGACATCTGAAGTTGGCTGAGCAGCCTGGACCTGGCATGCGGTTCTCTAAGTCCACCCCTGGACCAGCTCCGTTAGAAGCCTGGGCAGGCGCTCAAATCACAGAGCCACAGGCATTGAGACTCAAGGTCCCATGGCCCAATGCTAGGTCTCTAGTAGTGGCCTCAGTGATGACACCAACCCGTCTGCCCAGGACAGTCAGTGGCTTAGAAAGACAAGGGGGCAGCCCTACCTCCTCTTCAGTTAACCTATATGCTTTCTGGAAGTCAAAGACGCTGTTGGACTTGGGTACCACGGAGTTGACCATCTCTCGTCCTCTCAGCACAATCCTACGGAAGAGGAGGGAAGACAGTCTTGTTAGTAATCCACCGCTGACATCTGAGGTCAAAGCAGGTCCATGTTTGACATCTGACATTGACTGAGCAGCCTGGACCTGCCATGTGGTGCTCAGAGTCCACCCTGGGCTTAGCCTGTGACCTCAGGATAGTGCCAGAGACTGGGAAAGAGGATGAGCTCCTCCGGGGCCCTGTGGGCACCAGGACAGTGTCTCCCTGTGTGGACAGGTAGCCCTGGAGGTAGCATACATGGACACTACACAGCAGTACCGTGCATTCTAAGATTATAATTTCCTTTGCCATTATTTCTCACTTTCCCTGATTTGATGATGGGGAAAAGGGCTGGCTTGCCTTCAATACTCCCTACGCTTCCATGTTGACCAAGAGAGAGCAGGCTGTACTCAATAAAGAGGCAGGAGAATTAAGGCAGAATTTGCATGGTTCGGTTTTCACTGGAATTATTTGTACACTTATTTTCGACTTATGGCAAATGATGCTGGCTTCTTACCTTGGTATTCTGACATTTCCTTTAAAATTATTATTTTTTCAGTAAGATACTAATGTATTTAAAGACAAATATGGAGAAAACCAATGGGTACATGGTAGTTAACTAAGTTTTGGAAACATGGATGCTAATGGGTACCAAGTGGGGGGATACAGTTGGGGTCTGCGTGGCCCCGACAGACCGACGAAGACTGACAAGAGGAGTCCAGCTGCGGGCTCACAACCATCCACCGAGCGCTCCCTGACTCCGAGGGGCTGACTGTGCTGGCGAACACCGTAACCTGGTTAACTCTGAACTCCACCCACAAGTAAAGGCTTCACGGGCAGCTGGAGATTCCCTACAGCACATGTGTCAAACACAAGGCCCGCGGGCCAAATCTGTCCCGCCAGGCCTTGCAATGTGGCCTGCACCGCGCTGTCATCACTGCACTCCGCTGCGTTTCCATCACAATGACAGTTTATGACTGTTCAGTAAACCATTCGGCCCGCGATTTAGGCTGGATTTTAGATTTTGGCCCCTTCTCTGATTGAGTTCGACACCCCTACACAGCCACCTTCCCAACCCGGAGGGTCAGAAAGGACACAGGGAAGGCTCCCCTTTTCTGACTTCTACGCATAGGTTCGTACACAGGTGGGCAGCCAGGTCCTGCTAAGCTCTTCCAAGGCAGGCCCTGCGCCTGGGAGGTGTCCAAAGAACACAGAACAAAGACTGGCATTGAGTCCAAAACAAAAACATTTATATGCCTTTTTAGAAACCACAAAAGATCCATGCTGTTAAGGAAAACATAGATTTGACGTGGAGTGGCGAACATACAATACAGTATACAGGTGGTATGCACCTGAAACCTCCATACTTTTATTAGCCAGCGTCACCCCAATAAATTTAATAAAAAGGAAAGTATCACACGTCATCTGCCATCCTTTGGCATTCATGTGTGTAACACTGGAGTCCCAGGGAACACCCGTGTTTAACCTGTTCCCACCGCCCTAATCTGCTGTGACCTTGTCTGTTCTTCTGCTTCAACATTTCCCATCACCTCCCTCACATTTGCTGGGAGAAGATTGGGGTCACAGAAGGGACTTGATGTGCCCAACTGGCATGTCCCCTGCTGGCAGCCCCTCAAAACGGAGGGAGGTGCAGGGAGCTCAGTCTCCCGGGGCCTCCACCTTGCCTCTGCTCCCCCCCTTAGAGGGCTGCTTCCGCCTTCCAGGGCGGGGGTGACAACTTCTGCGCTGGACACACCAGCCCTGAGAGCTCCCAGAGGAACCAAGGAGGTCATGGGGTGGAAACGAAAGCCAGACCTCAAAACGGGAGAAGTGAGAACAATCTCGGACTCGCAGGTGGCCATCGCATGCTTTCTCCGTGGCAGGATAGGCCCTGGGAACGGAAGCCAGCGTGGGGCCCGGGCTCCGAGGGGATTCCCTGCCTGCGGTCTCTGCTATGGGAGGTGGGCCATGAGCATTCACAGGCTCCAGGCACTCTCACTGCCTCCCTCCGCCGTAAGGAGCAAAGGTGAAGGCTGACGGAACAGCCCCAAGGAGATTTTACACATACAAGGGCATGCAGTTATTTCAATGCATGCGTTTTCATTTAAGGATGTGCGGCAGGAGCTTTAGAAGTGAAAACACTTCCTTGCTCTAACTGCTCTCATGTCATGAGTTTCGCCTTAAGGAAATCATAACTATATGCATAAAGTACATAAAGAATCAGAAATGTTTAAATAACTGACCCTGAATAATATGATAACCCATAATCCTAATGCCTAATGACAAGGGACTGGATGAGAAAACTGGGACATGTCTTTGTGATGGAATAATTAACAGCAACGAATGCACTGGGCGCTTATATGGCAGGCTTTGTGTTATAAGATTTGTATGTGCTGCTTCCCTTAATTATCACCCTGTGTCCACGAATGAGGTACTCCTCTAATCTCCATGTACAGGTGAGAAAACAGAGGCACAAGTCTCTTAGTCACGAACTTAAGTGGTAGAGTGAGGGTTGGAACCCAGCCGTTTGACACGGAAGCCCACGCCTGCCACTGCCGAACTACGGTGCCCAGCCATGCCGTTTGTGGGCCTCTCTCTAGGTGGAGAGGCCTGAAATGGGCTGCTGCTCTCCAAGCCAAATGCCTCGTCTGACCAGAGGGGGGCGCCTCTCCTAACGCATAGGAAGCACCGGCCTGGCTAGCAGTTGGTTCGGCAGCTGGCTCCCACCTGTCATATGCACAGTCGGTGCTGCTCCTGACAGTAGTGTCCTCTTCATCCCCGATCAGCCACACGAACTGGCTGTCGGTCCTCAGGCGGATGCTGCTCCAGGCCTTCTTGGGGACGTAGTTGCAGCCGGCATTGAAGTCCCCCATGAAGATGAAGTTCTGAAAGACATGATATGGGGCATCAGTCACCGGATGGGCTTTATTGCCAAACTCCATCACTCATGCTCAGGAAATGACGGCATAAACTGTGTCTCTCCCAAATTTGAGTTTTGAAGTCCTGAGCCCAGGATCTTAGCAGGTGACCTATTTGGAGAGAGGACCTTTAAAGAGGCAATTAAGTAAAAAATGAGATTATATGGGTGGGCCCTAATCCAGTAGGACCCGAGTCCGCACAGAAAGAGAAGATTAGAAAGGAAGAGGCCGAGGGAGGAGCCAACCTGCTGCCACCTTGATCTTGATCCTCTAGCCTCCCTGACATGTTTGTGCCGTTTGAGCCACCCAGTCTTTGGTGCTCGGCTATGGCAGCCCTGGCAAACGCACACAGGGTCTTCCTGAATTCTTGTTGCTTTTTACAAGAAGAGGCCACAGTTTGAAACCGAGTCACAGAGGGACCGTACGCCCAGAGGGAGGAGAGAGCAAGCTACTTCCAGAGTCAGAGGGGAAAAGTGTGAAAAGGGCACCCACCCCCCCCCCACACACACACACACAGGAGCCCCAGGACGTCCATCGTTAGAATCCAGACACCATAGTGGGAGGTCAACCTTCACGGAGAGACCCACAGGGAGAGGGATGAGGTCTCCAGGGAGCACCCAGTCTGCTAACCATGCAAGTGAGCCAGCGTGGAGGGACTCGTCCAGCCCTGAGCCAGCCTTCGAGACTGAAATCCCAGCTGATGTCTGACAGGGCCGCCCCAGACAAGGCAGGAGCCAGAACCACTGAGCCAGGCTGCGGCTGGGTCCCTGATCCCCATGAGATCATAAATAATGGATTGCCATTAATATATATCTATAGATGAAGTTGAGTCACAGTTTTGATGAGTGTGTGACAGGCAGGTGTGTACAAGGGAGGGTGTTCTTTACAGGGAGGGGGTGTTTGCTGCAGCTGCTCCCTCCTGCTCTGAGTCACCCTGTCTGTATAATCCATGCAGGGCGAGGGGGGGCGGGCGGTGAGAGAAGGCTGCTAATTGATTCCCTCGCATCTTTTCTCTCGGGCTCCAACATATGAATGAAGCAACGCCTTTTGTTCCCCAGCAGGAAAGATGAAGGTGGGTGGTGTATCTGACAGCCTGGGCACAGCCCTCTCCCTGCTGTTGTCCTGGAGTTGGGAATTGATTCCCATGGAGATCTTCCCATGGGGGAAGTGAGAAGAGCCTCAGGTCGCCAACAGGAACACGCTATCTGGGGTGTGCTTTTCCGTGGAGGGCTCTTGGGACAGGATTCAACCTTCCCCAATCCTGAGGAAGTGCCAGATTTCCTTGTCTGTGCCATTGTTTGGGGCTGCTGCTGACTTCGGAGTTTTCTTCAAACACGTCTTATTTTGACCTCCGATCATGGTTTTCCCTGTGACTGAAGGGCACAGTTGAGGACAGGATGTCATCCTTAACCCTAGTGACTGCCAGCTTCTATTAATAAAGGCACGGTTCACGGAGCGTTCTCTGTGCGCCAAATCCAGCATTAAGTGTTTTGTGAAGTTTCGTTTCAACCTCACAAACACTCGGAGGTGGAAGGACCTTTAGCTCCTGCGGAATCAGGATAGAGGGCCTGCTCTACACCACTCCGCTGGGAGGTTCAAGGGATGAAACCAAGAACTGAACCCCAATCTGCCTCACGAATTTCTCCTCTTGTTCATTTCGGGGCCAGTACCCAACACTTCACAGATGCTCAATTCATTCTTGTTGAATGAGTGAGTCTTTCTCTTGACCTGCTCTTTACAAGGAAGCAATGGAAGACACCCCTGTGTTCTCCATGCCCAGCGCTGGGCCACACCTGACTCATTTGCACTTCTAGCAAATGAGGAGGAGGACGGGAGGAGGAGGACGAGAGGAGGAGGAGGATGGGAGCAATACAGTCACATCTGACAGGAGGAAAGGAGAATGGAGAAGAGCCCCCTCGAGCACTTTCATGGTTGCCAAGCTCTTCCCCAGACCTCACAGCCACAGGGGTGGCATCCCGGTTTCCCAGGTGAGGAAATCATTGAGGCCAACGGGATGGTAGGTGAATGGTCCTGCTGTGAGAATGGCAGCCCTCCTTCCCTCAGTCCATGAGGTCGGGGTGGAGCTGACACAGATTTGGCCGGTGAGAGCCTCTCAGCCCCCTGGTCACAGTGATGGGCTCAGGGGTGGACATGTGACCCAATCAGAGCCAATAAGACTCCCTCCCAGGTATTTGCTGCATTGTGGGAGAGGACATTTGTCATTTGGTCTAGAAGCTACTGGTGGCTGTTTTGCCGTCTCAGAGGGGAGCCAGCCTGAGCTGGAGGCCCCCCCAGAGGAAGGGGGGGCCAAGGTGGACAGAGACAAGCCAAGCCCTGGTTCCTCTGCCGGAGCCCTGGACCAGCTGTGCCTGAGCCACTCCTGGACATCTTAGTTACAAGAACCAAGAAGTGGCTTCTGCTAGTTTGAGATTCTGTCACTTGCACCTGGAAGACTTCGGACCTCTGTGGGTCACTGTTCTCACCTGCAAAGTGAGGATGGTAAAAATAGTGACCTCGTGGGGTCACTGGGAGGATGCTGTATACTCGTCCCTGTCCAGCCACAGCACTGGGCCAGCACCAGCTGGTCCCTCCCTGAGCATTCACAGCCTTTGTGAGGGGAGCGGGTGTCGGGGGAACAGGTGTGAGGGGAGCGGGTGTGGGGGGAACAGGTGTGAGGGGAGCGGGTGTGGGGGGAACAGGTGTGAGGGGAGCAGGTGTGAGGGGGAGCGGGTGTGGAGGGGAGCGGGTGTGAGGGAGCAGGTGTGAGCCCCAAGACCCACGCAGGCGGCACCCAGGCAGATGGAGCCAGAAGGACATCTAGGGCTGAGGAAGGGCCCACATGGGGGCTCCGAAGGGGTGGTCACCCTCCAGGGAGTCACTCATCCCTCTCCTGGACCAGACCCTGCCCCTGCCAGAGGGGAATGCAGCACACAGGAGGGTCTCACCTCCGTCTTCCACCGGCGTTTCACATCCCTGTAGACGTCGGCCAGCTCATCAATCTCTTTCACGGAGGCCTCGGGGGTGGTGTGCAGGGGGACGATCACGAAGTCCTTGACGGCTGGGGAGCAGGAAGGAGGCGGGGGTCAGCACTTCCCGGCCAGGTCCCAGGGCAGGGCAGAGGGAAGCGGCTGTCCCCCCCCCACCCCAGGAGGCACCACCCTGGGCCCCTCTTCCAGGGGGGCCAGCCTGAGGCTGAGAGGTGCTGGATCTTAGGGTCACAAGGCGGCTGCTTTCTGGACATGAGAGCCTCTTTCCTCCCACTCGCCCTGCGTGGCTAAGAAAAAGCTGGGAGACCGTGTTCCTTGCTGGCACGGTGGGTGTTTCCACTTTGCCATTTAAAAAAAAACAACACTGTATTTTCTGTTGTTAACAAATAATAAGGTTGGCTTTTGTACTAAGAAGTTTTTTTTCTAATGAAAAAACATCGAAGCACGTCAGTTTATACACCCTTTGCAATCAGGAAAAAAAAAAAAAAAAACCTCAAAAATGTTATTTAAAAAATGAAGTGGTTGTTTGGGAAGTGTCTAAAAACCGGCCCCCACCAGGAGGCACTGAGAGGCCCCAGCGAGGGCTGTGGGCGGCCTCGGAACCTGCCTGGCCCACTTGCTCACAGCGCTGCTGTGCTCTGGCTGCCTCCTCGCCTAGTCCTCCAGCTTCCCCTCATTCCTGCTTGGGAGCTGGGTGCTGTTGGGTGGTCACACGGTGGGGAGCCAGGACCTGGAGCCCCATCTCCCACTCTCCTCCTCACTCCTCCACTGCACCCCCATCCTCTTTGTGGCTCCCCTGTGTACCCCAAGCCCTTCCCCACCTCTGAACACGTGTGCTCACTCTGCCCTCCCTCTACCATCTGCCAGTCCCCTCTGACTGATTTCTGCAGGTCACAGCCTAATGTCACTTCCCGGGCCTTCCCTGGCCCCCACCCCATCGAAGGTGGGCCCTCACCCTGCTAGGCAATACGTCTCGCTCACTTCCCTCATGCTCTGAACTTCCTGGCTTTACTTCCATTCTGGCCACTGGAACCAGGGCTGTGAGGGCAGGCTTACCTGTCCCCTCACCCTCTTGGCTCCAGTATCTAGCACTGTGCCTGGCACGTTGGAGGTGCTCAAAATGTTTGTTGATGGACTGACTGGCTGGCTGACTGACTAACTGACTGACTGAATGAATGAATGAATGAATTAATTAATTAAAAGATGTATGAACAGCTAGCTCCTTCATGTTTAACCCCAGATAGAGAGGACATAAGGAGCTTTTCTCGAATAAGAGAGAAAACTAAATAGGACATGGCTGAGGTGCCATCCCAAGGAGGGAGAAAGGGGTAGAGAAGAGTGGAAGTTGGAAGCTCAGTAAGACAGGTTTGTTAGCAATTCACAAAGGACTCCTTGGGAGAAAATTCAATCAGCAAAGGGGTGTGGGGATGCTCTGAACACTGCTCATTCAGCTAAATGTGAATCGTGTGCGTGAGAAAGGATTATTGTACATGCTCTCTCAATAGCCCCCACTTCCTTCTCTCTCCTTCCTGGGAATTCCCTCCCCACTCTCCCATGACTGTCAGCACTCTGCCTCTGAGGCCATTGACCCAGGGCAGTACTAGTTCAGGGTGTTTACATTTGTAGCTATAGGTGTGCACACTTGCAGCTCTGCATGTGTTTGTTTGGTTATTACCTGTCTCCCCTACTAAAGTATAACTTCACGAGAGCAGAGACCTTGTCTGGCGCCTGGGACAGTGCCTGGCACATATAGGTATGGAACATATATTTGCTTCTCTGCAGCTCCAAATGGAAAACCAAATGTATTCTTGACTTCACTTGAGTGTCACAACAGTTAGGCCTGTTGCCCATTTGCTCTGGGAAGATCATGGGCAAGAGAGGTGTGTGGGTCTCACCGGTTAGGGGTGACTGGAACCAGACCACAAAAGGCTCCCTGGAAAATACATCTGTGTCTCCATCCTGAAGATCATGGTAGAGGTATCTTTCCTTCACGGTCACTAGCTTTTCCCTAGAAGAGAAAAGAGAAGTCCACCCAGCTGAGTCAGCTGTCTTCTTACTTCTCTCAAGAAGTAATTGTCTAGGTTCCCATGGCTTCACTAGCCTCCCAAGTGGGCTCCAGAGCTGAAAAGGATCTTTACCTTGAGAACAAGGCTCAGTCAACTCTTCTCAATGGCCAGGGTCCTTTGGGAGGCAAAGAGCTGAGCAATACTAAGTATCTGTGGCACCCACAGTTAATGTTCAGACTTAAAACAAATTATTAGCACAGTGTTTCCCGAACTTTTCTCATGATGAGAATCATCTGGTGGAGTTGTTAAAATACAGATTCCTGAATCCCAACTAAGAAGTGCTAAACTAGAATTTTTGGGAACATATAGGTAAAATTATATACTTATAATTATATACTTATAAAATTATATACTTAACTAGTGATCTAAGACTAGAAGTTGTGGGAACATATAGGTAAAATTGTATACTTACAATGTCTTAGAGCACTAGTAAGTATACAATTTTACCTATATGTTCCCAAAAATTCTAGTTTAGCACTTCTTAGTTGGGATTCAGCAATCCGTAGTTTAACAACTCCACCAGGTGATTCTCATCATGAGAGAAGTTTGGGAAACACTGTACTAATAGGAAGAAGGTGAGAATATGAAGTTCTGGAGTCAGCTGTGCTGGGCAACTCAGGTTTCCGTCCCTGGACCAGGACTTGATTACAAAGAAGAAAGAAATCTTGAACCCTTGACCAAGCAACCACTGAGTTAACCAACACATTAGGTGTTAGGAACCTGCTCGTGTTTTCTAGTTTGAAGAATTAATACTTTGCACCAGTCCCAGTTTCGACGGCAATTACTTTTAGTGATATTGAGAACTGGTTAGAGATCAAAATTTCATTTTGAAGAGAAGATATGCATTTTGATTAAATTCATAGCCGTCGTGTATACATGAACCATAGTTCCAGGAAGCATAGATGATACTTACTTGTAGATAAAGGCATACTGTTCTTTATATGTATTTCTTCCGAGCCGAGAGCTAATCACACAGTTGTATGTTGTGGCTCTTGAATTTCTAGAAAACAAAGATTTTACATTGAGTCTTAAAAAAAGAAAATCATTTCCTTATTGCAGAGATTCCCCTCTCTCCAACCTGCCTCCATATCTCCAAAGGAGTCTAATAAGAAGGGCCATCATTGGCTGGAAATGTAACATCTGCCAGGATCTTTATTTCTAGTCCTTATAGGTTGATACCACTGTTACCCCATTTTTATAGTTTGTAAGCACAAAGCTGGGATTTGAACCCAGGTCCTCCCGAATCTGTATGTTTTGGCCTGTACCTGTAAGAGACCACTGAGACCATAGGAGCTTCAGGCCCGAATCAGCCCAAACCCCACTCTGGGCCATGGCTGGGGCTGCAGCTCATCCTCCCCGTTAGAGCAACCTTTTCTGGTCACCTCTCCACACACCACTCCTGAGCATTTATTGTGTGCATGGTTCTTACTCACATTTTCTTTGGACACTCTTTCCTGCTCTGAAAACGCCCAGGCATTTTCTAACAAGCCCAGAACTATAATTTCAAACCAGCTGTTGTTTATGTTCTGGGAGCTGAGGATACAGCCATGAAGTCCCATTGACCCTAACCTTCACCTTCACAGAGAAACCCAGTTCTCAGTTTGTTTGCCAAACCTGCTGATCACTCCACCCTAGAGAGCCTGACCCGATGTTACTCCCTCTGGCTGCAGAGAAATCTAGGGCATGCCTAGCCCCAGGCATGGTCTCAGGTTCATTTGGAAAAAAGCAGAAGGGACCTCTGTAAGGTGACCAGATGTCCTGCTTTTGACGGGACAGTTCGATTTTTAACAATTTGTCCTGTGTCCCGCGGCGTTTTTTTTTTTTGGAAAGATTCTTTTAAATCTTTTGGACTTTTTTTTTAAATGCCACGGGACGGGGGACAAATTGTTAAAAATTGGAACTGTCCCGTCAAAAGCAGGACATCTGGTCACCTTAGGGGCCAAGTTAGACCCTACAGTAACCACTAGTAGCAATTTGAAGCATATCCTTCCAGTCTTTCTTCTATGCCCATGCAAATTCAAACATACTCTTATTTCTCTATAATGTGATATGATTAATAAACTGGGTTGCTCCACCTACAATTCTGAACTTGTTCTGTTCAGTTGCAGCCATCTTTCCATGCTGGCCTGTTTAGATCTAACCTGTTCTGCAATAAATATGCTGTGTAACATCCCATCTGTGGTCATTTCGTATTTCCTACTGACACCTGATCTTTCTTTAGAATAGCACTTCTCAGCTCAGCCTCTTGTCTGTTTCTTTCATTTCTCTCACTGTCCTGGCTCCTCATCTGTTTCCCTTATTTTGTTGTCTCCTATTCAAGCCAGCTGATTGAAGGTTCTTAGAACCGTGGCTAACAGAGATGGAAGCTCAGGCCACATTGGCCACATGTACTGGTTTGGTTGGTGGTCAGAGTGAGTGCTTGCTCTATTGCTAAGTCAGTTTCCTGGGGCTTTGCAGGTGCCCTGGCACTTGACCTTGAACCCATAGAGGGTCTGGGGTCCCATCTTTACCCATTCAGCCTCTCCATCAGTGTGGGGCAGATCTGGTTGGTGCTGTCCTTGATTTCCATCAGGAGTATGATGTCACAGCGTTTGATGACCTGCAGAGAGAGAATCCCCAAGGGGTTGAGGGCACTTACTACACATAATAAAAATCCTTTTGGGGGGCACTTACTATGTTTCAAGTAGCAAATTGGGTGCATTGTTAAATTAATTAAATTCTTGCCTAAAATAAATGAAGGGCTCCCAGAGGGAGGTGCTGTTACCGTGCCCATCATAAAGACAGGAGCCTGAGGCTCCGGAGAGGTGAGGAAAGCATCCAGAGTCACCCAGCCAGAGGCCAAGGCAGAATGTGAGCCTGGGCAATCCAAATCCACACCCAACTTCCCACCTCTCAGCTTTGCTTGAATAATGACTATAGTAATAATATTTATTAAGCCCTTAGTCAATGAAAAGTACCAGGCTAATACTGAGGTATAACCACCATGATGATAGCTATAAGACCTGACATTATTGTGAGCCTACGCTGAGCCTCACCAACTCGATGAATGACTTTCCCTCAGGGCCATGCAGAAGGGGACCAGCTCAGAGGCCTGAGTGGCGAGCTGAAAGGCACAGCCCGCAGAGGTGGTCAGCCAGGATTTGAACTTCGGTCGGTGTGACTAAAAGGCCACCATGCCAACCTGTTAAAACACAGCCCTGCCCTGGAAGATGGGTGGTCCAGTGAGGAGGACAAATGGAAACAACTAGCTCCCATGGGAGGGATATGACATTTGGACTAAACAAGTCCCAGCTGTAGGAATGTTGAGGAATAATTAATTCCTTCTGCCCAGACACCAAGGAGGAGAGGTCATTGGAAGGCCCTGAAAGGGGAGAAGGAGCTTAGAGGGTAAAGAATGCAGGAGAAGTTCCTTTCCCACACGATTTCTCCATTATATTATTTACAAAAGTGGCAGCAAAATGACTAGCCAATGGGTTCAAAGTATGGACTCTGAGTCAGATGGCCTTGGGTTCATGTCTCTTTTTTTAAGAATATATTTTTATTGATTTCAGAGAGGAAGAGAGAGGGAGAGAGACATGGAAACATCAATAAGAGAGACTCATTCACCAGTTGCCTCATGCATTCCCCACACTGGGGATCCAGCCTACAACCCGGGCATATGCTCAGACCAGAAATCAAACCGTGACCTCCTGGTTCATAAGTCAATGCTCGACCACTGAGCCACACTGGCTGTGTCTTAGATTCATGCCTTGACTCTGTCACCCATCAGCTGTGTAACCTTGAACAAGCCACCTAAGCTTCCTGAATGCCAGCCTTTTTACCTGGGATTCAGTGACTTAGTGGATATAAAATTCTGTCTAGTCCGCGGCACAGAACAGATGCTCAGCAAACAATGGCCATATTTATCATACAGTTTTCATCTTTTTTCCCCCCCAAACCTAATATTACATTGTGTTTCCCCCATAATCATTCAAATTCATTCATGACACATTTTTTTCTGCCCCAACTTCAGGTGAGAAAAATATATTTCCCCGGGCTCCATTTCCTTAAGAGGAGTACCTGAGGAGGAGGGTCCCTGGAAGGCCTTCCTGTCCCATACCCAGTGAGACTCTCCTGACTGTTCACAGAGGGCGGGGGGAGGGGCAGTGCATGGCTAGTGGTGAGGGAATCCCTGCAGGCGGTGTCATGAGTGAGCCTGGGAAGCGGGGAAGGGGCAGTCTGGAGAAAAACCTGGGGCAGACGGCAGACTCTGAAAGCCTCTTTCACGCCCCTAATCGGGGAGCAGCCAGCATAGTGGGGAAGAGCTCGGGAAGGGTCCGTCAGGCCTCAGTTCTGCTCCATGACCTTGGGCAACACGCTTCACCTCTCTGAACGCCAGTTGCTCATCTGTCAAAGGGGTTGTCAGGATGCACATGAAGGGCCCAGGACAGTCAGCACTCCTAAACTAAGTGATCGGGTGCTGTAAGCTCTGTGAAGTGCTCCCCCAACATCCACCATCTCACTCCCAGTGTCTCGGAGCGTCTGGCACATGGTCTGCCTTCAATGAGTATTTGTTGGATGGACAAGCTCGACCCTTGAAGGACACAAACGGACGACGCCACAGGCAGGGGGAGCCTTTCCTGGGCAGGATTTGGCACCTGGAGAATTGCCCGTGGTGCCGGCCAACAAACCCAGGAGGGAGAAGGCAGCCTCCCTCACCCCCAACCTTCCCAGCAAAGGCCGTAACAACTACAGCATGGTGGAGCTGGGCTCATCTCTGACGGGATGAATTCAGTGTGGAAACGGGGAAAAGGCATTTCCACATACGTGGTTGGATTTGGACCTGGTCCTTCTCCTTACTAGCTATGGAAGCCTGAATAAGTCACTTCACCATTTTGAGTCTCAATAATAAAGTGAGGACAACGCTGCCTACGTCACGGTATTAAATAAGACATAAAGTGCCTGGCCTATGCTCAGACAAGGGCCCCTGGACGTATTACTGTCCCAGGAGCCTGGGATGTGAGTCTCACGGTCAGTGCTGCAGGTGGCTCTGTTTTCCGGTGGCCTCTGTTTACGGGTGACTTTGCGATAATGGAGAAGGTCGGGGCCTTGACAAAGACCTCAGACATGCGTGGTGCCATGTCTGTCCTGCCCACCCGCCAGCCCTCTAGGTCACGGCGGCTTAAGGGAGATGCTGACGGTAGGGCCCCCTCCGTGGAATCACCAAAGAACAGCCTGTGGAGACATTTCCCGGGTGGAATAGTGAGGAGGGTGACAGGACTTCAGCAGGTATTCTGAATGGGCCCCTCCCCACGAGGAAGCAGGGAAATTGTTTCTTCACGTGCCAGAGTTTCCAGCTGAGCCGGGGAGTCAGGGTTCTCATAGGCTTGGCATGGCTGTCCTGGCTAAAAACCAACATCTGCAAGGCCTTGGGTACCATCCAAAGGGCAAGGAAGAGCAGGTCTGAAAGGAGGGTCTGAGCTAGGACAGAGTGTGCTCATCATTGCAATCCACTTTGCCTAATGACAGAGTGGCAGCTCCTGTTGGGGATCACCCGCCTTGTTGCCTCCCTCACCTTGACGTTGCTCAGCCTCACTGCCCTCCAGGTTGTGTAAGGCCCATGTTCCTGAAAGGCCATGGAGGCTCCGGGAGCGGAAGGGACTTCCCCAGCTCACTTAACCTGCTGCCAGGTGGGATCCGAACCCAAGCCCCTGGCTTTCCCACTATAGCACTGTGCCCCCGGAGGTTTCCAAAGTGCTAACACCCGGTCAGAGTTCTGGGAAAGTTTTCAGCAGCCATTCCCCCCTCACTTCCACTCTCTCTGAAAAGAATGAGAAAACATATCCTCAGCCCTAGCCAGATTGGCTCAATGGATAGAGCGTTGGCCTGTGGACTAAAGGGTCCCAGGTTTTATTCCTGGTCAGGGCACATCCCCGGGTTGCAAGCTCGATCAATGATTCTCATGTAGGAGGCAGCCAATCAATGATTCTCTCTCATTGTTGATGTTTCTATCTCTCTCTCCCTCCCTCATCCTTCCTCTCTGAAATCAATATATACATTCTCAGGTGAGGATTAACAAAATTTTTTTTTTTTAAATTAGCCTGTGGGGTAAAGAGAGTCAACGACTCCAGAGAAGTGTGGGCAGAGTTCCCAGGAATTGGTTATATTATCCAAGAAAAGTCTTATCTAAGTGGAGAAAAAGACTAGAATTGGGAGTGGGGGAAAGGATGATGGGGTGGGAGCAGGGAAAGAGGAGGAAAGGAAGAAGGGGAGGGGGGAGAAAAAAAGAAGAAAGAGGGGGAAAAAAAAGGAAAAAAAGGAAGGAGAGAAGGAGGAAAGGAGGAAAGGAAGGCAGAAAGCAAATAAAATTCTGTGCTGCAGGGATGGTTAAAAGACCGGCTGGCTGGGACCAGCTCCCCACCCGCCCACAGGCTGTACCATATCACTTCACCTTTCATTGTTCATCATCTCTACGGGGGGAAGGTACCCTCCTTTCTAAGGGTTATTAAGTGAAATCTTGTACTTAGAGAGCTGGCACACATTTGATAAATGGTGACAAGAATTATAGTAGTGCCCACCCTCACCTGAGCTTACTGGGAGCCAAGCATTGCTTTAGGAGCTCTATATTTATCAGCTAATGTGCTCTTCAAAACAGTCCCCCATGGCCCTGACCGGGTAGCTCAGTTGGTTAGAGCATCATCCTGATATGTCAAAGTTGTGGGTTTAATCCCAGGTCTGGGCACATTTAAAAATCAACCAATGAATGCATAAATGAGTGAAACAACAAATCAATGTTTCTCTCTCTCTCTCTCTCTCTCTCTCTCTCTCTCTCTCTCTCTCTCTCTCTCTCTCTCTCTCTCTCTCTCTCTCTCTCTTCCCCGTTAATAAATACTTAAAACAACAACACAGTCCTGTAGAGAGGTGATAATGACACAGAGAAGTGAAGTGACCATTAGAATTACTGCTGTTGTTACTGTTATAAAATTTCAAGCCAGCTGCTACCTTCGCCCAAGGAACTAACTAACTTCGAGTCTGAGTCTCTTCAAGTCTGAAAGCAGTGGACAGGGTCCAGAGATCCTTCCCACTGAAAGGGGCTCACCTTCACAATGATGTCCATGACCTTCTGGTTCTCCCTCTTGCTCTCCCCGAAGGACCTGATGTTGAAGGAGCAGATCCTGAGGGCGAGGGCGCCATTGGTGGCGAGGAGGAGGAGAAGCAGGGCAGCCGGCGGCCGAGGCATCCTGGCGCTGCTCCTGGGCTCGGGCTGGGTGGAGGACGGCAGTGTCCTGAGCGCAGCAGTGAGTGGAGTCCCAGCAAGTCTTCGTCTTCAGGCCACCTCCTCGCCCTCCGCAGACTTATAAAGCCCGCAGACAACAGGAATGACCGGATTCCTGGCTGCTGCTTTCACTTCTCTGAGGAACTGAAGATCATGGGTTTCATTCCCTCAGGAAATGAAGGAAATGGGCTAATCTTTTAGGATCCCCTGTTGCTGTCAGCCTGGCTAGGAAGTTGGCCTGCCTCATGTAGGCGCATCCCCTGCAAAGTCACTTGTATCTCTGGCAGGGACAGTCCTGCCATCCGGGAGCCAGCTGTGGCATCTGGTTCTCTCTTGTGTGGTGGCAGAAGGCCTTGAGCCTTTTCCTGAAAGCTAACAAACTTAGAAGTGGTGCACCCCAGAGGGCATCTGGGGTGATGGAGCTTTGTGGGGGAAGTGGGGGGGGGGGCAGGAGACAGTGAGGCAGGGGCAGGAGGACATTCTGCTGTTTTCCACCATCGCTGGGATTTGGCAGCCAGCTGTCCCTTGAAGACACACCCAGGCTCTGATTCTGTAACCACGCTGATGGGTGGAATCAAGGTCAAGGCGAGTTTGAATGAGATAATTTTTAAAGGCTGTTTTCCTGTGTACACTTGAACACACCACATGCTAGCAGTGTGCAGCCAGGGCGAGAAAACCCTGGCCGGCTAGCAGGGGTCAGGGAAATGTCCTTGCAGGACGAAGAGCCAGTTAAAGCCCCCAGAGGGATTCATGACTCAAACCGATGTTATCTTAAAACCTGTGAGAGTCATGTGGCCCCAAGAAAGACGGTTTTGCAAGAATTGGGGGACTTCCACTCCAGTAAAATTGATTCTTAGAGATTTTGGGCAGGAAGATCCGAAGATCTGCAACTCATAAGAAATATCAAGTTCAGTCAAGTTATAAACCCAGGTGAGATTTCCAGACTTTGGCAAAGAGATTCCTTCTGTGAAGAAGGCAGATGAGCATGACTTGACACCAGCATTGGGATCTCTGGACCACCCCCCTCTTGAAGTGATGGGCGTGTGGTCGTAGCCCAGGGGATGTGTGTATAATGCCAGCATACATCCAGTCAGCATCCTGGCCAAAATCTCTGGCCAGGGACACCCAGGCATTCTAAGGAGATAGCCCCAAATAGTACATGGAAGGATGTAAGGTTTTTCCTGAGCTGAATCCCCCATTATCTACGGTCCAGACCTGGGGTCTGGGTGAATCTCTGGTAAGTGAAGCTCTGGCCAATGGGGTGGTGATTGTCGGCCTTGGCAAATGGCATCTCCCAGCTGGAGGAATTAAGCGAGGCACATGTTTTTTATGTCTTTTGAGAAGGAATGTGTATATAGCTAGTATTTTATAAACTTGTAATATTTTGGCCTATTAAATTGATAATTTTTTAATGCCAACATAAAATGTGCAATTGCTGGAGAGGTGGGCATCAACTTAGATTTGTGACTTTAATTTGTTGCAGTTCTGGAACATTTATAAAAATTTTAGGTTGAGGCCTGGTAGCTCAGTTGGTTAGAGCATCGATCCAGTATACCAAGGTTTAGGGTTCAATCCATGGTCCAGGCTTATTCAGGCCTTAAACAATGACCACATATTTAACTGGAAAACAAATCTCTCCCTCTCCCTCTGTCTCCTCCCCCCCACACACACACACACTAAAATCAAGCAATAAATTTTTTTTTTTTAATGTTAGGTTAACAGTGTTTTATTTTTTTATTTTTTTAAAAAAATATATATTTTATTGATTTTGTACAGAGATGAAGGGAGAGAGATAGAGAGTTAGAAACATCGATGAGAGAGAGTCATCAATCACCTGCCTCTTGCACACCCCTTACTGGGGATGTGCCCGTAACCAAGGTACATGCTCTTGACTGGAATTGAACCCGGGTCCCTTCAGTCCCCAAGCTGACGCTCTATCCATTGAGCCAAACCGGTTTTGGCTTAACAGTGTTTTATAAGTTCAATTTGTTAGAACACTAAGTACATCTGACCTTTAGATAATTCTCATTTAAAATATGGCATCCCATATTTTACCTGGCAATCTTTGCTGGACTTATGAAAAGAATAAGAACTTTCATAAGGCGAACTTAAAAGCATGACATTTTCCAAGGCAATCACCACCTTGTCAAGGTCCTGGGAAAGGTTTTATTTTCATTCCCAGCGTGAAAAATCGGCTAACGTATAAGATGAACAAACGAATCTGTTTTTGCATTAGTAACTTCGATAATTTAAATATTAATCTGAAAAATAAAATAAACCTCTGAAGATTGGTTTCTGCATGTAGATATTGCCTTTGAGGACTTAAAAAAAAAGAAAGAAAAAGAAAAAGTCACATGAACAGAGTGAAGAGATTGGCCCCATTCTGTAATTAGCACACTCACTGCACAGAATCGGGCTTTGAAAAGTAGCTGGATTCCGGAAGAACCCTGTGCTTCAGAAATTCTTGTGCTTCATCTCACTCACTGCTCCCCGAAGCCCTTTCTGTGGCGCCTCCATTTCACAGATGAGCAAACCAAGGGTTGTGCCAAAGGATACACAGCTGGCATCTGGCAGAGCTGGAATTCAAACACAGTCGCTGACTCCAGACCAGCCTTCTTCCCGCCAAACTGGGCAGAGCCTTAGTAAGGAACTCAACGGCTAGAAGGACGATGCCCACTTTTTACTGGTGCGCTTTGGTATTCGATTCTTTTAAAAGCATGCACTTAATTTGTCATTAAAAAGGAAAAATGCCAAAAGCTTTTTATTTTTAAAGCAGATTTTAAACAGAGCCCATGCCAACATGTCTCTGGGCAGCTGAGCCGTGGACAGCTTTCGTCCGGTTCCAGGAGCCATGGGCAACGGAGGGCCGGTGACAAGGCTGAGCTGGCCGCCTTGGCAAAGCCGAAACCCTTCCTCACCCTCCGCTGGGCTGGTGTTGGAACTGAAGAGGGTGAGGCGGTCCCCTCGGGAGCCTGGAGCCTGGAGCCTGGAAGGAAGGGCAGCCCCGGGCCTGACCCACATTGAGCACAGAGGGGTCCTTCCTCCTGCCACTCACTGGCGATGGAGGGCATTTCCTGGGGCATGAACTTCAACACGAGTCTACAGGATGCTCCTGAAAAATGGACAAATACACAGCACTCCTCTCTGGAGATTGATAATTCACACGAGCATATTAAATGTTCTGAGAATTCCTGAACTTAAAAAAGCTGCTAAAATGTGTTGAAACAGGGTGTCCTGAATTTATGGTCAATGGGACTTTTTCTTCGTATAATTCTGTTTAATATCTTGAGCAACATCCACCTTGACAGATACAAGAACAGTCAGGCCTTCAAGGCCGTAAGCTCAAGTTCTTGTCACTAAGTCCCTACCCAGGAGTCCCATGCATGTTCCATGGGCAGAAAGGAGGACCAAGAGCTCAGACACACGGCCACCAACCTCCGTGGCAGCTGATGGGCAGGTGGGCCCTGGTGGGCAGGAGTCAGTGGGGGCCAATCCCCCGAGGTGCAGGACACCTCAGAGTCGGAGGAAGGCAAGACGGAGATTCCAGAGGGAGTGAAGGTGCCACGAGCTGAGTCACCCAAAGCAGCACAAAGGAACAAGGGGCTGGTGGGCAAGTCCCAATACCGACAGGCGATGAGTCCCGTGACGCAAACAGGTGTTCCCATGAGTGATGCTGCTCCTCGCCCACCAAGGAACGAGCCCAGCAATGCTCCTGCAATGTGTGCCGATCGCCCCAGTCATCTCGTTTCACAACCAGCTTGGGGTTTGGCGCAGGGGAGGCGTGTTACGTAAGGCTGCCTGATGGGGACAGACCTCACCTTCGTCGGATGGTTTCCGGCCGATGCAGCAGACCCCGGGTTCAGACCTCACGCAGCATCTTCCACACAGGCATTGCCTGGACCTCAAGCAGGTCACTTTCTGAAGGGCAGGCCTTGGCATGGCCCTGCTCTGATGAGAACCCTTCAAAGGATCTTTATCTGACATAAAGGCCAAGCTCCTTATGGAGGCCTTTACCTGTGCGCCTCTTCAAGGTCACGTTACTCTCCTCTTCCTCCTCCAGTGGGCTCCCCACATATCTCCTAGCTTTCAGTTCCCACCTCAGGGCCTTTGCACAGCTTTTTCCTTCACTTTCATTGCTCTTACTTCCTCCCACTTCCCACCCACCTCTCAGCTAAAATGCCACTTTCAGCCCATCAGGCTCTTTCCTCTTATTGACTTTCATGGCCTCGTTCCTCTGTTTTGTTGGCTAATGTCTGTCTGCCTCCCAGACAGCTCTGTGGGCAGGGACACCTATGTGTGTGTGTGTGCACGCCGCTTAGAGCAGGTCCAGCATGGAGCAGGTGCTCAATAAATCCTTGTTGAATTGCTGGTATGATGCTCTGACTGACTCCAGAACCCGGCTTCTTGGCCACCTGTGAGAGTGCTTACCTGGTAGATCTGTGACAGTGTACTGAGTTTATAACTGAAGGGCAGGCTCAGCACAGTGTCCCGATCAGGGTGACATTCTGTCTTCAGTATAAATTGTGCACAGAACGAATTGCTGTCACTGTTTTACAGATGAGAAAATCGAGAGACAAAGAAATCAGGCCGCAGCTGCTAACTGGGGAATGATATCAAAGGCAGGTATTTGGGTTCTCAGGATTGATTCTTTTGCCAACCCTTTCTTTATAGGTTCAAAAGGGCACATGAACTTGGACCTTATCTGGTCTATCGCAAACTCTGTGCCAATGCTGTTGCAATTAATGGTTTAGATCTTCCAGGGAAAATAGAGTGAGGCGAATGGCACACTGGCCTCTGAGGCAAACTGTAAATGGGAGCTAACCAACTCAATAATCAAGATAAATAATATTTTAATGCAATATTTAAAATATATATATATTTTTATTTTTTTCACAGAGAGGAAGTGAGAAGGATAGAGAGTTAGAAACATCGATGAGAGAGAAACACCAATCAGCTGCCTCCTGCACACCCTCTACTGGGGATGTGCCCACAACCCAAGGTGCATGCCCTTGACCAGAATCAAACTCAGGACCTTTCGGTCTACAGACCGATGCTCTATCCACTGAGCCAAACTGGTTTCAGCTAATGCAATATTTTGAAAAACCAAAATTAATGCAGAAACATCCATGATGAACTAAGTATCAGCATCTTTAATAATGACAGAACCTAACCCGGAGCTTCCACAACCTTGCCTCATCCACCTCACCCTAATCCTGACCCTGGGACCTGCAGATCTGTGGAACCATTCTGGGCACCCCCAGAGTGGAAAGCCTATTTGGTCAAAGGATGACACAGGAGAAAACAGAGCCCTCTTCTGGCTGATAGACAGCACTGTTCCTCTTCTGGGAGCCACGTGCACCACCTTTGTGCAGCTCAGTGCTGGGACAGACCCTCTGGCACCACGATGGTTTTCACCGCTGCCTCTTCAGGAGACACTGAGGTTGAGAGGTTGCAGGAGGTCACAGGCCACCTCTTTGCCCTGGCCACCGCACTGCTCGGGGCCCATTGCCTTTCTCCCCTCACCACCGGCACAAACATGCCCAAGGACTTGTTCTTGCTTCTTTGGCCAATGCTAAAGCTGCCTGTTAGCACTTAGTAGGCCTCTCCAAGCTGACCTACCATGAGAGGGGCCGGTGAGGAAATGGGTCTAAGAGGTGGAGGGTTCTCACAGCTGCTGACTGGTGGGCCTCGAGCAGGGAGGTGGCTGCTTGCCTAGCTGCACAGTGTCTTGTTCTTAAGGTTTTGGTAGTTTCTCAGCTTTGTTCTACTTACGTTTTACTTTTATTTTTCAATTATTTTAAATGTGCATAAAAGTTGCTACTATAGCCCTAAACTCTTATGTACTAGTTACCCAGATTCATCAATGAATATTTAGCCCCATTTGCTTTTTCATTCGTTTTCTATATATAAGGACGTCTCTTTTCTTCTTCTTCTTCTGAACTGTTAAGAGTTAGTTGGATGCTTTCTGAAATTTTGCCCCTAAACACTTCAGGGCGGTTTCTCAAGGACAAGTTTATTCCCTTGTATAACTACAGGACAATATGAAAAGCGGAGGGTTTAGCAATTATAAGATATCATCTAATTTATGAACCTTATCAGTTACACTAATAATGTCCTAGACAGCACCTATTCTTTCTGGTCTAGGATCCAATCCAAGATCGTGCACTGCCCTCAGCATTCCTGCCTCCTTGTCTCCTCTAACCTGAGCAGTTCCCCAGCTTCTCTGGTTTTTATGTCCTTGACATTGTGGAAGTGTACAGGCCAGCCATTTTGTTGCATCTCCCTCCGTTTAGGTTTGTCTGAGGTTTCCTCGTGATTAGATTCAGGCAGTGGATTTGGGGCAGGACCGCCACTTGTGTGTCTCACGGAATGTCTTAGGGGAGCTCCCCCTGGTGTTCACAGGACAGCCGGTGACTGAAACCCAGGAAGCAGATTGTGATGTAAAAGCTCCTAACCCAGCACCTAACTTTTAGTAAGTGCTTGCTGTCTGAGACTGCATTTGTTGATATAGGGGGGTATTCTCCCTTTGGAACAACGTCGTTGGGGTGCTAATGTTGGATTACAAGAGTAATAAAACAGTAATAGCAACTACAGGTATTGAACTGTATTTGGCCGCATATTACACATCTTTTCACGTACTAGGCCTTTAAGCCTCACTACCACCTGAGCACTACTTTATCTTCATCTTATGGGTGAGGAAACCGAGCCTCAGAGAGGGTCCATCTCTTGCCTCAGGTCTTCCAGCTAGGAAAGGCACTGCCAGGACTGTTCGGCCCCTGAGTACCTACACCATGTTGTCTCTGGCACTTACCTGTGACAAGGACCTGCAAGTATTCCAGCTCGGAACCCTGAAATAATCCATGTTCCCCCCAACCCCTCCGCCCCAGACCGCCAGCATATGGGAATGTTTTCTCTCCATATTCTGGAACCCCCCTGCTTACCCAGCACATAAGGGGCATGAGAGCTTAGGAGACACCCAGGCTGTGAGTAGAGGGCCTCAATAGGTTGTGTGATGTCCTCTAGGAGTCATCATCATGCATTGGGCAATTATTTACAAGTCCAACCAAAACTCCATCTATCCCAAAGACAGAGAGCAACTATGAGCAGATGTCAATCCTTATCAAACAGTGACTCATGAATGAGTCTCAAGGCAGGAACCCCACTCCAGGAGGAGAGTCCCTGCCACAGGCAGAACCTGCTCCAAAGTCATCTCAGAACCAGTTTCCAGTGACATTCATAATCCACATCGTTAAGAAACCAGCCTCGGAGACTTGCTGACACAAGCCGCTCCCTGCCCGGGACTGGGATCATTCTGCACTGTGGGTGTTTCGGGGAACTTTACTATTCACCCATTTAACAACTCACCCTATTAAGTGTGTAGGAGGGGGATGGGGGATGGGGGGGGGTAACAAAGATAAGTAAGACAGTAAGACAGTTCCTGCCCTTGGGGACTCAGTAGGTTGTGGGATCTAATTTAACTAAAATTAGATAGTTAATTGGACTTAGCTTTGAATTTGTAAGTTTCCTACATCCCTAAGCTATCATTCTACATCCATTGGCCACAGAAAGTTCATGATTTTGAATGACCAATGTAAATCTTTTTTTTTTTTGGTAAAGACAAAATATGCATTGACAGTTGGATAAAATATATGTTCAAAGAATTCTCTCCCAAAGATCATGTCTGAGGTTCTACACTTTCATCAAATATAATGGTTTATTTTGAAGCAGAATGTACTACTAGGCAAGCCAATAATTTAGTTTAACTAGAAATTATAATTACAATTTACTAAGTGAAAATGCCATATTGAAATTATGATAGATTATTCTATAGTTACAGTTTAAGCAACTTTTTTCCTAAACCAGAGTAGCGATTCATTCTTGACATCTCATTCTGTGATAAAGACATTCTCCAGACAGTCTTCATGGAACAAACTCATTCAACAAAGCTGATTATACATTCCATCAAGTAAACTACATTCTCTCACCGAGTGGGCGGAGTCTGTTTCAAACGCGGGGACAGTGGGGCTCTGGCGCCAGTCCCTCAGCAGGCCCAGGGGGACCCGCCCTCCTCTGTGAGCCTCTTTAGCACATCCCCGGCTGAGGCACCTCAGGTCCTGCCACCCTCAGGAGAGCCGCCTCGTCCTCCATTCCCTCAGCCTGGCCAACTGCTACGGCGTCGAGTCCTCCTGCAGATTTCTCCAAATGACCCTCCCCAAGGTCCTGAACATCCAAGGCCTCTTGTCCAAGACAGACAGGAAATGGGTTCCCCAAGAGGGGCCTCTCTGGACCTTAAAAAGTGAAATTACTGGCATTGTGCTACAGAAATGAAAAAAACTTAAAGATCTGTCCTTGGAAACCCACTGACTTGCAATCTCGGGGCCCTGACAGAGAATAATAATTGTTGTAAGTTCAGCACTCCTACTCCATCTAACAATGCCAGTTAGGTTTTGTAAGATGTAGCATCTATAACGCCTACATCGTGAGAATGACAGGGGACACCTGAATGAAACGGGCACTGTCTCCCAGGAGGTCCTAGGATTTACAAGACGCTTCGGGGTTACCATCACAATAAGCTTCCGTGGGCAAGGACAAGAGATGCCACAAACCAAACATGAGGCAGGCTGGTGAATGGATGGGGAATGGAGGAACACCACGGGTCAGACGGCACATCTGACCGGCAGGCTAACTCGTGGAGGTCAGGTCTGCAAACCCAAGGGGCGAATGAGGGACAGGGACCCCTCTCCCCCGGTTCTAGAGCCTGGGAAAATCTAGCCTCATCTCTCTGGACTGAACTCTTGAAAGTTTCCAGAGTGATGGAGGCAACAGCAGGGACGAGGTGGGGTGTCCCATGTCCCATGAGCTAGGGGGAGGCGGTCCCTGAGGTGGTTCTGAGACTCCTTTAAGCTCCCAGGGAATGCAGGGGTAGCTCCAGACATTCTCCTTCCCTGGCCCCAATCCAGGCGGCACAGTCCAGAGTGGGTTCTGAGGGTCCTCAGTCGGGAATGCTGCGATTTGGCTGAAATGCAAGTTGCCTTAATGGTGCTTGGCAATGGGGTCAGGGTTGACTACAGTGCTGCGTATTTTCTGTCCACTTTTGGTAGGATGCTAAAGCTATGGGTTCACTAACTACTTCACAGAGGAATAGCCCCGTGGAGGCAGCGAGGAGGCTGAGCAGGATCACTCTTCAGTAGTAGACAGCCTTGACCAGAACAGCGGCCACAGCGCCCAGGATGGTGAGGAGCAGGAGACTTTTTCCTCTGCTGAATCGTTTCAAAAGGAAGAATTTCGCCCAGTCCACCTTTGACTGGCTGTTGGGGGGATATCTGAGTTTGTTAGCACCTTCTCCCCTTAAACTTTTCAATAAACAGGCACGTTGATGAGAAAAGGTATCGAAGCTATGCTTTCCGTGATACGCTCCCATCCCGCTGGCCCCCACGCCCCCGAAGGGCAGCGAGCCGAGCATGCAGTGCATGATCACATCGTTGGCCGTGACACCCCCGCTGGACGTGCAGTCAATCATCCGCCGGACGAGCTTGCGGTTGCGGGAAAATACGTAGAGAGCCAATGGCTTTTCGCGATCATTGATGAACTGTATGGCTTCGTCTGCATCCTTCACAGGCACTACCGGAAGAATCGGCCCAAAAATTTCTTCCTGCATCACTCTGGTTTCGGGATCCACGTCGGTGAGTACCGTCGGGGCTATGTAGAGGGTGGCTTCGTCCGTCTCCCCACCCAAAGCGATCGTCTGTCCCTCAAGCAAACGCAGGAGCCTCTTAAAATGACGAAGGTTGACGATCCTTCCATAATCGGGAGATCCTCTTATGTTTTCTCCATAAAACTCCTCCACCGTCTCCTTAATCTTCTGCACGATTTGGCCCTGGAGGGACGGCTCGCAGAGAATGTAGTCGGGAGCAATGCAGGTTTGCCCACAGTTCATGTACTTCCCCCAGGCGATGCGTCTGCAGGCCACGTCCAGGTCACAGTCTGTGTCGATGTAGCACGGACTCTTCCCTCCCAGCTCCAGGGTCACAGGGGTCAGGTGCTTGGCAGCAGCCGCCATGACAATCTTCCCAACGGCCGTGCTCCCAGTGTAGAGGATGTGGTCAAACCGCTGCTTCAGGAGCTCGGTGGTTTCCTCCACGCCACCGTTCACCACCACGTACAGGTCCGGGTCTAAATACTGGGGCAGGAGCTGAGCCAGGAGGCTGGCCGTATTTTCACTTACTTCAGAAGGCTTGATAATCACAGCATTTCCTGCAGCAATAGCTCCTACCAGAGGCTGTACAGTGAGGGCGAAGGGGTAGTTCCAAGCCCCGACAATCAGGGCGACCCCCAGGGGCTCTGGCTGGACGTAGGCCTCATCCATCATAGTGAGCAGGTTCTTCTTGGCTGGCTTAGCAGCAACCCACTCAGGAAGCTGCTCCAGCGCGAGATCCACTTCCCCAAGAATGGTCATGACTTCCTGGATGTACGCATTCAGCTCACTCTTGCCCAGGTCCGAGGCGATGGCCGCCAGGATGTCCCGCTCGCGCTCCTGAACCATCCTGCGCAGCGCCTCCAGCTGCTGCAGCCGGAACCTCAGGGGTCGCGACCGGCCGCTCCGGAAAGCGTCGCGAACCTGCTGGACCAGGCGCTGCATGGCTCCCCTGCCCGATGCGAAGCGTCCTCTGTACCCGCCAAGCCGGACAGCTCGATGCGTCCTCTGCACCTGCCAAGCGGACAGCCTGACGCGACCTCTGCACCCACCCGCCCAGGCCGATAGCCCGCAGCCGCTGGGGGCGGGCTCCACCCCGCGCCGCGCGCCTATTGGTCGGGGCGGGACATGTGACCCCGGCGGCGTCTCCACCCACCGCTGGGAGCTGACAGCAGGCAGGCCCAGGCTGGGGTGCAACCTCCCGGGCAGGTCCAGACTGGGGTGCAGTCTCCCAACCCGATGGGTAAGGGGCGGAGGAATCCCGGAGCGGCCTAGGTGCCGGTAGGTTGGGGGGAGCCGGTCAGTGTCTGAGTCTTGGACTCAAACCTTCTGGACCCCCCTTGGCCACCATATTACCTGCACTATTGGGACTTCTCTGTGGAGTTGGGGAGGGTGACCAACCATCTCGTTTGCTGAGACGGAGGGGGCGCTTTCGGTGTAAAAGCAGGGCAAGTCCCCAGCTAATCTGGATGAGTTGGACGCCACAGTGTTGCAACAGGGACAGCAAGAGGGGAATAGGCAGGTGGGAGAGGACTAGCCAACTTTTGTTTACAAATTCAGTAATGCTTAGAGCAAGTTTATGAAGTCCACACCATTGAACCCTTGTTTATAGGGAAAGCAAATCCTGTGTCCCCAGGCCTGACTGCACAGCCTCAGAGATCACACGTGTAAATGTAGTGGCATGAAGTCTCAAGACTGTATTTGTAATTAACTCTCAGAGATTGGAAGCTGACTCCCCTGGAAGCAGAAGTCATTGGAACTTATGTTTCCATGGAGGCCAATCATATCCAATCAGACTGTGTTCACACATGTATAGCCACAATGGAGGGGAGCTGCGCCACTGAGAAGAGGTGCAGTTCTTTTTTTAATATATTTTGTTGATTTTTCACAGAGAGGAAGGGAGAGGGATAGAGAGTTAGAAACATCGATGAGAGAGAAACACTGATCAGCTGCCTCCTGCACCCCCCCCCAAAGCACATGCCCCTGACCTGAATTGAACCCAGGACCTTTCAGCCCACAGGCTGACAGTCTATTCACTGAGCCAAACCAGTTTCAGCAAGAGGTGCATTTCTTAAGGAAAAGACGCTCAGCAGCACTTTCCTGAACACCCCCCAACGCCCATTTCATCATTTACAACTTCAGAGGAGTCTCCACAGCAGTCTGCAAAATGCCAAGCTCTCAAGGTGCTCATGGAGCACCATGGGGAGCAGTGGTAGAGAGCATGGGTTCAGGAGACAACTCTCTATTGCACCAATCGCTGGCTATGTGACCTTGGGCAAGTCACCTAACTTCTAAGCTTAGCTCCCTCCCTCATGTGTTAAACTGTGGACATAACAATGCCATAGGCTGTGGCTGTTGTGAAGATGAAAACAAATGGGATAATGCATGAAAAGCACAATGCCCAGTACCAGGACAGAGCGGGCAATTCAGAAATGGACACTCGTGCTGGGCCAGTGTGGCTCAGTGGTTGAGTATCAATCATGAAACAAAAGGTCCCCGTTTTGATTCCTGATCAGGGCACATGCCTTGGTTTCAGGCTCGATCTGCAGGGGGGGAGGGGAGGGACACACAAAAGGGAGGGGTGCAGGAGGCAGCCAATCAATGATTCTAGCTCTCTATCCCTTTCTCTTCCTCTCTCTCAAAACAATAAAAACATATTTTTAAAAGAAGGGGGGGGGGTGTACACTAGCTACTAATTGCCACCTGCCTACATATGGTTTCAAATAAAAATAATATACTTGGGGACTAACACAAAGGAGCAGATGATAGCTATACCTCATGACGGGCTTCTCCTAGCTTCACCTGCCCTCACATGTTAAACGTCTTCTCTGCTCTGTCCCAATATCCATCCTGCTTCTGACTCTCTGGCCTGTTCATGACCAACTTCTGCTCCTGGCCTCTTTGGGTACCCAGTGCTCCCAGTTCCCAGAACCCCAGCCTGGGCACCAGGACCACAGCCTGCAGGGAGGCCAGGCTGTGATCCATGCATACAGATGTGTGCCCTGGCTCCCTGCAGGACCCCAACAGGCCTGAGAAGAGACAAAATGGGAACAATGAGGATGCTTTGTCCTTTTGATAAATTAAATCAGGTAGCACCATGATTTAGATGGCATAATGTGACACACATCTTTGAAAGTTTCCTTACGGTGTTCATGCTTATATGGTGGGATGCTAAAGGCAACACACCAGGAACAGCTAAGATATTGGAACAGCGATATGGGTGATGCTTATGCTGATAAGAAGCCTGTGAGACATCCAGCATGAAGCCTGGGAAAATGTGTGTTTTCTTAGTAAGAAGAATTCTGGGCCCTGGCCAGGTTACTCAGTCAGAGCAGTGATTGGCAAACTCATTAGTCAACGAAGCGGAAAACCGTGACTTGAAAGCTGCATGTGGCTCTCGAGCTGCAGTTTGCCGACCACTGGGTTAGAGCATCATTCTGATACACCATGGCTGTGGATTCAGTCCCCTCCCCCCGGTCAAGGCATATACAAGAGTCAACTGATGAATGCATAAATAAGTGGAACAACATATATATGTTCCTCCCTCTCTCTTTCTCTCTCTCAAAATAAATTTTTAAAAAGTTTTTAAAAGAATTCTGCCATACACACATACACACACCTCTGCTGGCAACCTTCACCCATTTATTCCCAGCCTACATTTAGGGTTCATAGTCTATTTCCCACCACTGATCTTAGACTATTCAAAGAGCTTTAGGCCCATCGAAGGACCATGCAGCCCAGTAACTGCTTGCATGAAAAGCGATGATGCTGATAGCTCAATTCTACACACTTCCTCCGTGCCAGGTGCAGTGCTAAACTTGAAACACAATGTTCAGCTTGCTCTTCTCTGCAGCCCTTTGATGTTAGTAGCGTCGTTGATTCTTCATCAGCATCCCCTATTTCTACATGAAGAAACTCCGTTTTAAATAGTCAAGTAGCCAATCACTCACCTTTACAGTGACCAAGCTACTAAAGTGGCAGAGGTGGGCTTTAGGAAGCCGGAGCCCAACGCCTTCACGTGAGATGTGTTCCACTGACTCAAACTCTGGGAGCTTGGGTTTTGTGATATCTGTACTGCCATCTGTGGATCTGGGCCAGCCCAGCAACCATGAGGCCCCGTTTCCTTGGAGTGCTATACATCCCCAGTCTCAATCCCCGTGGTTCAGAGGAGGCAGGGAAGGTTTTTGTAAATATGACACAAAAAGCACTAAATATAAAGGGTAATTTGATGAAATTAAAATGAATGCTTGTTGATTCAAAAACACTAAAGAAAGTGAAAATCCACACACTGGGAGAAGATCATTTCAACACACATAATTATGAACCATTAAGACATGGACAATTAGAAAAATGGGGAAATGACAGGAGCAGGTATTTCACAGACATAGAAACATGAATGGCAAATAAACATATGGAAAATTGCTCAAGCCCATTAGTCATGGACATGAAGATTAAGATCACAAAGAGGTACTATTTCACAACCACTAGGTTAGAAAACAGTCTGCTTGTGCCAAGTATTGGCAAGATCCTAAAGATAATTTTTTATTTTTTAAATTGTTTTAATTAAACTATTATCTGTATATATACCATTGCCCTCCCCTCCCATACATGCCCTCCCTCTCCAGAGTTTTGTGTCCACTAAAGATAATTTTTTCCATTCTAAAATATTAAAACTTGGCCTTTTATAGTAAAGTCTGTAATCTATCTTGAATGAATTGGGGTTGGGGTGGGGCATGAGAAAGTTGTCTTAGTCCCCATTTTTCTACATGAATAATCAATTGTCCCAGTACTTTTTGCTGAATTGACCCTCCTATCCCCACTGATCTGAAATGTCACCTTTACATAGACCAAGTTTCCCTACATGCATGGGTTGGGTTTGTTTCTGGGGTTTCTGTTCTGTGTCATCAATGTAGTGATCTATCCCTACATGAATACATACTGCCTTATTGACTATCTATATATAAAAAGCCAGGAACCAGAATGCTGGAACTACCAAAATGACCAGAACAACCGGTCTCTATGACGCCCACTGCGGCTGGCCAACTGGCCCAATCAGTAGTGGGCTGGCCAGCCAACATCCTGTGGCCTTTCCTCCTGGCCAACCCTGCCCCCAATGGGACCTTCCCCACCAATGAGGGTGAGACCAGCCAACTTCCCACATCCCCTCTTCTCTGCCAGCCCAGTCCCGATTGGTCCCCATTGGCGCAGGCCAGTCAGACCCCACCCATGCATGAATTCGGGCACCAGGCCTCTAGTATTTTTATAAGTCTTGATATCTACTTTTTCTTCTCCACTGGGAGTATTTTGGCTTCTCTTGGACCTTTGTTTTTCCATGTGAAGTTTAGAATCAGCTCATCATCTTCTAGAAAAGCCCTGTTGAGATTTTTGATTGTAATTGTTTCTGATTTCAAAGGTAGCATTGCTAAATTTCATTATTTATAACAATATTGGTTATAGTTTTTGTTTGTTTTTGTAAATGCCTTTTAACTGGTTAAGGAAGTTCTCTTCTTGGTTTCCTATCAGTTATTACCATGAGGGACTGTCAAGTGTTATGTTTTGTTTATTTTATTTATTTATTTGCCTTCCTATAGAGTTTATTGGGGTGAACCTGGCTAACAAAATTATACAGGTTTTGGGGATGCAATGCTATAATACATTATCAGTGCACTGTATTGTGAATTCACCACTTCAAGTCAAGTCTCCATCCATCGCCCATTTATCTCCTTTTTACCTTCCTCTATTTCCGCTCCCCTGGGCAATCACCATGAATTTTCTTCTTTTTTGCTCTATCCTTATACCCACCTGCCCCGCTATCCTGTCAAATTTTACCTTAAAAATTTGAATCTATTGACATGATCTTATAGTGCTCCTTTAACATGTTGATGTGGTTAACTACATGAATATATTTATTTTTTAAACATTTATTCGTTTTTAGAGAGAAAGGAAGGGAGAGAGAGAAATATTGATTTGTTGTTCTACTTATGTATACACTAGAGGCCCAGTGCATGAAATTTCTTG